CCGTCTGCCCACGATCGGCTCGTGTGCTGAATGGAATATGCCCGCGCGACCCTCGTGAACCCTTCCCGTATTATACTTTGATCGCTGACCTCAGTTTTAGATTAAAGGTCAATTTCTTCCTCTTGTTATCTCCTTGCTTCCCGAGGCAACGGTGACTCTCGCCGGTGAAAAAGCGGTGAATCTCCGACAGACGCAGGAAAGGTAAAGCAGCCATCGCTTTGACTAGCAGACGTAAAGCAGACGACGTTAACTGCGCCAACCCGCCGACGCCGTTAAAGAATGAGGGGTCTCGCCGCACACGAAAGGAGGGAAAAAGTATTTGGGGGGGGGGGGGGGGGGGGGGGACTTGCGGACACTAACACGCACTCTCGGTTCTTACCAAACAAACCTCGGCGCCTCGGGACACCTCGCCAGTGAGTCCTTTGACTTCCCTCCTTGATGCGCGTCTGCTAGTGTTTAGACAAAAACAACGTACCGCTCGAGTTATTTCGTCTGCCCTCTCTGAAAGGCGAAGTCGCACGAAAGGTAAAACAGACGCAGACGACGTTGCGAGCAGACGACGTTACAAAGGAGCAGACGACGCTCAGATAGGGGGTCGCGATCAGCCAATCAGGGCTCGGCGTTCTGACGTCACCGCTGCTTTCTTTCTCGTGCGCAGAAGACGAAAATGAGCCCACTCCAGTCGCGATAAGGAGGTAGCGCCATCTATCAATACGAACGCCAAGCACAACCCACTACTGGACCCCTGCCGTCTGCGTTGCTGCCCGCCGTAGACCCTGGCAAGTTTCTTGGCCTTATTTTTTACAGAAAGAGGGCTACGCTTTGTAATTTTACAAGAAAAAAAAAAAAAAAAAAAAAGAAACGACCTGTGAATTACATTTTTGACGAGAAGTTTAGATTGCTACGTGCAGGCGTCGATTTTTACGGTCCATTTTAGGTTGAGCCTGGTGACTTGGACCACACTATATAACCCCCAACGTCACTAAAACACTCAGTTGGGAAACTCGCCGTCGACACCTGGGCCGCTGGCGTCCACCGAGACCAAGCTAAATACGACAACAGCGCCACTCTTTATCATTTGTCTGTACTGTGGTCACCTTGAGCTCTTAGAAAGCATGTTTCTGCGTAAAAACAAACGGAAAAGACAATTTTTGTATGAAATTTGTTGGAGTTTAGTACAAAATGAAGGGCGCGTGATGTTTTTATAATCTTTAGTTTGCAAGGTTTTGCGGAACAATTAATATTGTTTTTATACAACCATGCCTCAGCGGCGCTTCCAGCTAGCGCGTCCGCCCTAGGTTCATTTTAACTTCGGTAGTAATTCGCGGCGCGTCCGCTGGGGAGACGGTGGTGGCACCCCTGTAACCTCTTCCGCTGTATCTGTTTCGGCGCAAAAACGGCCGATTAAAGCCAAAATGGAAGTAACAAGCAGTTCCTCGAGTGGCAGCTGCGGAAGGAATGGCGGCGTCGTGTTCGCCATTAGCTCGGTTCTGAAGGACAGATCGGGGCCACTTTTTCAGAGCAGTCTCTATGGCAGTTTCCCAACTGAGTGCTTCTAGTAACGTTGATAACCCCCAACTTCAAACTACATTCCCCAAATTTGGTCTCGTTGAAATTAAGCTCTTTCAAGAACCACGCGCTCGCGCCCTTGGCTTTCCCAGTACTGTACACAACTTCCCCGAGGTCGAATATAAAAATACACTGTATACTAGTTATGCGCACACACTATCGTTTTTCAACACGTCATTGGGTCATTTTTCTGAGTGAAGTAATGGCGGCTACATTATACCGACACAAATAAGAGCCTTATAAGTTGATTCTAATGAATAGTTTGTAAATGAGAGTAAAGCAACTACTCTGTGGCCACTTGACTTTATCCGAAATTCGCCGCCATGTCCTAAAATAACTGATGCACCCCCGTTACCCCTAGGGCAATGTATATCAGTTGAAAAAAAAAACACTTATAGGAGATTGGAAGGACAGCGTTAAAAGCTACTTGCACTTTACTTTGAAAGCACATTTTATAGTACTTTACTTCAAGTACGTTGCACCCAGTGTACTTGCTACTTCATTTGAAATACATGTACATAAAGAACACCATAATTGATTAACATTAAAAAACGAGCGTGTTGGTAAATACTTAAACAACCGGAAAGAATAAACACAAATTCGGGACGCAAACAGACGATACAACTCTTTCATTTACGTTCGGACGAGAACAAGACATGTAGCCAGGGCCGTACCCAGAAAAAAATTTCGGGGGGGGGGGGGGGGGGGGGGGGGGGTTTCGGGGACAACGGCGGCCATTTTGAAAGTGTCTATTGTCTTATTTTCGCCTATGAATCATGTGTATCGGTGGCATATAATGGAGAGTTACAGCAAACTGGAGATCCGGTCCCGGTTTGGTACCCGGTAGCCGACCGGCGCCACTGCGCGTGCGCAGAGGTGGAGATTAAAATCGGCTGGCTGCCAGTGCACTGACCAGGGCCGTACACAGAAAAAAATTTCGGGGGGGTCAGAACCCCCTATCCCCCCCCCCCCCTGGTTACGGCCCTGCATGTAGCTCACAAAACTTGATTAACATTAAAAAAACGAGCGTGTTGGTAAATACTTAAACAACCGGAAAGAGTTGTATCGTCTGTTTGCGTCCCGAATTTGTGTTTATTCTTTCCGGTTGTTTAACCATAATTGAGTTTGTCACGCTTCTGTATGAGTATTATCGTCACTAAACCAGTCATAAACAGAAAAGGCCCAGTGACTTGCACTTTCTACGTTCCTTCAGTGGTCCCAGATCAGCTCGTAGCGTCGTCTGCGCCCGGACTTAAAACCAAGTATAGCTAAACACCTCATAGATAAAAGTACATTCACACATCAGTGTCTCACTTCCTTTGACTATACGCTATGAGTAGGATTTCGTGTTTTCGGGGTCTATAGTCGGTTACAGGTCAAGAAGGTAGGAGAAGCTCCTCCCATAAGCGGTGATGCGCCCGTTTCAAATCTCTCCGCAGTCGAAAGAAGAGTTCACTGGAAACGCTCCTTGTTCCGCTTCAATGGATTCCAACTTGTCTCCGATCCCACTTTTCCAGAAAGCGACCTTTGTATTCATTGAAGGGGGAACCGAGCCCCTGAAAGCAGCCTTTGTATCCATCGGAGGGGGGAAGCTAATCCCCGAAAGTCGTATTTGTTCCCATCGGTGGGCTAAAACTCTAATCTCCCTCTCGTGGCTTCCACAATGCTAAGTCAAAGTCGAAAGATAAAGCAAATATGTACAGAAAGGCAAGACCCTCCTCGCGCGTTGGCCGCGACGTCACGGAAACGGTGGGACGCTATTGGATGCGGAGGTGGTGGAGGGATATCTGATTCCCTTTGAGGGGCATTTGCCGCTACCTTCTTAACCTGTAACTGACTATATCTTTCTTGAAATTCAAGGGTATTCTTTTCTTCAATTTTTTTAAAACAGATTTTGTGTTTTTTGGTGTTGATTTCTGGTGTCGGACGTTAAATCGGGACTTATATGTCGGAGAAAGTAGGATTCACGCAGAGGATTCCTTAAACACACGCGTGACCCTATGAAAACGTCCCCATACCGAAATAAAATGCGTGGTTTTGAAGAAAGATGCAGCCTCAATTCAGTGAGGGCTATGCTCCGGCCCAACACAACATGAAGCTGTAGGTAAAGATTTCTTCACGTGAAGCTTAGGTTTTTCTCCTTCGAAAACAGCTCGAATTCGGAGTTTTTCGGCGTTTCCCCAATTTTGATAAAACCGTCCCGAGGCAATTTTCGGGGTGTATCGGTATTTAGCGAAAACACGGTAGTTATGAGGGCCTACGTCGAGTTACGACCGCGGGTCACTGGGACATCCGTGCTTCGCACAAAGATTTTGGCAACCAATTCAAGGAGCAGTTCCGCAAGCAGCATACGAAGCACGGAAGTGCCGATGCCTCCAAGTTGCATCACCTAGGTTCCAAAATTTACTCGATCTCGCTTCCTGGAGTGAAGGTACGTCAAGAAGAGCACATCTTTCGTCGGAATCATTCTGCTCCGGTTTGGGTAAAATAAGGCAGTCATTTTTAAGGCGAAGCGGGCTGAGCGAACACCTGGCAAAGCACAACAGCATAAACGTTCAGTCTTTCCACTCTCGTGAAGAAGGAAGACCAGCGGAGCTGTACTCGACACACTGCCACAACGCGCACACGGCCGATTCTCGTCCGACACGCCGCCGATCGTGGATACGTCTCCGGCGAACCAGAGTCGGTCGCACACGGCGCACGTGACGCCAAACGGGTTCTCCACGAACTCCCTCCGGAACCTTGCCGCCGCACCCAGGAACAGTTCAGCCGGCGTGGAGTGCAGTCGTCGCCGGGCCTCGCGCTTGCGCTAGGCCTCCGTGGCACGATCGTCGTCCGTGGCGTTGGCCCGCCGGCGTCATTTACATCGCTGGTTCTGTTCTCGGCGGCGGCTTTCCAGGCGAGCGATGTGCTCTTTGGCAAGAGAATCTGAAGCGCCGGACGCAGTGGAAGTCGAGGCGACAGCGGCTTTGCGGCGGTTGCGGACCCATTCGCGCTGCTGCGTACGTCGTTGCTCTTTCCGCCGCCTCGCGCGGCCGACCCATCGTGAGTCTAAACCGAAACTGATAAGAGCGTAGGAAACAGCGCGCAAAACAGACGAGGATGAAGAAACAAACGTGACGAGCGCTGCGCTCGTTACGTGTGCTTCTTCTTCGTCGTCGTCTGTTTTTCGCGCTGTTTCCTACGATGAATTCCCACCAACGCGCCCAACTATCAATTATTCTATGATAGCTGGAAAGGTTGCCACAATCTACGAGCGACAGCGGAAACCAGACTGGCTGTGTGCTTGCCGCCGTCGCTTATAGTTGGCGGTAACTCTCCAGGTAGGTTTGTGTCGACATACCGGACACGATCCCGGGGAACCTAGCCCTTAACAGCTCCGCTGTAAAAAAATGAACACCTTTACAAGAAGTCCATGTGGTGTTTGTTACCTGTGCTTCTAGCCGCAGCGGAGAGCCGTTCACCATCAGGTGGCCCTTGCAGAGTGTCTCGTACGACGGAGGCTTGTCAAACATTTGCAGATAGCACACAGAATCAGCGGCTGGTGTCAGGCGCCCGTATACAACGTCATCGGCGATTGAAGGTGAGAATGTGACCCATGACTCCGCAGTATGACGGAGCGCTCTCGACAGAGCCAAGTCTCTCTCTTCGCGTCGTTCGTGCACTTTCCTGCGTAAAACACCCCAAATGTGAGCCGTGGCTGCATACAACGTTAACAGACAAAGGGGAATAGGCAGGCTTCGGCAGTTTAAACTTAAGATTATTTAAAGGGAAACTAATTAGATTTTGTGATTATCTTTTCATGATGCGAATTCAACCGGTATACCCCCCAAACATATTTTTAAAAAAAGTCAAGATTACAATTAAGTGTGACTGTTTGCCCTATTAAAAACACAACCAAACATCCCGACACGTCGTGGTGTGCCACAATGTTTGGTCGTTTTTTTAATAAAGAAAAGGGTCTCAAATGACTTCACTTTTAGATTTTCTGAGGTGCTTAGGGCACACAGATTCAGTTTACGCCACAAAAAGGGCAACTGAAAATCTACTTTCTATAAAAAAGCTGAGCATGGGCACCACCATAGGCGTAGACTACAGGGCATCGAGGCTCGTGCCCCCCCCCCCCCCTCCCCCCCAGCCATAAGTCTTGTTAATGAGCGTTTGACCTGATACTCTGCAGCCGCAGGCTTTATTTCCATGTATTAAAGAGAATATAAAGACTCGTGGCCGAGTGGATTAATACTTCAGAAGCACAGGAACCTGGGTTCTACCCCCCCAACTTCACAGCTGGCACAAGCATTTTGTTTTTCAGATTTGTGCTCGCCGGCGCATGCGTCATGGTACCGGCGATGAACACACGGCTACGCTTGCACGGTGATTGACATTGACACACAGCGAAGTACACATGGCAATATACATACTGTCATGATCCTCATGACAATGATTGCGCCGCGGCCGCGATCGAAGACGAAGAATACGATGAGGACAAGGTGGGGGGCGTGCGACCGAGCGGGCAGTTGGAAGCTGAGCACGGATCGCAACGGTCGGCCTGCAAATCGCTCAGCAGCTGCCACGGTCAGCGGAGCGCTGAGTCTAGCGGTCTGGACGACGAAACCTTCGCCGGACTCCGACACGTGGGGCTGCCATGCACGGCTCCTAGCCGTGTCTGCGCTACGACCTCCAGCCATCGAGGCGAAGGCAACCGCGTTCCCGAGGACACGCCACGGAGGACTCATGAGCGAGAATTACCCGATGTGTCTATGACTTGACCGAACTTTGATCAGTGTTGAGACTCGTGTAGAGATTTCTTTATTGTACTTTCTTTTCTGCTAATTCTCTCTTTCTTTTCTGACGGTTTACTTTTAACTCTCTCATAATAATTTCTCCGCCCCTTTAAATAATATAACGCATTTCTCATTCCCGCAATTCACATGGTCTCTGTCTTCCTCTTTCCCTAACGGGCGTGACACATACGCTGTAAAATGTACCCCCTAAAATAAACTACTGATAATTGCCGGTGTAAAAAAAAATTGCGCGGAAACCCCCCCCGGAAAATTTCTCAGCCTGCCCCCCCCCCCCCTCCCCTCCCCCCTGTAACGCCAAATTAGAGCGCAGCTCTGGAGGAGGAGGAGGAGGGAAGGGTACTAAGGGTCACGTATTCTCGGGGGGGGAGTCATGTGACCTTGGGGGGTCATGTAATCTCGGGGGAGGTCACGTGACCCCCCCTCCCCGAGGTCACTGAAGGTACCCGAGGTCCTCCCGAAGGAACCCGAGGTCCTCTCGAATGAACGCGAGGTCCGCCAGAAGGAACCCGAGGTTCTTCCGAGGTCCTCCCGAAGGAACCCGAGATCCTTTGGGAGGACCTCGGGTTCCTTCGGAAAAATTTACCCATAATGCACCGCACATTTACGCCGACGGCGACGACAGGCGCTTAAGAGCTGCGCTCTAAAAAAAAAAAAAACAATTCTCTGCACCATTCAACGGCAAAGAAACCCGATTCCAATGATGGGATTTTACTTGACGATTTCGAAGTTGCGACGTCGCTTGTGCAATAAAAACAAAGGCATAGAGGGGAAAGCGCCAAAAGCTGCAAGCCCGATTTGAGACTGTAGAGTCAGGAGGGAGCGCATTTTCTGTGACCACGTGCCCCGTAGATAGCGCGACAATGTAAGATCGGCTCGCGATGACTAGCCCAAATACTCGGTACCCGCGCGGCCGTTTCCGCTGCGGAGGCCTTAGTCACTTCCACGAGTGACTTCCGTCGCTCTTTTGTTTCATAGTTTCGGTATCTCAGCCTCCTCGCGGCTTAAATTTTCCGTAGGAGAGCAGAGCAAATTGTCATAGTCACAATTCCAACAATTCACTATAGTCGGTGACAGGTTACGAGTTCAGGGCGAGAGAAAGGAAGGCTGGGGAGGAGAAAGCAGGCGGAATGCTAGGGAGAGGGGATGTTTCCTCCTCTCCTCTCAAGCAATCTATCTGCGTCCTCCTCCCCAGCCTTTCTTTTCCTCGCCCTGAACTCGTAGCTTGTCACCGACTACAGAGACTTTTAGCGAACCGTTACTGTGTTCCGCGTACCACACTATATTAAAACCTTTGAGTCGGTTTTTAAGGAGGGACACTACCCAGAAAAAAAGATTTTCTGCAAAAAATGTTGATTTTGAAAAATGACATATATACATCCACCAACATCTAGAAAGTATTCCCAAAAGCTTTAATTGGTTTACACTGCATAGTTCATTTTTTATAGATTATTTTCTGTCCACCAAATCTAAAGAAAAGACAAGGTTTGGAGCACTTTGAACGAATTTTTCTCTGTTCCACTAGTCAATCTATCGTTTGATAATGGCAAAACAGGGAAGGCTCGTTCTTTCCTTTTTCTGATTGAAATTTAATAAGGAATGCGGCTATGGAATTTTTTTGTCACTTTACGGATGTCTTTTATAAAATTTTGACATTTTGTCGAAGACACACAAGAACAAAAAGTTTGCCAGTTTTGCAGAAGAGAAAACTTATAGAAATAAATTACTTTTTAGAAAAAAACGTTCCATAGCCACATTCCCTAGGCATTCTACTACATATCTAGCAAATAAAAATCTTGAATATTGATAGTTTTTTAACGGCAGATTAACTAAACAAGGTAGGCGTGCTGCTGATAGAAGCTACTCTAATTTGCTTCTCATTTAACCGACAGACCTTAAATTTTGCAATACACCCTCTAGTATGACTACCAGCCTACCCTGTAAATATCATTATTTTTAACACAAGGGTTCAAAAGTTGACCCCCTTAGGGGGTGTGTCCCTTTAACGCACGGGGGATACCGTGACCGCGGACCGCGCGCTTAAGCCTACCTGCAAAATATTTTTCAACCTGGGTAAAAATCCTTCTTGCCACCCTTCACCCTCTCCCACAATTAACTTGACTGCAGAGGGACTCCTTTTGTTGCTGCATCTTTAAAGCCTTTAAAAGCATGCCTCAAAGACTCTGGTTGTGCGATATGCGGAAACGGTTTTCTAAAAGTCCCTATAGTCACGACAGCTAACAAATCTCGTTAGAATCTGCCAGCTAAGGTGAATATTTCAAAGGTGATTAGGAAATTTTAAGTAAATAATTCTCTATCACTTTACAATCGTAACCCATCGTCCACCACGCTCCACAATGGTATCCCAAAGGAATCCTTTCAAGTGCTTTTTTCTTTTTCGGTCGTTGGTGAAATATTTTTTGTATACTGTATTATATGAAACATTCGTGTCGGTCAATTTTACTGGTTAGGCCACACTGTTCATACATTATACAAGACAGTTAAAAATGCCAAATTTTCCCCTTGAACTTATTGCCATGTGGCATTCGAAGCACGGATCTCGCGGCGATTCACGTTCGAATCGGTATGCAGACTATCTTTTGTATAATGAAGAAGCAGTGTGACTCCGGCTTTAACGATTTGTGATGACTGTACCATTCAAGATTAAATGTTTAGTTGGATGGATTAAACTCGCTTGCTCCCCTTGATGCTGCCTACGGGGAGGGGGGGACAAGTACAATGGTATTTTCAAAGTATAGATTGAGACATGCAATCTTTAAAGTTTAGTGTTCGGAGAAAGAAAAATAATAGGAACACATACCGTCTCCAGTAGAGGAAGCAGAGTGACAACGAAAAAATTAGGACGGACAAAAGGCATCCAATTGCCATAAGATAGACCTTCGACGATGCCTTCTGTGGAGCTGCAATTGGACAATGCCAATTATTATGCCAAGGTCTTAATACTAGCTGCAAGTTCAGAGTACTTCTCTTTGGCACAAAGTCTTAACTTCATAATAGAACAGCAAATGAATGTTTGGTGTTTTTCCAAGAGTTCTAAGACATTTCTAAACAATTATTTCCAAGCTTGAATTGTGTAGCCTTTAGACTAATACAAAGTCACTACTATGTAGCAGAAGATAGAAAAACTGTTACCCTGAGACACACCGATGTTTGAGCAAATTGAAGTCAAAACTGCTAACCTGAAACACACTGATCTTGGATCAAAATGAAGTCAATTAGACAGCTGCAAATGTCTGCAATACACCCAGAGTTTTCTGCTATGCAGTCAGAATCCTTTCGACACCACTGTCCGATCTTCGAGTGAGAATCTGGCAAAGGCAAAATGACAGTCAGACCGATCAAGACAAATTGCCAGTGTCTAATTATGATGACACACAGCTAAATGTTGAAATAGTCAATAGTATGTAAAGCATTACCTTTGTCATCCATTGAAAAGTCAGATGAGCTTCACCAGACAATTGGCTAAAGGATGAGTATGACATGCATGAAATAAACTGAGCCTATGACAAAGGTAGCATTTTTTTCCAAGCCGCTCGGTGCCCAAAAGCAGCCAAAACAGGAGGTGGAGATTATCTTCAAATTTTTACAGCCCAAACGGCTTCTTTCCTGTTGACTTGAGCACTGATAACTGATGGACATTTGACCCACACAAAAAAAAGTGACAAATGCCAAGCAAAGATATGAATGCAAGACCAAAATGCAAGAGAAGAGTGTTTATTCACCAAGCAAACGACTGCGACAAGGTGTCCACAGATTCCAACTTCTGATTTCCCAACTACGACATGAACATTCGTAATACTAGTACCATCATAAAACCAACAGATTCATTTCACGAGACTAAAATTACATTCAATCGCATCAAATACTTTCTGCCAAAATGAGCCATGATGCAGATAGTACACAATTAAAATGAGTCATAATACACAATTAAAACTATGTGTGCCAACTTTTCAACAATGGCTTGCAAGACTACAATTATACAATCAAAATCACTATTTGTTGATGTATTTTATCTCCTCCCCACGAATGACCAGTTTTTCCTCTGGCAACTTGGGTCCTTCCTTAGGCTGTGGAGTAAAAAATGGAATAACAATTAAATTAGGAGAAAGTGTCTTGTAACATGCAGAAAGTGATGCCATCCTCAAAAAGTGGAGTACATGCCAAGATGCAAATAAAGTTTCTTGAGCAGAAAACTTCAAGCAATAGGAGAGCTTGTGACAAATCTACTATTACAAACATACTCTAAAGCAGCATTATGAGATATCTATATACTCGGCGTGAAACTTCCCACAGATACCGTGCAACGGTGGCGACCTAAACGACGTCCAATTTCAGGCAGGAAAGGCACTGTCAGCGCATTACGATATTTTTGTCTGTCAGTAAGCTTCCTCGAGAAATACCTACACTAGCAGCTCTGCTTTTATAACAAGTTCAATGCATCAAGTTTCTTTGTTTCCCTTGAGACTGGAAACATCTACATAAATTCAGTGTCAATGCATTGGGCCTGTTTAACATTTCATAATGAATAGCTGCAGGGGTGAAGGAAGATGACGGTTCATGCAACGAGCCTTAACCAGAGGTAACAGGTTCAGTAAGATTTTTGTCCAAAGCCGTTGTCGTGTCCTTTGAACAGTTTCAATTTCACCAAGGAAGTTAACAGACCAGGGAAAAAGCATTTCAAGATGCAACAGTGGGTACAGAACACTGTTTTTACTATACATTACAACAAATATATTGCCGCAAACCAATTCAAATGCCTCGAGAGCTTTTTTTTGCCCTAAAAGAAAAAGCATGCTGGAGAAACACTGGTGATAATGAAGATAACCTTGCCTAATGCAGAGCACCTGTAAGTGTCACACATGAAGCCCCTTCTAATGCAGACTTCCACGAATGAGTTAATCTAATAACATTGTTCAAAACTGCCATGTTCTACAGCGAGGGGTTTGCATAATGCTCGAGAACAGTCAAAAATAAGTTAGAAATTTCCCCTTGCGAGGAGAAAGGGCAGCCTGACAAAGCATACAATCATGGATGGGCCAAAGGGCTCGAGATTGAATAATGAACAAATTAATTGAATAGCATAGAATAATAGTTAGCTATAACTGTGACAGGCAGTGGTGTAACATGTAGCTGAGGAGCAAGAGATCAACCCAGAATGAAAAGTATGATGTGCAGAGCACCGAAATGGTTTTTACAAGGTGAAATGCCGATTTACTACATAACCCCCCCCCCCCCTCCCCTTTTACACTGGGTGCCAAATATGGCACAAAGTGAATACCTTGTATACATAACTTGCAGGTGCCACCATTGCTGGGTACTGACGGTTATTTCTACTTAATGGTTCCCTCAAGGTACTACTGCTGCGGTGTGAAACTAACAGTGAGCGAATGCTTGTGGCACATAAAATACCGGCATGGCCACTGATGTGTAAGGGCAAGCTATGTATAGGCCATAGGGCGTACAGTCCTTGGATATTACTACTCGAGATTGTGGCGGCAACACTCGCAACTACAGTACGCTTCGCCGTGCAGAGGCCCTTGACTTCATGAGCGCGATATGCATTGCACATCTTGGTGGCCAATTTTGAAGCGAGAGGTAGAGAACTTGCAGTCACGTCATTTTGTTTCCGTACCCTTTTAACTGCAGGGCTCCCGAGGAGACAATTCATGTATCTGCCTATGTGTTTTTCTTTCCTCTGCCTCTGTGAACATCTGGCATCCCGAGTTAAATAGAATGAAGAATTCTTTGTGGCTTTTGACTCAGACAAGATAATCCCTTCATGTTTTCACCCAAGAAAGGGACCAATCAGATCAGAACTTGTAAATTCAATTGTTACAGCACATTTGATTCATCTGGCTTCTATTGTACGAGAAAAAATACAGTAACAGGTATCAAAGCAACAATGGTTTCACATAAACCAGAATGACGTACCTTGCCCATTGATGTCCTTTCAAAGTTGGACCCATTGCACTTCCTGAAAGGAGGAACCCCTTTTTGTGACACTGTCAAACACAATGTCTGCCGAAATCAAGCATTAGCACTGGAGTATATATACCTTATTAAGTCAAATAGGAGCAGCCCTCTAAATTTCAGCCCCAAAACTTGGGCAAAAAAATTAATTCTTTCCTTAGATATATAGGGAAGTCATGGAGAAACATTCAGTTATACCAAGGTTTCCATTATCTAGGAGTGCAATTATTTTCAGTCTCAAAACATTGCTATTGCTTTGTGTCTTGCAAATGAGAAAGCTGTACAGTGCAATCCATCTATAACGATAATGATTAAACCCAAAAATTCAATCGTTATAACCGATTATCGTATCTGAACTAGAAACTGATTGTGTTTAGACTAGAAACTGATTGTTATAAGCAGTATGTTTAATCTGGTATCGTTTTATGTAGATTGCACTGTATAAACACAAAAATAAAAATCAGATTTCATATCTACCTAAGCCTTCAGCAGAGCATACATACTCTCTTCTAAAAGGCCTTTTTTAATTTTCCTTTTGTTTTTTGAACGGATATGGAACTTTTCCCTAAATAGAAAATAGCCCAGCCATGACTTGCACAGCAGAGTCTATTTTTTGGTTATCTCATGTTCAGTTTTTCCAGTAGCTCTAGAGCTTCTGAGGACCATTTCCGTGGTAGAATTGTTATGTTTTACTTTGCCTGGTCTCTTTCTGGATGCGAGACGAACTGCGTTTTTCGCACCAGATTCTTAGACAGCCATTTCAATAGTGCCCCGTATATTTGAAGAAAAAAAAAAAAAGGCTCGAGGTAGACCTAAGCACTTCTTATGAGTTGTGAATGCGAAAGCATGAATGTCGTTCTTGACGCAGCGACCACTTCTGATCCTCTCGGCACTGAGGCCACTTCTGATCTTCTCGGCGCTGAAGTCACTCCCGATCCTCTCGGCACTGCGTGCCCACGCTGGAGCAGAAACGGCCGAAGCGCTGAAAGGATCAGTGGGCGCCTTGGCCGTTCCTGCTTTGGCGCGGGCACGCAGCGCCATGGGGTGGTGTTAAATGAAACTGAAGCGCGACGGCTTCATATCCCTGCCGCATTGCGTGGCTTTTTGCATGGTTTCAAAGCTAGAATGCCTCAAATCGCGGCTTCGGGAATTTATCTGCCGTTTGGCGTGGCTGATGACGTCAGCTCGCTCCATCAGACAGTTAATGTTTTCGCATTTAGAGTAATCATATATTTGGATAAAGATGGCAATACTGTAATCAGAAATAGACATTGGTAGAGTATTTTCTAAAACTATACCTGCAGCTCTGTGCCGGCACTCTCGCAAATGTAGTGGTACGGTGGCTGCAGCTCTTGCATTTGAAAAAGCGCTTTGTTGCCTTGTGGTGCTTTAGGGGGTGATTTTCCTTCTTACACAGGTCAGAAGCTTGATGTGCTGTGTACTTGCACTGTTCCAAAATAAAAAAATAAAAATTTGATCAAAGAGGCACAAGGAACTTGGAAAGATTCCATCAAAGGTACAGCTCTCCAATTTTTTTTAACAATCACTAATAATAATATTTATTGGGGGCTGGATAAGCCAGGATAACATCCCGGTTTATTCAGCCTCAAGAAGCAGCAACAAAAGAAGACCCTCGCCGTCAAGATAGCAGTGGGACAGGGGGAAAGGTGAAGAGTGGCGAGGAAGATTTTTCTCCCCTCCGGAAAAGCTTTCTGTTGGTCGGGCTTTAACAAGGCCAACTTGTTCCCACAACACGCATCTCGTGTCGGCGACGGAAGGGTGACTGCCCCGAAGCAGCACGTTACCCCCGCTTTCATACATGCAGTACATTCAGGAAGGTTCTGAATCAGAAACTATGACAACCGAGAATCGACTCCAATTTTCCAGGAGAGCAGAGACTGATAAAAAGAAGAACCGAGCCGAGTACCCCATTCCTCTGTGCGGCAGCCCCGTGCGCTGCAAACTTTGCCATGCAAGCAGCAAACGCTACCGCTCCTTCGGGTCAATCAGAGCGATGAAGATGAAGCATGTGCAGAAGCAAGAGTGCAACCCAAGTAGTTGGAGAAATGAGTAGGAGGAACTGCCCTTTTACACAGACCCTCTTTTGTGTATCTTAGACATTGCCTTTGTTCCCCTAGAAGATTAGCCCGCCACTCAAAATTCATACAAATGTGGCATTCCACCCTCTCCTGTTCGCGGCTTCGAGAGCACCGCATGCAACTAGTAAGGTAGAGTATGGTGACGTGTCTTTCAATGACGTGCTAATCGGCCGACTGGTACCGTAGCCTTCAACATTTTTCAGGCGACGGTGAGACAGAGTATAGGCTCTTCTGCTGACTGCATGCAGCCCCTGCTCCTTATCTGCTGGTAAAGCTATCTTCCACGGGGCCAGTGTGCTGTCAGCAGAAAAGTTTGCTACCTGCACCATAGAAATCTCCTATGGTGCAGGTAGCAATTCGGTACTTTAGTGAGGGGACAAAGCAAGCCGTAGACGATATGTCTCTTAGAAGTGAATTAGATCTATTTTGTTCATGACTGAAAACAGAGATCTGCACAAATGCAATGAAGGAAGCAGCATTTGAGCTTTTCTAGCAGGTTCTTTTGTTGGAAAAATATTAGTCTGGAACAGCCACTGACACTTCTGGAGCAGATGCCAACATCTGTTAGCTTGTCACTCAAAAATTAAACAATGATTGCACTATTAAATGGGAATCAATCTTCGGTAACAATTGAGAGATCATGGACAATATTGAAGCACATTACATCTACAATTACCTATGTGACAAGAATAGATAGGATGCAAAAAGAACACAGTCCTCATAAGATTCAGGTCAGAGTAGTTATGTTTAAAATGGGTATTAAAAAAGGCTGAAAAATAAATCACAGCACACTTCAGTTGCAATAACAGCTCCCCCCCCCCCCCTCTTATGCTGGGTTATTTTTATTAGGCTGTTAAGATGGTTTCTACAAAATGCCGGCAAAAATCGTCATATGCACTAAAACGTCAATCAATGAAAATCCTTTTCCTCCAACTTTTATGAACCCAAGAACTCAAAATTCTAATATCATAAACCGCAAAAACCACCACCCAAGACTATGATGAAAACCTACACTTGTGTTTTAAAACTGACACTGCTTTAGCGGTGCTGGAACTATAGTTGAGTCAAAGTTTGATGCCCTTTCGATTGACTGCATGCTACAAGGGAACTACCAAATTTATTCAAATAAAAACACAAGCTTTTTTGTTTGTTTTTGTTTTCTTAGCATAGCTTTTGAGAACTAGAGGTCAACTTTCAATCAAGACCAAAGATGATCGACCTATAATGGTACTCAGCATAATTTCCAAGCTGATTGCACTAACGCACACGCTCCCCCATGTCAGCCATTGCTCCTAGAACACCGATGCAAAGTGGTGAAGCTTGATGCACGTGCTGGTGAGAGGCGGTGAAGCGGAGCAAGTGCGAAGGTCCACTGTAGCCACGGCATGTAAACGAGTTGTAAAATAACTTGTAGTCATTTTTATCAGGAACACACAGACTTTGTTTAGGAAAACTGTTGTTAGGAAACTATTGTAATACCAAACATTTTTCTACTCTAGATCTGCAGCAGAATGCCTAGAGAGTGCAGCTGTGAAAAGAAAATTTCCAAAAAGGAATTTACTTCATGCTAACATTGCAGTGAAAAATCAAATAAATTTTTTTGCCTTTTATGTCAAGCACAAAATCTTAATATCTTTTATAAAAGACATCCACAGTCAAAAAACAATTCCATAGTTGCACTGCCCATAAAATTCCACTTAGGAAAAACAATAAGCGAGTCTTTCCTCTTGTCCCATTAACAAACAATAGTTTTCCTAAATTAAATTTAAGCCAAAATGTGGAACGGAGAAAAATCTGTTCAAAGTGTTCCAACCCCTGCCTTTTCTTTAGCATCGGAGGACCGAAAATAATTTATAAAAAATTAACTATGCAGTGTAAACTAATGAAACTTTCTGAAAATACTCTCCGGGTGCTGGTGGATGTAAACATGACATTTTTCAAAATCAACTTTTTTTGCAGAAAATTTTTTTTCTGGGTAGTGTCCCACGATATTGCAAATTCTTCTCTCCTGACATTGATGACATTGCCTGGTAATCCAGACGATGACAGGGGGAATGTGCTTGACGAGCAATCTCTATGCCTTATTTCACTTTAGGTCGAAGCATCGCCGACGCTACGAACCAATGAGACCAATCAAGCGGCGTCAAAAGCGCGACATCATGGCATTCGTCATATTTTTGTATATGTTATTTCATTGGCTAAACCAGGTGTCTCCAATTTCTTTAGCTAAGGGGCCGGATTCGGGATCATTTGCAGTCTCAAGGGTCAGAAAATAAATAGGTCACTATAAACGAGGAAAAACTAAATAAGCAAACCTAGATATGCAATAAAAAAAGGAAATTTACGTTTGGCTAAACATAAAAAAAAGAATTCACACTGGATGACTACACTTAATTTATTTTAGTGTGTGTAATGTGCAAGAAATGTGCAAGTGCCGTCAGTGGGCAAAGAAACTTTGATGACTCACGATTTTGCAGGAGACAACATCACACTGTATCTCCTTGACAGACAGCATCTTCTCCTCCAGCTGTTCTTTCTTCTCGAGGACGCTGAAGTACTGCATTTCTTCCTCCGTTTCCAGCTAAAACAAAGGGAATAACAAGTAAGGTGCTTAGATGAAGATCGAAGTAACACAGGATAAAATGCAAATGAATGTCACATTTGAAATGGCTTCGGATAAAGTATCTAATGGTTTATGTAGCACCGAACCCAGATCGTCGTGAATTCACGGACAACTCACATCGTCGAGTTGATGCGCGTGGGATGACTTTTGGCGCAGCAACTTTTCCATTTCGTCCTTGCTCATCGCCAGTCCTAGCCGACTCTTCTTGGCTTTAGGAGAACCACCCTCTTCGTCTTTGCTGTGGTCACCTCCTACGTATAATGTAAGATAAAATAAAGGTGCATAGCAAAATGATTTTTTTTTTATAAAGGTGCATAGTGGCTATAAGAAATAAAACAATTGTAATACAGTGATGTCTTGGTATATGGACACCTCCGTTCCGCCAAGAAATCGTCCGCCTTGCGAGTTGTTCATAATAATGAGACAAAAATGCATGTATTTCCCCAGTTTGTCCCCAAGAATGGCTTCTATAAAGTGGGGTATCCATATTAACGGGATTCATATAAATGAGACATGACTGTGCACAATCTAAAGGACGGCATTAAATGGCAGTAGTGGTGATGCGTGTATCTGTTTTTATTAAAAAAATTAACTTGGCTTATGAATAAGGGAACTATACACAAGCTGAGGGTGTTTGGTCTTAATTCATAAGACTTTTTGAAAATGGAGTGAAAGTTAGATGACTTCTGCCTTCACCATGCGTTTATCAGGCTTGGTGGACATTAGGAGGGAATAATTGTCACAGTAAGTTCACTAATCAGGTAAAACCCCTTCATTAACTTTTTAATTATTGGTTTTAAGGGTCATGTTAGAACTGATGATAATGCAACTGAAGGTCGGCTATGGCGGCAGGGTCATGTGACGTCAAGATGGCGGCGCCCATGAAATATTGCCTGAAGGGGTCTATACTTCACTGTCCCCTCCAACCATGCACACATTTTAAAACTTTTTTTCTTACTAGTGTACATTTTGTAGGCACTCTCAAAAATTTGGGTTTCAACTTGATGTCGATATTGAGCAAAAGCTAGGAGCATAAGCTCCTTTAATGTGAACAAAATCATTACGTACAACTGCTCCACTGGGAAGCTAAGTAAAGGAGACCTTTTGAAGGACTTTCAATTTTGTAGCACATACTATACTAACCCTCAAAATTGAAATGAGCTGGAAAGTCGGTGACATTGCAAATCAAGTAGGAACTTACCCAGTTTTCTTTTGCAACCATTGCTGCAGCACAAAAAAAGATTTTAAATCAAAACTCAGTACTGCTAAAATTAAGCAGCTCTAAACTTTTTGTCCGTGGAACAAAAATGCAAAATGCAGGTAAGAGATGCTAAGTTTTAGTATGCTACATGTCTGCTAGCATTTGCACATGAGCATTTCAGTTTCTAAGTGCAACAGGCACTCCCGATGTTTCACAAGTCTTGTTTTATGGTGACGTTTGAAAGGTAACCAGAACGAAAAATGAGACCAAAGTGCAACAACTCACCTGATGGCTCGAGCTGATCGAGCTTCCTTTGGATCCTTGCCCGAGCCTCAGGGGAGGTGAAGTCTTGCTTGACTGCATTTGGATCCTTAGCAACCAAGGGCCCCTTCGCCCTCACCTTCTGGATAGCTTTTATCTATATATGTAGCGAGCAGGAAACAAAATACATTACCCAATTGTTCTAACTCCATTCAGTTTTCTTTTGCTCTTTACTGCCTGCTTGATTGGACCAAAATGCACAGGGATGAGCAGGTATAAATAAAAATATTTTTATGTGTAGTAAAACACCCAAATCACCGAAAGCAAAATATAATGAAAAATTGTTCTAAATCCTAGACCCTATTTCATTAAGATGCAGGACTTTTTCACACTTTTTTGCTTCTCCTAGAAGTGAGTACTAGCATTAGCATTGGAAGTGGTACTGTCTAGACCGGTTAAAACGGAAGTCAGTTATAACGAAATAGCGGATATAGTGAAGTGACCTCTGATTTCCGTTGACTTCGTTATGACCGGTCTTGACAGTAATGCGACACCAGTAATTTGTGTTACAACACGATGGAAATGGGTTAAAATGCAGTGGTTACTACTAAAACTGCAGGTGCGATTGTTCATTACACTTCTTTACTTTTCCACTTTTCATTCGAAATTGAAGGATGCAGCTCTCAACAACTGTGTTTTTGTTAAAGTTACTCTCTTGGCAACTTTAAGAAAAGTACCCAGTGTCCCCCGCACCTTGGCAATGTCGGAGGCAGCGAGTGGCTTTATTCCTGACACGGACGCAGTCCCCAGGTCCACAACTCTGTCATTGACAAGGCCTCTGCCCAAAACTGGGCTCATCTTCTGTGGCTGTGCCGCTCCGCCGTTGAGGCTTTTCAGCTTCTGTTGATGCATCCTGAGGAGGTCCTTGGCTGTGATGGAAACCACATCCTTGCTGGGCCCTAGACCAAATGAAAAGAGTATCACTGTCAGCAAGGATTCCTTAACCCTCTAAGCTCATGTGTCGGATGTCACCCGACAAAGAAACATTCCCGTCTCATTTCTGCTTTGCCGTCAATTGTCGCGTGCGCCCTGAAAATTTCAACTTGATTCATTTTCTTTCATCATCGAGTGCGTAAACTACTTTTAAAAATTTTATGGACAAGCGGAATTCTGCATGCACATTCACGCATTGTTTATCGTGGCAGCTTTTTCTCTGTTCGCTTTTTATGAAAACTATGTTAGCGATTCAGGTGACGGTGAAGCTGATTTTAGCGGAGAAGACAACCCTGAAGAGGGCTCTGAAAGTTTTCGTGATGAGTCTACAGAGGATGACTGTGACAGTTCTGCGAGTGAGAGTGAGGTGGAGAGTTTTACAGACATTGGCATTTCTCAATGCTGGACATGGATGCAGACCAAGATTCTGAAACTCCTTGTTGGAAAGTCCATGATCCCACATTTTCAATTGTTTTTAATGAATGCTTTGATGATTAATTTTATTTTACGCCCACTAAGTAAAGGTATTGTTTTGGTGTGAAATAATTCTTACCTGATAGGCCAACAAGGTAAAGAGTAACACAATTCCGAAAGGTTAAAGGGCCACCTCAAACAGAAACATTTTTGCCATGATCTTCGTACAATGACACAACTTAAGACTTCAATGCAAATATCAGAGGTTCATACAAAAAGAGGGTAATAGCATCTCTTCTTTGGATGGAGTTTCATAAACCTATTAATTAGAGGCACAGAACAGGCATCAGTGGTACTCTGTGCTGCATATTACGTCAGTTGAACTTCGACTAAGATCGCCTCACCAACACACTCCACTTCTTCATTCTAATTTATTTTGGACAATAAACATTGCTCCCTGGTATTAAATACACGAGGTTCCATGTTATAGGCTTCATTTAACCAATAAACACACAAAACTAACTCCCTGCCCATACCTTTGCCAATTATACGGAACACATAAACAGGGATTGTTTGGCTGCTTGCTCTAACTACCTATTTCCCGTTTCAAATGTAAAACAAAATAAAGATTATTACCATTATAACCCCTCAGTTATCTCAGCAAAAGCTCTTAGTTTCTTCCAAAAATCAAAACAGTCCTCAATTTCTCACTTTTGTGACAAGCAAATGATGTCTGACTTGCCAAGGTAAACTGATTTTTGCATAGTGGCTCTGTGTTCAGTGCTTGGATACAGCAAACATCTACATTACTGCAGATGCTCATGAGATCTGTAGGCACTGTCATTAATTAGATGGGGACCAACCAGGAGTTACTACCATAAGGTGCAGGGCAAAACCCTACCTAAAACGTGAAGATGATTATTAAAAAATAGGCAGCAAGAACATGCTTAGACAATTTATATGGACCTTATGTCCTTTGGTCCACTCTCAACTTCAAGGAGCACGAAGCAGTGGCACTCGGAAAGGCCCTTAAAATGGCACAAGCTCCAATCGATGCACCTTAATGCAGCGTTGCGAGTTTCAAGCAAGTCATTAACCCTTTAAGGGGGTACACTACCCAAAAAAGTGAATGTTTGAACGGCTTGTTTGATTTAAATTAGATTTACAGAGCTTGTTTCTGTTAACGTTGAGAACATTTCTGCCAAATTTTGTTAACCTGGGTGATGTAGAAAAAAAATTGCAAATGTTCAAAGATGAAAGTGGGCGTGTCTGTGTAGGAAAACTATCGTTTTGAAATTACTTATAAATTTGTCATTTCCATGTGTTATATTGCTTTAGAACAGTTCAGAGCAGATAACTATGGAGCTATATTTCTATATTATACCATCTTTCATGACAGAAAAGCCAGAGAAACACAAATACTGTTTTTTAGATTTCCATCCTTTGCCCAAACTTTTAGTTCTTGAGCATGAAAAATGACAAAAATAAAAAATACAAGTTCATAGTTATCTTCCCCTTAAAATTTCACCCCAGAAAAATTTCTAAAAGTGAATCCAAGCTACGTAATACCAAAACGATAGTTTTCCTAAAGTGAAATTTCTGCCAAAAACTGGAATGGAGAAAAATGCATTTGAAGTGCTCCAACCTCTCCCTTTTCTTTACCATTAGTGGACCAAAAAAAATTTATGAAAAATTAATTATGCAGTGTAAACTAATGACACTTTCTGGGAATACTCTCTGGATGTTGGTGGATGTAAATATGACATTTGTCAAAATCAACTTTTTTTTGCAGAAATTGTTTTTTCTGGGTAGTGTCCCCCCTTAAGTGCCTTGGACGAGCTGAACTCGTCGGCCGCTTTTTGGCTAAAAATGCCATGGACGAGCTCAGCTCGTCCAGTGGTTTTTTCGGTAGCCTTCAGTTCCATGGATGAGCTAGGCTCGTCCGAGTAGTTTGCGGCGCTGATCATAGATGGCAGCACTAGTTTTAGTTGACGCATTTTTTTTTTTTTCGCCGCCGCTGATTTTTGCGTAATAAACTTTTGAAATTTTATTTGTAATACTAGAGGCATAAAACTTCTAAATAAAAAAAAATATGGCACTTTTAGGGTTACTTTCCGAAAAAAAAAAGGGGCACTTAAGCGGTTAATACACCAGCTGCAGAATCAGGCCCCATTCTGAGTTCAAATCCCACTTCTGCTGGTCTTAAAAATTATGCATGTTGTACCAGCATGTCTTTGTGCAATTTCTATTGCAATTACACGAGGACATAAGTCAGCACATTTTCTTCAATTCAACTTTTGAGTAAAGTTGTACTAACCAGGTGCTGCACTAGTCGTTTTTTCCTTGACCACATGTTGGAGAAAGTTCCTGGAGCCAGCTCCGGGTTTGCAAAGTGCCTGACCCCTGAAATGGAAAGGCAGCTTTATTCACTGTCAACAAAATCACGTTCATTGCTCGCACTTGAGAGGAGATAAAGCATGAAAGTACAAAAACAAAATGAGCTCAACCTACAACACAAAGAGATATGTTATCACATAGGATTTAGACAGACAAACACATTTTTTCCCTAAAACAGCTGGTATTATTAGAGTAATAATTACTTTTTTTAACATGTTTGTACTGCACCCAAGATAATGTGAATTTTCACTATGATGCATAAAAATAGAGCAAACATTTGGCAGGCATGTTCAGATTACAAATATAATACCCGAGGCAAAAATAAGCCCAGCTCGAGCTGGTTAATGGATGTGGCCCCTGCTTGATCTAGATGAATTTAGCCAGATTAAGTTTCATTTCCAGCTAGGACCAGTTCCATAATCCAGTTCCAGCTCTACTGATTTTCACCTGAAAACTGAAATGTGTACATACACAAAGTGTATTACTAGTATAAAACTATGTACTGCTCATGACACATACGGTACGTGACCTACAAGGTATATCAAGCTAATCAGGTAAAAATGTTAAGCCTGTTCTTTGCAGCCAAAACGCTTAAGCAAACATTAGGCTTCCTGAAGGTCGAATGAGTAGGATACGACTTTGGTACGAGCAAACGAAGACAAAGCACAGACTCACAAAAAGTCAGACTTGGCTGCAATCTCATTGATGGCCTGATTCTCCCGAGAGGATAGATGCTGAAGTTTGATGGCAGAGGCACCAGAGAGACGCACAGCCTTCTCTATATCTTCTGCTTGTCGAGCAACTTTCAGGCTGCTCAGAGTAAACTTGTCCTTTCCTTTGAGTGCTTTCGTTGTTTGTACCCTAAAGTTAAAAACAAAGGTAAAGCTTTACATGCAGGAAAGCCCACAATTCCTGCGAGCCTAAACAGCACGACGGTCATTATAAACCCTGTCAAGCTGCTCCAAGACATACATACCACACATATCTTGGGAGGAAATACGGAATACAATAGATGAGTCACACCTCGAGGATCAATAAAATAGCGCAAATGTGTGTTGCAAGCATTCTCATACCGTGTTAAGGCGGGTTCACACACTTACAACGGCTTAGGACCATGTGCCTTAAAACCTCTTAATATTTTTTGCGAAGAGAGAACAGACGGGCGCCATCTATTGGGAAGCTGTGGAACACATTGCATTTCCATATATTTCCTATTTTTTCGCGCATCAATCTTTCTCTCTTTGCCTGAAAAACTTTTTGTCAATGTTATAAACAACCATCTCTCATGATAGTATATACATTTGATCCCCCCCCCCCCCGAACCTTTGCCCTAGTGAAATGCAGTTCCAAGGTCTCCTCACAAATGGTGTCAGCGAGTTCTCTCGTCCTAAGACATCACGAGAGCTTGGTCCTAAGCAAACGCGAGTGTGTGAACGAGCCTTAACTCTCAACAGTCTCAAAAATATGGCAAACGTTCCTTCACAGCTTGACATTTAGTATAAGTACAACCTCGGACGCTGTCCTCGTGCCACGAAGCACATCTGAAGACTGTGGACCAGCGCCAAAGAAAAGTCACTCAGAAAGTGTGCCCCATCATTCTATGGCTACTCGCAACAGTAGTAGGAGAGTGTAAGTTCAACGTACGAGGGGTTTATGTACATCTGGCCACCGTACATTATTTGGCTCTTCTGCAGAATCTTCTGCCTGATCCCTTGCGGTGCGACGCCTGAATATCTGCGGACCAGACAAACGTTGCAAATCAGACATGTGGCACTATGCAAAGAACAGTTCAACAACACTCTCGCCATAAGAATTGTGTTTCCCCATGCAGATACAGGGTCTTGGAAAATTATTTACCAAAACACCCGTGACAAACTCTCAAAGAAAAAGAAAATGTGAAAAAGCGATAAAAAAAAACATATCGCAAGGTGTAGCATATATGGAATACTGTAGCACTAACTATGATGGAGGCTTCAGAGTGTCAAAGAACTTTAGGTCAATGTCAGACAAGTCTGTAGGTTGAAAAATACCATGCTGGATATGGATAGTCTCCAAGCAGTCCACAAGTAGTAAGGAGATGTCACTCTGTGATGACTTGTGCACAAACTAGAGCTTTTTTTGACAAAGGTAATTTTTGTACAAACAATAGTTGACTATGCAGGAAAAGCTGACAAGTCCATACCTGCTTGTTATAAAATTACTATTAGAAATTCTTTACCTCAAGGTTTTTGAAGCATCAGGTTGGTCAGATTTTAGGTGCACTCCCCCCTTTTCTAAAGGTATTATCGCAGGCCCGCTGGTTTCTCTCAAAGAAAAAGAATACAGATATCATGAAGAATGTTGTTGGAAACTTACGATGCTTGTAACTCTGTTCGCTTGGAACTCATTTTTCTGTACTCTGCTTTGACGTGATACACACAGTATGGACATGTGTACCTAAATAAGAAAAGGGTAGAAAATCTTAAATGTTTACTCATTTAAAGTGTATTAGCTTGACTAGGCCCTTATAGAAGTTACAGTGAGAAAAATTACAAAGGCTAGATGAGGTGCAATAAAACTGGGAAAATATTTTCATGCTGCAAAGACTGAGGAATTACATCATAACTTTTTTTATGCACCATACATGCTATGCACAGCTCACTCACAAGCACGCCAATTTTTCATACGCCACGAGCGTTCAATTTGCTGAGTTAGTTGCACCCAGCAGAAGTTGTAGTACGAAGAAGCCGGTAAGTAGAAATAACCGTCAGTGCCCAGCAATGGCGACACTTGCAAGCTATGTATCTTAGGACAAAAGGAAGAGTATGCAAAACTGAATGACTAAACCAGACAAGTGATTAAAGAATATTGCATGAAAGCTGATAATAATAAAAACAACCATACACTAACTCCGGCCTTTGACAACACGGCAAAGCGGTGGTACTGAGTGAGATACACATGGGGCATGCAAAGACACACTCGAAAAACCAAGTTTGTGTAGAAGTGCAGTGCTCACAGTTTGTGCAGACAGATGTGCTTGTTTGCTGTGTAGCCAATCACTGTCCCCAAAAAGACTATTGGAAACGCATCCTCAATGAATACAAAATTACATGGACCTTCGTGGAACAAGGTCATGTCTTTCTATAATGTTAAAAGGTGAGCAAAAAGACAAGGACAAAAAAGAAACAAACACTACAGGATGGTCAGATCGTACAATCATGACAAGGGTCATACATTTTTTTTATATTCATGTAAAAAACATATGTCGAAGCCATGTTCTAGAGGGGGCTGTTCAGCTAAAATTCAGCTATATTTAGCATTGTAGCTTATTTTCTACCCGAGATAGAAAATTTCAAAGCTCGAGGCGTGGAGATTGACAAGGCTTCACTATGGCACTTTACACAGCAGTCAATTTCGCATCGAAGCATGCACATAGTATTAATTTTTACAGCAGAGCTGTCAAGGGCTAGTTTCCCCAATTTTGTGTCTGGTACCAAACAAGTGTCGACACAAAACTACAAATAACTCTGAACAGCTACCATCATTTTGAGCAACGGCGGCAACCAGTCTGGTTGCCACCATCGCTCATAGATGGCAGCAACCTTTCCAGCTATCATAGAAGAATGGATAGTTGGGCGAGTTGGTGGGAATTCATTGTAGGAAACAGCGCGCAAAACAGAGGACGAAGAAGAAATATATTGGACGAGCGCACACCTTCGCTGGTCTTCCTTCTTCACCAGAGTGAAAAGGCTGTTCTACTTATTTTATGAAAGGCTTAGAACATGTAGACAAAATATTAAAGATTACAAGAAAAAAATTTTATGCAAAAAAAAGCAATGAAACATGTCAAGCAAACATGCTTTAGAGACACATTCAAAAACTATATAATAACAAACTACTTGATATAAAATGTTGCAAAATGTATAAAAATTAGCATATTTAAATGCATTTCATGAATACATTAAAAACATGCTCAGCCAATATTGTAGCTGTTATTAATGTTGAAATTCAGATTTCTCTAAATGTGGCAAAATTGCATGTCAATACTTAAAAAAACTCCATCTTTTATTTTTTCTTGCACTTTCCTTAATCATCTGCAGTGTCTTAACTAACCTGTGATGGCAAAGCATTGAGTAACATATTATCTCTAAAAGAGAAAAAAGACCACAAACCATCACTCAAATTGAGCTAGCTTGTCTTTGTAATAGGGGCTCTGCTGCACGACATTGGCTCCAAACAGACATTTCCTAGATTGAACAAAGGCTGTACAGCGGTGCTGCTCTTTTGTAGGGCATATAAAGTCGTGCTGTCCCTAGCTTATCTTTATATTTGTGTTTCCTTGTGTTGCCTGCTAAGACAACCTCCCCTCCCTTTTCAAAATGTGTTCAATTAGGCGTTTCTTCAAAGCGCCATAATAAGCTGCGCCCCTCGCTGCTCTGTGCTTGAATATCGATTGGCTGGTACCACAAACCACAGTTCCGAAGTAACAGCTCCTTGTCCGTCGCAACTTTGGCCCGTCGAGCGCCGCCATCGCGTCGTCCAACCCACAGTAAGTCGCCGTACTAAGGATGACGTGTACCTTACATCTACTACTTCCTGTGATCTGTGCAAGTGGGGTTCATATTCATTTCCATTTTTAATATTGAATGGGTGCCTTAGATGACCCATGACTTTAAATATATTTGGTATGCATCAGTTTGAATGGCACGTGACTGTGGAAAAGATAGTGAGTGCACCTGAAACTGGCCAATTCTCGGCCGGCGGTTTTCAAGCAGAGAGAATATAAATTTCGAGCTGCAAATTGTGTTCTGGGTAGTTGGGCCCTCATAGGTCATGTTCAAATAAAAACACTGGTATGCATAAGTAACCTGCCAGTGTCCCTTTAAAGTGCTTACTCAAATCTTTGTGAGTAAGTGCTTCTTTATGCTGTTTCTCTTTTGTCTTCATCTTTTTGCACCATTTTTTATTGTTATAAGTCAGTACCAGCTAGTCCAGCTTGAAATCCTTTTGCAGCAAAGAGCCTTTCTCGTGTTCCCCAAGTTGCAAAAACTAGAGAACTTGAGGGTTTTGCATGTCTATCCACCGAGCTGAATCCGACATCTACCCGAGCAAACTTGAGCACTCACCCGAGAAATTTAGTGTAAAACATTTAGAGTTAGCCCTCGTTTGGCTCAGATGCCACGTAAAAATGGAAATAAAAAAGGCACCCACGTGTTGACCACCATCGTGCAAGGGTGTCCGCTTTTGGAGATACCCTTGCATGTCCCAAAGTCCTTTGAAGTGCCCATGAGCATAACTTTTCCTGGGTGGTCAATGCTCAAGCACACCTCAGACCTACCATTCTGAAAGCATGACCCACAACACCATCCATTAATGTTTCATGGTCAATGGTCAAGCACACCTCAGACCTGCCATTCTGAAAGCACGACCCACAACACCCTCCATTAATGTTCCAGTAAGCCTGATCATCTTAGCCTAGGAAGGTGAGCAGGTTGACCTCCTCCTTGCAGAGCACTTGTCTAGATTCGCTTATCATACACTTTTGCTGCTTGCCTAGACAGTTTGGATGACAAATGACTTAGCTAACCGAGTCGAAATAAAAGAATATTTGGTATGCACTTTTCAACTAAACCAAGTTGCAGGCCATGACCCAATAGATCCTTGACACTAGGCAATGTGAATATATTCATGTAGGTGTTCATATTTTATAACAAGCAAAAGGTGGCTTTAAAGCAGTGTCTCACTCACATAGCTGTCCTTGTTTGGCATAACCGACGGGTTGAGGAATCCAACAACGGACCCAACTGATGTCTTCCAGTGTTTCTCGTGGACCTCTCCGAAAAGGAAGATGCTCACGAGGTTCTCGCAGTCCTGCAGGTCCGTCAGTTTCCAGATAGAAAACGGCTTTCCCTGCGGGTCGCAAAACATTGTCCTCACATGCGTCAGGGTCGCACGCAGATTCTCAGCCTCGCTACAAGTTGGCATCACTCACATTCTTTGACGTCTTTGGAGCGGACTTGTTGACCAACACGCCGACTGTCACCCAGTCGTCTTCTATCTTCTTGGTTTGTGCGAAGGTAGGTACCAAGGACATCTTGACCATCTTCCGGGAGGCCATTCGGGCCTCCATGACTGTTGACGACACAAGGGGGTTGCTGTCAAAACAGAGGGCATTGGATGTTCAGTTGGAGTCTTCTGGTGTGGGCACCCACGACTTCAGCCAAGTAAGCAACATTGAACACCCAAAACATGAAGCTTGACTGAAAGGTAGGGTAACAGCTCTGAACACTCTTCTAGGGATTGCTCACCTGAAAACAGGAAATGACTCGAGAGAGGAAAATACAGAACACTTTTCATGTATATCGAGGGACATCAAATTGGCCTTAATCAGAAAATAATTATCATAGGAGACATGAATACCTACTTAAAAGTGTTTCATGGGTTCACAGATACAGCCAAAATGTTAGATTTTTGTGATGCCCTGGACCTACTGTTGGTTAATGCACAAGTAAAATGTGACAGGAAAATAACATGGGAATGAAACAACTCACGCTAACTAAACAAAAGACTACTGCCTCATGTGCACCAAACTGTATGACAAGTTAGGAAGCATAGAAATAGATGAGGAAGGTACAAAAAGCTTGGGGAGTGACCACGAAAGAATTAAGGTTAAATTTGGTGCATCAGAACCAGATCAAGCTAAGGATTGAGGAGGGTAAGCCGAAACTAAGGCGCGAGACACATGGGCGAAAAACCCATCCGATCCGACGTACGATCCGGCAGTACGACTGCCTGATCCAAAAAATTTGGTCGCTTCAGACGTCGGATCGGCGATCCGACATACGTCCAACGCGCCAGATAGTTTCGCACGGCGGACGGATTGTCGGATGCGTCCAGCCAATGAGAGCACAGCTAGCGCGAGCGTCATGTTGACGTACTGGCTCTGGCGGGACGAACAAGAAAACGGGACGGGCGACGGAAGGCCGGACGTGTGGATCCCACTGACCCATTCGAGAAAGATGGCCCCGGCGAAAAATGCACGCGCTAACGAGAACGAGCTTCTAACTTCGTTCGTGTGAGCTAAACCGTCAATCTGGGACCAGAGATCTGTAAACGCGGACCTCCGCTGGGGTGCTTGGATCTCCTGGGCGGAGCCAAACGGATTGTCGTGTCGCATGCAAGGTCGGAAGCGTGTGTCTCAAACTGTCGCGTGCGGCGATTCGGAGCGGCGTTCGGACTGTCGGATCGGACGTCGGATCGGACGATTCTGCCGTCCATGTGTCTCGCGCTTAAGTGAAGCTCAAATACAAAAAAAAGTGAAAGCCGTTTACAACTCCCTGTAACACCGAATTGGAGCGCAGCTCTTGAGGAGGAGGAGGGAAGGGCACTGGGGGGGGGGGGTTAAACTAACCAGGGGGGGTCACGTGACCCCCAACGCCGATGATGTCATCACTGACGTCACTGATGACGTCATCAGTGACGATGACGATGCGGGTACCGATGACGATGCGGGTACCGATGACGTCATGAAGTCACTGATGACTTCACCAGTGATGATGACGATGACGATGCGAATGTCGGTGACGTCATCAGTGACGTCGCTGATGACGTCATCAGTGATGATGACGATGCGGATGCCAGTGACGACATCAGTGACGTCACTGATGACGTCATCAGTGCAATCAGGAAATAATTATCATAGGAGACATGAATACCCACTTAAAAGTGTTCGACGGGTTCACAGATACATCTGTAAAGTTGTTAAAAGATTTTTGTGATGCCCTGGACCTAGTGTTAGTTAATGCACAAGTAAAATGTGATGGGAAAATAACATGGAAATGAAACAACTCACACTAACTAAACAAAAGACTACTGCCTCATGCACACCAAACTGTATGACAAGTTAGGAAGTATGGAAATAGACGAGGAAGGTACAAAAAGCTTAGGGAGTGACCACGAAAGAATAAAGATTAAATTTGGCACGTCCGAACCAGAACAAGCTAAGCATTGAGGGGGGTAAGCCGAAACTAAGTGAAGCTCAAATACAAAAAGTATCTAAAAGTACTGAGAACATAGTGTCGAAACAAAGAAAAGGGAATGGACGTATGAGGATCTAATAGAAATCTTTAAAAGAGAATTAGAGAAGCATCGAAACTAAACGAAGAGGAAAGAAAAACGAAGACACAAACCAAAAGACCAAAGACACCGAAGCACTTCTCATGAGTTGTGAATGCGAAAGCATGAAAGTCATTCTTCTGCTCCCTTAGTTCGTCTGCGATGTAGTAGTGTGGACGGCCACGTTTCGCTACTGCTGAAGTAGTAGCCAACGGCCGACCGCACGCTCTCAAAAAGTGGCCGCGCCGAGCTCAGCCGTGCAGCCTCTCCGAAGTTTGCCCGAGCGGGCTGTGCAGCCAAGCCCGCTCCGCCGCACCTCTTAGCGGTGGCCGAGCCACTGCGTGCGCTGTGCCACCATGGAGAGTGCTTCTCTGGTGGCATCTCTTGGAACTATGCCGTGTGAGAGCAAATGGGAGCCTCGTTCCTTGATGACGCACACCAGCCAATGGGAGCCTATCCATCAGGTCGCGGTTTCACTTCATTTCATTAGGACAAGGGAGTTTAGCTGTCGTTTGACGCGACTTCAAAGCTGATGACGTCGGTTCACTCCATGGGACAGTTAATGATTTTGCATTAAAAAGCTGGTGGAATTAGGAGGTCAAAGCAGCCATATCGCAGCGCCAAGAGGCATCTAGGGAGCTTAAGTGTGCAAAGAAAAGGGGAGCCTTGCCAGCTGAAGTAGCATCAAAATGGGAAAACTTCCAAAAGCAGAAAAGGGAGGCATCAGCTTTAATACAGGCCAAAATTGGGAGTGCAGTGGATGATGAAAATAAATAAAAAAAGATAGGAATCCGGCAAAAAGGTTTTGGGCGCACATTAAGGCAGAGGGGAGAAAGACGGAGGGTTTCCAACACCTACTGACCACACAGAAGGGGAGAAGACTAGAGGGGGGAGAGGCACGGGAATATATTAGGCAGACAATCAAAAAGACCTTCTCCCAGCTTTAGCAGAGGGGGACAGTGGACAGCACTGACAGCAGCAATGTAGAGGAAGAGCAGAAATGCGTAACAATGAAGACGACCACAAGAGATTGGGAAAAGGCAGAAAGTAAGGTTCCAGCAGGTACAGCGACAGGCCCAGATGACTTACCCGTGGAGTTCATAAAGACACTATGAAAAACAAGCAAATTGAAGTTGCAGTATGTGATTAATCAAATAATTATGGGAAGAGAGGTACCCAAAGATTGGAAACTAAGTAAAATGAGACTAATATATAAAGGCAGAGGGAACAGTCCTTTGTAACTTGCTGCTTGTTTAGAGTATGAACCAATGCCTTGAACGTAGACTTAATTGTGTGGTACTAAGCTGATAGTCCTGGCTGTATTGCGAAGCAGAAAAGAATGCGAGTTGTAAGATCCAAATGAGGTTTAGAATTATGAAGGAGGTGAAAGAAACTGATTCTGGTCACTTCAGTTGTATGTTAGGTGGTCACTGGCTTGGTGTGTAAACCTCCCAAATTAATTTTCATTATAGTGCTTACCGAACAACTGTTTGTGGGCACAAAAGGATGTGCCAGCGATCGAAAACACGCTTCTGCATTAATTCATAATCACAGTAAATTTATACTGGAGACATAAAACAAACAAAGGCAACTTACATGATTCTTATTCCCGAGTAAGGGTCTGTGACACCACCGCTTTGGTCCAAAGACATTGCCGTCCGCTTGCTGCTCCCTAAGAACACAACATGGGAACCCATCATAAGACACGAACCAAAAAACCCTGTAAACAAAATATCTTACACGTGGTTACCGGTCTTCTCGGAGCATCGGAAGAAAACGTCCGAGCTTCCAGTGTTCTCTTTATGGTTTTTCCGCCTTTAGTCAAGGCACTCTCCGTCGGGTAACGCTTCTCATCGTCCGAAGAATCCGTGTCGCCTGAGTGGACGACGCTCCTACCGGATGTTGGCGCTTTCGTAACACCTGGCTCGCTCCCTTTCGAAAAAATGTCCTCGTCGAGCAATTTTAACGAAGTATTAGCACGAGGTTTCTTGAGGCTGTTCGGATCCACCGCGGGAGGTGTGCTCTTCGTTGCAGCGAAGCTATTCTCTGTACGGCAGGCGGGGGACGAGGCGTTCTTCTTACTTAATTGCTCACGAAGTCTGTCCATCTTCTCTTGCATCTCTCGTAGTTCTCTCTCAAGATCGTCGCTGGAACTGACTGCATCGTTGGTTTCATTTCTTCGGGGATCTTTTACGATCGGAGTGGGAGGTTCGGTGATATCGGCTTCTTCGGGTAGTTCTTCGTTGAGCAGTTCGTCTAATGCGTCGAGGTCCAGTTCTGGGTCGGACAAAAATGGAAGTATAAGGATTATTATTATGAAGTGGAACGCTGTAAACAATGAACGGTTAAAAATCTCACCCTCCATGGATTAGTAGTTTGCGCAAAAAAAATTGGATGAGTGATGTTTCTCCGGCTACAGGAGGACACACACAGTTCCCGCGCTTATCAACGATGATGATGATAGCAATAATAGAGTGCGACAATAGTTGTAGACTGGCAGTGGTGCAGCAGCAAATGTATTTTTATTTATTGATTTTATTTAACTTGTGACAAATATTTTTAAAGTTATAGTAAAAATAAACTATTTTTGGGTTGTCGTTTTACTATTTCGCGGCGGGCACAGGGCCAACGCCAGCGGGCCAATTTCACACGCTAGGCGGCGAGCATTGGAAAACATGGTCGTGTGTTGATGTTGCTTTGGAGCATGATCGTTTCAGAATGCGATAAAGTTTTGCTACGTGCACTGTGACGAAAGCGAACATCGAACGTACAAAAGAAACAACGGTTTAGCCACCAGTTATGTGACGACTTCGGCACCAGGTCCTGTACGTCTCGTACGTGATTCGCAGAAAAGCAGCACGCGCGATATTTAATTCTTGCTGCCTCTCTATACTTCAGTCGATCTTGCAATTTTTTTACTTCCTAATCGCCCCCTCATACGCTGAAATTGCTTACTATTTTGCCCCTACCGCAGTTCGCGTTTCATGGTTACCCGCTGATCTTCCATCTTCGCACTATGACAAAACGAGCGGTTTGATGCAAGTTGGAATTCTGCATTACAGGTGGCAAGGATTCAACTTCGGCACCCCGTCACTACCGCCTCAAATCATGGTAAGCTCGTGTACCATTCGCCGCTTTCTCGAACACCATTTGAGATGCCGGCGCGCCGCCACTTTTCGCGCCAGCGCTTTCCAAGTTCCGTATTTCGCAAAATGCGGATCTGTTATTCCACTTTGCCAGGATTCCGAGAAGAAAACGGAAATCAAAGGGAAGAGCTGGCGCCGTGAAAGGGAGGAAAGAGGCCGACGTCAACAGGCAAAGGCGTTGCAGGTCGAACATGGGGACCAAAAAACCGGAGTACACTGTAACAACAACATGCTCCACAGTCCTTCGAACAATGGACACGGTAAAAAAGGTCACTATCCTGCCACATCAAGATTATGCTCGACATTAAGCTTCATTCGTATTCAACCTTCAACCAGTATTTTTTTTCTTTTTTTGCAGAGGACATGGCAGGTACTAATAACAATAGTCATGGGGATCAGGCTCAGCTGAGACATCCCGACGCCGATGCGGTGGCTGAGATGCCTGGCGATGTCTTGGAAACCACGGAAGCTGTAAGCGAAGCTGGTTAATCCAAGTTTTGTTTCGAAGCTTTATGTGCAGATGATGCCTTCACTTTCCTAACATTCGTACATGGTGAACTCTAGGCTATGGCTACAAAGTTAGTTTCACCTCAAGCTCATAACCATGGTAGAAATACAGCCAGAATCTGCTGTGAGGAGAAAAGGTATAAGGGTCGTCATGGTGTATAAGCAGAGTCAATTGTCCATGTATGCTGTTTAATCTTGACAGGAGTTTCACTCCGACTGTGATGATTTTTAGTCCTTGCTCGCATAGAACAGCAAGCTCTGCCGTGTCATGTTGCCACTGTAGAAGCTGTGGTTCCAGCAGCAGAGTAAACAGCATTGCAGGAAAATTTTTGTTAGCACGAGTCATAGATGGGCATACTGTGTGGGCATTCCAAAGGGTAAGTTGCAAAGAAACTTGCCTATTGATGAGCTTAGACGAAGGATCCAAATGAGCTGGATTGAGAAATCATTAGGGACTTTTAGCAAACCGTTGCCGTGTTCCGCGCACCACACTACCGGAGCTTTCAAAGCGTGCTTTTAAGCTCGTGCTCAGGTGATACCGTGACTGTGAGGTGCTCGCTTAAAAGCGTGTTTCAAAGGCTCCAGTTGTGCGGAACACGGTAACGGTTTGCTATAAGTCCCTATTTAAAAACCAGCTCATTTACATCTTTTGTTTTTATCTCCAAGCTTCTATAATGCATGAAATGTAGTGTTTAAAGGGACACTGACAGGGTATTTATGCTCGCCGAGGTTTTTAGTTGTACGTGACATAGGAGAGCCCAACTACCCAGAACACAATTTGCGGCTCGAAATTTGGTTTCTTTCCGCCCGAAAACCGCCGATCGAGAACTGGCCGGTTTCAGTCGCGCTCACTGTCTTTTCTGTGGTCACGGGCCGTTTTCTAAGGTTTCGATGCAACTACCAAATTTAACCAAAGTCGTGGGCCATTGAAGGCACACAGTCCATATTAAAAAAAAAAAATATATAAAACCTATTTTTTGTGGTTTCCAAAAAGCTGCAAATACGTTGATCGAAAAAAAAAAGGTAGCATAGACAGTGGAAGCATTCTGTGCGTTCACTGCATAATTTTCAACATGGCGTCGTTTCGCGTATCGTGGAACTAGTGGATGGCAGCGGACGACGGGCGTTAGACCTCTACTTCAGAACTGTCGTTCACGATACCGGCGAATTCTGTCTTCCTTCGAAAGAGAAATTTTGGGTCGATCAAAAGAACTGAAATTCATCCCGTACGACACGCACGACCAGCAAGGCCGATTGCACGAAGACGTCCCCGAGTCGTCGTCCCTTCTCGAAGCTGAAGACATCGCTCACTCAAACGTTAAGCACGAAGTGCGTACTTCGAGTTGAATACGCACGCGTACGGTTTCTTTACGAGGTGCGAATGTGGCCTATGCGTGGTGCTGCCCGACTTCAAGCCGAGAATGCATGTATTGAAGGGAAATCGGCAGCAAACTTCCGACATACAATCGACCTGCTTCATTACTATCGGCAGCAAACTTCCGACATACAGTCGGCCTGCTTCATTACTACGCATGAAAGAGTTCCTTCAGTAGCTCAGTGGAAAGACGTCCGCTTCGCACGCGGAGGGCACGAGTTCAATCCCTGGTGTGGGTGTACCCTTTTTTTTTTTTTTTTTTTTTTTTTGTCAAACATTTTTTGATGTTTACATTTCTTTTTTTTACAATTATCACTGAAAAAAAACAATTGTTGTGGACGATACGTCGCTGAACTAAATGGTATGGGATTCCATTTTTGACACCTGCGAACTGAATGTAGTCACTTTCAAATGCAAGGAGCATATGAATCGGGTAGCGTCCGCTTTCCGAGCTTCGTGTAACTGTTCTGTAGGAATTGCAGCCAGCCAATGATCCCGACCCTTTGATCTTTCGGAAACTTGTGCACTCTGCCGCACAATGCCACTTTCAGATGCAGGACATCTGGGGCAGCTCTTCACGCAACATCTTGGGAGTATTCTTTTCGGAGCCGATCACGGGAATTCACCACGGGCACTCACTACTAATTGCCAATACTTAAATATACAAAACAACTCATCTTGAAGTACAGGACAGCGAGCGGAACAAACATAACTGCAATGGAATCGCACGGCGAATGAACGCAATTCGTTTACTATGTGCGGAGAAAAAAAAAGAAAAACCCGCAAGGTTGGGTGTAGCCACGTGACTTCCGCCACTCACTCTATCCTCTCCACTTCTCCGTGGGGTGCGGGAGTTTCGGTTTCGAGCTGTTGTGTTTTTTTGGCTTTATTAAAAAAATATGTGACTCTGTAGCAAAATATTCATTGGGTAGTATTCCGACACCATAATGAATCGCGTGACAAAAAAGGAAAAACAAAGTTTGGGGGGTGTCAGTGTCCCTTTAAGGCAAGATTGGTGAGATTGGTTTAGAAGACATTAAACAGCTGTTGGAGGAAGTGAAAAAGGACATATTTTTATAAATTTCACCACCAAATTTAGCGAGCAAACTGACTTTGTGCATAAGTCACGTGATGTCAGGTGATATGATATCAATTTTCTCGTTAAATTTAGTGTGGAAACCGAATTGGGGTGTATGTCTCGTGACGTGATGTCATGTGACATCAGTTTTCCCGCTATATTTATCCAGAAAACAAAATTGGTGTTTAGGCCACGTTTCGTCAATTCCTCCGCTAAATTTAGAGTGGAGACAATATATGGATAGGTCACACGACATTGATTTCCACACTAAATTTAGCAGGAAATGCACGGACGGACGGACAATATTTTGAGATTGAGATTTCATACTTTAAAAGTCGTTTTAACTCCTGAGTGCGCCATACTTTGTGGAATAAAATTTAAGAGCTTGGAGATTTGTGGTGCGTTTTGCCTTCTGTCTCCACTCTCCGAGATTGAGATATATTTGTCTGTTTCTTCCACCCAGTTGTCTTGTGGGGCTTCTGGGCCTCGTCTTTCAATTACCTTACTTGTTCCAGCATGCAATGTTTAACATAATTTAACCCCTTAAGTGCCAATTTTTTTTTTCCAAAAGTAACCTAAACGTGCCATATTTTTTTTTTGAATTGTTATTCCTTTAGTATTACACAAAAAATTTGAAAAGTTTATTACGCAAAAATCAGCGGAGGCGAAAAAAATATTTGCCAACTAAAACGACTGCTGCCATCTATGATCAGCGCCGCAAAACTACTTGGACGAGCCTAGCTCGTCCGTGGAATTGAGGGCTACCGAAAAGCCACTGGACGAGCTGAGCTCGTCCACGGCATTTTTAGCCAGAAAGTGACCGACGAGCTCAGGTCGTCCAAGGCACTTAAGGGGTTAATACAATTGTTTATTTGTTGTGTTCACAAAGACCTTGGTAATGATTCGCAGAAAGGTTAGGCATACAGTGGCCCACAGTAGCTTAAGTTAAAACCAGGACAAATATTTAATGTTGTGTCTGCTTGAACAATTATAAAAAAAATTTGAAAAAGCATAATTGGTATAGCCAAATCAATGCCAGTAACTGAAAAAGTTGATATTTGAAATACACAACTGCAAAATGTTGATGTAGGATAGGCAGAGTCGATTACACCTCATAGACATTTGTGCAAGAATATAAGCCTTGGTTCACAGCACCTCAATTCCCCTGTTAAGTACTAGGCATGCCACCATGCTCATGCAAGTGCTGACCCCATATTTGTTTTTTTGTAATATTAGCTTCCCAAAAAATGTATAAATCAAGTTTGAGCTGGGCTCGAGCAAGTTTCAAAGCCCCAACTTTCTTATCATATCCTAATTTTGTGAGGGTGCTAGCTTAGTATTTTATAGCATGTGTATATATCTTTGAATGAGGCATCATCTGCGATTGGTGCAATCAGTGGAGGATCACTCAGTAGAAAGGACATCACCCCAAATATCTTCAGTTGTGTGTGACTCATGTGCAGGACACCCGTGCAAAAGAGGAGGCTGCTTCCATTGAAGAGAACGAAAAAGTAAGTGTTGATGCTCATAACAAACAATTAATTAAAAACAAATATGCTTTTTTTCTTTTTTAAGACCTTCCTTGACTTATACATTGCTGAAACCCGAGAAAGACATCACCTGAAGACCGATCTGCGGAATAAGAACCTCGCCGCAGCAGGCAAGTTTTCTTGGGGCTACAAACTGTTTTCTTGATGGCATATTTTGATAACTAGGTGAACAATGTCTCCTCAAGCACTTGTAAAGCTTGAAACATGATTCTAAGCTGTCAAATATCTGCAGGTGGCCGTCCCGAGGAAGCTTTCTTTAGTAAACTTGACTCAAACCTGCGCAAAAACACTGCCTTTGTTAAGAAACTGGTAAGTTTGTCTTATGGCTATGTCTTGAGCAATACAGATTAGTCTGTACAGAATTTTGTTGAAGTGAAAGTAATGTCCTCGCTTATTTCCAGAAAACAATCACCGAGGCTCAACGCGACTCGTTAATGAAAGATATGTCCGGGCTTAACCTAACAAAGTACATCAGTGAAGCTGTAAGTACCGCAGTTTTAATGGTTTGTCGCTAGTATGTGGATTCTTTTAAGCCCGGTGTGCTCGATTTTTGTTGGACCCTGGGTGTTTGGATGTGGAAAATTTCAACAGGAATACTTCCCTTATGCTTTCAGGCTGCTGCAATTGTGGAAGCAAAGTTAAAGGTTTGTGTTCTGACTTTGAAATTTTGAGAAGCATTTCTAGACAGTCGATTGAACCAGCATCCTTTTGTGGTGCACTATGGATTGCGTAACAGTGGCATCGTGTTTCTTGTATAATTTCTTGCAGATGTCTGATGTTCAGACTGCCGTTCTGGTATGTTCGGCACTGCACCAGCGGTACGCCGAGTTCTCCACGCAACTACTTGAAAATTGGGTGAAGGCTCTGCCCTTGAAGAAAGATGACAAGGTTTGTAAAATTTCAATGAACCCCGTAATTAATTAACATTACTCTGCAATTTCTTTCTTTCCAACGGTACTGTTTATGTCCGTTCTGTAGCTCTATGTCCGTTGGAGAGCAAGTGGGACGTGAATTTTCGTCTAATTGGTTTCTTCTCTTTTTCTTCCTCTTTTTCAGACAACCAACCTGAGCAAAATAAGGGTGGACTTGAGGTTTTTCGCAGAGGTCAGTTTATACGGTCGGAGGTTTTGCTCCAATCGCTTCATGTATCCTTCTTTTAAACAGCGACTAAACCCTGTTTTGCCTCACGATGGATCGCGACAAATGCTATGAGCCACTGGAGCCAATCCAGCTCTAAGAACGTATCATGTGACTGTTTGCCCCGCACACCGGTGCACCTTTCCCAAAAGTCACATGCAATGTCCGTCGTAAGGTGAAACGAAGTATAGGTTTACGATAAGGAAAGGGGAACATTTAAGACAAACAGACAAGACAGTCTGTTTGTCTTAAATGTTCCTCTTTTTGTCCTAAATGTTTGTCTTAAATGTTCCTCTTTCCTTATCGTAAATTAATAACCAACACACTCAACCATCTACAGGAGTATAAGTGTTCTTTAATACTATTACGCCTTTTTTTGTCGTATGCCTGAGTTCTGACGCTTTACGATTGTCACGAGAGCTTGTTACTTTCTGCCAGTTGCTGTCTTCCGGAGTATTCACGCAAAAGGAAGGGCTTCCAGTGCTCAAGAACCTGCTGACATTCCTGACGACCAGCGACCGCGACGATCACAGCAACCTGAACATCCTGCTCAGTTTCTGCAAGCACTGTGGAGATGACTTCGCCGGGCTGGTCTCTCGCAGAGTGCGTCAGCTGGCCGAGAAACACCGCTATGCGCTGCCTTCGAGTGACGTAAGCTGCTTTTAATCTATATTTGTTTAGTTCTTGCAAATTGTTTTCCAAGGGACCACCAAGGGATGCAGACACAATACAGAGTTAGAAACTTTGAATGGCGACTTTTTTTTTCTTGCATCTACAATGACTGGTTGTGTTGAGTTTGCTTCTAGATAAGAAGAGCTCCTGTAGCCATTCATAGAAACGAAGCTTCCTGGCACAGAAAGATATTCAGCCAGTCTGGTCCTGGTGTTCTCTCATTAGTGCCAGAATTGATGCAAAGCCCAGCGTGGTGCTTTGTCAGCATGCAGCTCTTGTAATCGTGCCTGTCAGCAAGCAGCTCTTAAAGGGAAATAATCCCTGGAGAAGGGGAACAAGAGGGACAAAGGACAAACACAAATCTCCAATTCCAAACACTGCTAGGTGACTAATGCGCAACCAATAAAAAAAAACAAAAAAAACATGCAATTGTTTGAAATCGAAACTGGACTGGGGACGAAGAAGAAAAGTAGAGTAGGAGAGAGTTGCCGGAGGTCACATGGCTACACCCAACCGCATTTGCATTCTCTTTTTTTTTTTTTTCGTTTTCTCGGTTGTGCGAAGCAAGCGAAAAACTAGCACGTCGCAGGTCGCACGAAAAACGCAAAAGTCAAGCACTTCGTGCTTGATATTTGCACGTGTTTCAAGCTCTCACCAATTTGTGTTCGTAAGACGAGCGATGTCTTCAGCCAAGAGAGGATGGTGACGACCTGGCGACGTCTTTGTGAGAATCAACTTGGCGGTCGACTACTGCCCCGGGTGCCACTAACCCTAGTGATGCCACTGACAGCAATATCAAAGTGGGGTGCGGGTAGTATGGTTGCAAAATATAAGCAATATTAACGTTAAATGTTTGCGTTCCATGTGGTTTTAGCAAGCGACCTCCTACCGACCGAAATGAAAGACGAAAATAACTCTAGCATACTTTATGAAGTATGTTTATTGATTGAAGACACATTGATCTATAGCCTCACAGTTAAATCATGTCTTCATGCCTCGAAGCTAGGATCTTTTTCTCGAATTACACTTTTCGAGACACGGTACTATGCAAAGTGGCACCCTTGCCTTGCACCCTGGAGTCACCCTTTTAAAGTGGCTTTAGCTGGAGCTTTTTTTATTGGCAACTGGGACTTTCTCGTTTAGTTTATTACTACATTAGATACTTTTTTTTACTAATTTCGAGATCTCAGTGTTTGCCATAAGGCGCGAAGTCGAACGACATAGGTTTGTCTCTTTGGAGCAATGAAAAGAACAACTCGGGACAGAAGTCCCATAAGCAAAATTTTTCACATTCCGCTAACGACCGTTATTGCGAGACAAAACATAGGCTCTACACGTAAGAATAAAATTGACAGCCCAGTTGGGAGGGGCAGGGATCAAATCGAAACTGAAACCGCAGAAGAGCGTCCAGAGTATATTCGGGCATGCCACTAAATGGGTTAAATCCCCTGGAGCTTGGGTATTCAAGGGCAGCACTAACCCCAGGTTTCTCGGTTTTCCCCGGTTTCGATAAAACTGGCTCGGGGTTTAATTTTTGGGGAGAATTGATATGAACGCAGAACCCTACCCTTAAGTCTGCAGCATCCTGCGAGTGATCACGATTCCCCCCCTTCCTCCCCCAGTTTCTGGCCCCAGAGAAGCAGAAGGGGGTGCAGGCCCTGCTGAGGGAGTACTTTCGGTCCCTGTGCCGCCACTTGCTCCGGGACCACAAGAACCTGCAGTCCCTGGAGAGGCACAACCGCAGAGTGCTGCAGACCAAGGGGGAGCTGAGCACGGACCAGAGGGAGAAGTGCGAGGCCACCCACCTGGCCTTTCAGAAGCTGCTGACCGGCACCCAGCAGCTGGCCGTGAGCCCCCTTTTTTCTCCTTGCCTCGGCAGGATCACTAGACGGACGAACGTGGCAGAACCCTCTTAATCGGGTGGTGTCGCACGCCCCCTGGGGGGCAATGAGGCAGGGGATGGCGATGAGGAAGCAAGGGCTCTTTTGCTTCTGGTTCAGACTTTGTCTTCGGGATTACCAACTTTTTACGCCAAGATTTGTTTTCTTTGTTTCGCGCGGTGCCAGTTACCTTCGAGCTGAAAGATATTTTTCTCGTGCAGCCTTGTACCGGGTTGGATTGAGAAAATGATACCCTACTATTTGGCCCGCATAAGTAAACTATGCATTGTAGAAAGCTGAAACTCTGTGAGAATGTGACGCTAGCAGTGGGGATAAAATGCAAAAGTTCGAGCACATGACATTACCTAGATCGAAAGCAAAAAAAAAAAAGTTCTATGAGCTGACGTCCACCTGGGCCTAATGTTACAGCGAAGCTGTTTATGGCTAGGGTTCCGTGGATTTTCCATGTGCATCAACAAAAACTCGGGTCCTGAATTTGATGCAAAATCACTTCATTCTTTGCAAAAGCTTATACGTCTCATTTGGATATGTATTTTCAGCAGATTAGTTATCCACAGGCACCATTTTCAAGATCTGTAGACTCTCAGTTAGATAATTAGGGTTTCTCAAAGATTTGCAGCTGTGTGACCCGCGTCGGTCATGTCTATGCTCTCACCGCCCTCTCTTTGTCGTCATTCCAAGCGCTTGCATGCCTAGTTTCCTTTCCTTCCGCTCTCCTGATCATGAAAAAAAATGTTTGTACCTTTGTACAAAATTCTGTGTCGTGAGCTAAACAGCTTTCCTGCTCATCCAGCTTCACAGAGTGGAATGGCCCATGATTTTTATGAAACATAAATTCGAGATTATGGGTGCCTGTAGCATTTGTTTCAGCAGGAAAGAAAACAATATTGTCTTTCTTGCTAACAAGTTTTTTTCCATTGAAATAAACGTTACAGGCACCCACAATCTCAAACCCCTGTTTGATGAATAGTAATTAGACCTAGTTGGACATCGGCTCGTAGATAAATTTTGTTTCTCTTTTGATTCGTTTTATACAGGTAATGCATGTGCTCAAACTTTCACATTTTATCACCACCACTAGTGTCACATTCTCACAAAGTTTCAACTTTCTGCGATGCATAATTTATTTATGCTGGTAGAAAAGCCGGGTTTCATTTTTTCTATCGAACACGGTATGTTTGCTCTGATGCCCTGTAGAGGTAATTGTTTAATTCACGAGAATTCTCCCAAACGTATGCTGTTGCCTATCGGATGCTAGCATCTGATGAAGCAAGTTCAAATGTTGATTATGAACTCTCTTAACTCTGAACAGGATATCCTTGATGAAGAACTTCCAGACTTGCCTCTCGAAGGTTCGTTTCATTGATTTTCAAGTTGTTATTGACGGGAGGTTGAGTCGTAGACAGTTTTTTCATAGGTTATTTTGGTGTTTCTGCAGAAATGACAACGCTGGATAGCGACGGAGCCAATTTAGATGTTCACAACAGGTTCAAGGGCGGAGAGGTAAGAATTGCCACTATTTTAGAGCTTGGGACACTTAAATTACTTTCTCTTTTTATTTTGTTGCAGCTTGATGGGACGACCTCTTTGTGGGAGGACGAAGAGACGCGCAGCTTTTACGAGAGCCTCCCTGACCTCAAGGCCTTTATACCTGGGGTATGGAGCTTCAAGCTTTAAGATTGTACTGATCTGAAAAGAAAGCATATTTCAAATCGGGATGTTGGGTTCAAGTTTGCATTACTTAGAGCGATAATATTTTGACAGATAGACAGGTATCATATAGATGCTTCTCGAGTTGGTAGTTTTGAAATTGAGTCTGTATGACTACAGAGTGCTATACTTCTAAGCCATTATTAGTTAGCCCTTATTGCTCTTTTAATGGATTACTGTTTTCGTTATGGATCTCACTCTCTGCAGTTTGGTGCATCTTTTTTCCTTTTTTTTTTACAGATTTTATTCAAAGACAGTGCTCAAGCTACCAATAATGTGACTGTGTTGGAGGAGCCTGCAGAGGTGTCTCTTGAAGAAGGTGAAGGCCTGTTCCAAAATTTGCCGTGTTATCTTTCGAGAAGGAAGAGAAAGGAAATGTGTAACTTCGTTGTGTCGTTCATCTCACACTGCTTTTGTTCTAGACCTGCAGAAGCTGGAGATTGAAGGCATCCTGGAAATTGAAGAGGACAAGGAGGGCAAATCAGATGCAGGCAAGACTGAAGAGAAAGACCTCACTGAAACATTGCTGCAGGAAATTGAAGGTGAATTGTTCTTTGCATTCAGAGAATGGACAGTTTCTACCTCGACTGAAATGCTCGAAAAAAAAAAAGGGAAAGAAAGACGTAATTACATATTTATTGTGTGCTTGTTGCTCACTCATTTCTTATGTCGGATAGTGTTGCTCCACGAGGAGGGTCTAGTGCCATCGTTATATAGTAATATTTTACTGGCTTGAATGCTTTGCTCACTTTTTTATGAACGAATCCAGTACATCCGTTCTTCCGCAGAGCGTGCATATAGCTAGTCTCTGATTTTTCGGGAACAACTGAGCACATAATCAAGCCAAGAAAGTGTTTCTTCTGTAAAAATTGATCTACCGTAACATCCCGTTGAGTCCCCACCCAAAATGAAAAGATAAACGGTGGAAAACATGAGGTGGGCTATCTTTGGAGATGAGACTGCAAAACTTGATAAAAAAAGCATTGATAATCACAGGGGCACCCATTACAAACCTCGCGACATAGGAACCGATACCGCAGATTGTGGACACGGCTAATTCGCTTTTCACAACGCGATTAATGCGTGAAAGTTTGCTACAAACTCCCGCGTCACAGGGAAGTATACCGCAGACTGCGGGTGCTACAGATTTGTGTTTCACGGTGCGATAAACTCGCAGAAACCGGATACAAACTTACGTGCCATGGGAATTGATATCGCGTGCGCACATCACGTACAAGAACACGAGAACCTGCTTCGAACCAGCTTGTCACACGTACCAGTACCGCAGATCGCGTGGTCGATGTGATTTCCGCCGAACATCGCTTGATGTCAAATGGAAACGGGAGGTGGGCGATGTCTTGGAAATTTTATGTTACGGATATTTAGCCAGAAAACCGAGATGGGCAATCTCTCGGGGGATGGCGCCTTTACGGGATTTTACGATATGCTGAATTCTGGGCATGTTTAATTGTGGTCAGCGTCACAGTGAAGGCATCTTTTCTGCCCAAGTATGTTATTCTGTTATGTACCACCGTCTCGTTGTATGCCAGGCAACCATTGCAAATCTTTGCTGTGATTGGCATACAGTCATTCATTGAACAGAATGCAATGATTGGCTGTTTGCCAGCTCTGCAGGAAACTAAACATAAATGTCTTGCTCCTGATCAGTGCACAGTGTGTTTTAGTAGGTGTGGTATTTGCACATGTTTTACTCATGTTCAATTTGCTGGTTTCAAACTTGATTTGTAGCCCCCGAGGAAGAGGCCTCTGCAGGCTCGGGACCCGGCATGGCCAACAAACTCCTGCTCGACGGTTTCATCTCGTCGCTGCTGCATTGTGTCAGCAGGGAAATGGTCGACCAGGTATGCGAGATGGGCTGTAGCATACGTCTTCACCTTGTCCCAAGCGTAACTATCCTCCACAGGAACTAGCATATTCACTTGCCATACCGAGGACTCGATCTTCGCAGTTCTTATGACTCTTCATTCCTCATCATCTTGCTTTCAGGCAGCCGAACAGTTTTGCATGAACCTCAACACCAAACCGAACCGCAACAAGCTCATCAAGGCCCTGTTCCTTGTGCCCAGAACAAGGTAATGTGCTAACTGATGGTGCTGTAAGACTCACATTACCCAGCCCAATTTGTGTGTGCTTCATTGTTGTCCTTTCTTTTTGCCAGGCTGGACCTTCTTCCATTCTATGCTCGCTTTGTTGCTACTCTCACACCCTGCATGCCAGACGTTGCTAACGACCTTGTCGGAATGCTCAAGCAAGACTTCAAGTTTCACGTGAGTGCTGTGTGATTTGTTAGCTACGCTGCCAAGTTGCTCCACACTTTTGCTTGTCTAATGCCTGCCTTATTGCAGTAAAGTTACTTAAAGCTATTGAGGTCATTATACAATATTACCTAATAAAAGAATATGATCAAGTAACAAAAGTCACTTCTTTTCCAATTCTTGGCCTCCAGGTCACATTATTTGATGTCTGGAATAAGCATAGCCATCCCCTCAATAAAAGGATATATTACAGTTGCTTTTCTTAACATTTATCCAGTATTTCTTCATCTTTAATTACTCATTTCAATTGTTCCATATTCAGATCAAGAAGAAGGACCAGATTAACATTGAGTCCAAGGTGAAGACTGTGCGATTCATAGGTGAGTAGTTTGTCTGGGTTTCCGCTTGACCAATCTGGTCAGTCATTTCTGGGTCTCAGCTTCTCAACTTGTCTCCTTTATAGGTGAACTGGTCAAGTTCAACATCTTCCCCAAGTCTGAGGCACTCTTCTGCTTGAAGGTCTGAACTTGAAATGTTCATCAGATTGTAATTTTATTATTCTAGGTATCCACAGCACTCCTATGCTATAAAGGGGTCTCCGTGCCTTTCTTCCCTCAGATGTTGCTCTTTGATTTCACGCATCATTACATCGAGATGGCTTGCAACCTTCTCGAAACCTGTGGCCGCTTTCTCTTTCGGTCGCCTGATGCGCATCAGAGGACTAAGGTTTATCTTGTGAGTTATCAAGAGACACGGACTATTTACTCCGGTGGTAGAATTTACCGCTAGTAAGTTTCTGTTTATTTCACCACATCTTAGGAACAAATGATGAGGAAGAAGGCAGTGCAGGCCCTGGACAGTCGCTATACCACAATGATTGAGAATGCCTTCTATTACTGCAATCCCCCCGAGACACCAATGGTAAGTATCATCCAGCTGAAATGAGCTAGCCTGCCTGTAAAGTGTTTCTATTGCTTTTCCGAATTTTAAGAAGCATTCTATAGTGTGCCAGAAATCAGAAAGAAAGTTAGAAAAACAAATTCAGTATGGGTGTTGGAATGTGTCACTGCACGAAGCACGTGCGGGGTGCTCGAGAGACTCTCCCTGCCATTTTGATTCTGTCTGTGACTATAGTCGAGGCACACCCCTACAAGGTTAGCCAACTTGGGAAGAATGCCTGTTGCTTTTAAAGTACCGCCTATTTTGGGTAGGGATGTTGGGGAGTTTGTGGAAATCATTCATGTGGCTACGACACAACCATGCAAGTTGCAAATCTGCATCGGGAACTCGTGTCAGGACATCGGTCTGAACCATGGACTCCGATTGCCTCAAACTGCTCGGCAGTAATGTCGTTCTCGGAGTAAGGGGATTCAAACATGAATGAAAAAAAAAAAAAAAAAAACATTTTTGTGGCCTTCTGAAGAGGCACGTAGAGCTGCAATAGACCCTTTTCAGAGGTCCGCACCAACGCCTGTCCGCCGTTGCTCGATCACATGCTCTTAGTATGTATTGGACGCGAGGGCTGTGTCGGCTTTTGGTGTGAACACGGCTCAGCTCTTATTCAAAACGAGTGCTGCGTCAGTGTTCAGCGAGGACTCTGATCCAATCACGGGCTACATGTCCAAGCAAAGGCGCCCATGTCGCCTGATGGACTTTTTAAAAGAGTCCATTGGGAAAGCTCAGGCTAAATGAATGGGCAGGGCAACAAAGCACAAGTGAAAGAGCACATGTATATGTATGTGCTAGTGTGGCAGCTGCCACATATTGTGAAAGAACCAGAGTACCCAAAAAAATGAATGTGGATGTTGCATTACTCTTTGAGTTTTAAATTTAAACTTTTAAGTGCATAGAGCAGGGGTCTCAAACTCATTCGAGTGTGGGGACCAGATAGCCCACCCCCGAATGGACGAGGGCCAAGGGGGGGGGGGGGGGGGGGGACAATATTGCTATTTTAAGAAAAAAACAAAAAAACACAACAGCAGTGGTGTTTTGCGTTGGAAAGCAGCCGACTGTCCCAGCGACAACCCAGAGATCTTCTAGGCACAAATTATTGTGCCGTCTGCTTTTTGTAAACTCACCGTTTTGCCATCTTTAGCCTTCATTCGCATATATGACTACTTTAGGCCCACACTTTCGTTACAAGAAGAATTAAAACATTGCCACACCACAGTACTGGCAGTTTTCAATAGAACGAGAACGAGCAAACCGTCCTTTCCCTGCCACGCAATTCATTAGGCTCCACAGGCATAGAAAACTTCCTTATCATACGGCAGTTTCTGCTTTCCTGACGATTTTTATAGCAACATTATTAGAACTTTCTTTTCATTGTAAACGTATTATTTGACACCAGGAGCCCGAGCTGATAGCTTTATTTTTGGCTGTCGCTCCTGCTGAGGAAGAGTTTGTGCAGCCGAGGTGCCTCTTTGGGCAAAGAGCTCGTGCTTGTAGCCTAGTAGTGGTATTATTACCATATAGGTTGATTTTCATGGGAAAAGATTAAAAAGGCCGTATTTCGACGAAGAAATTCTCCGTCCAAATGGTAAGCGCAAAATGCGTGAAAGCAGAGTTTCCGTTTGAGCGGAAATGAATTAACGACATAAAACTATTATTTATGGCGCATGTAGTGTTCAAGGCATGGGAACGAGGGCTCGTAGGCGCGGAATGCTTGCGGGCCACTTCCTGGAGCGTCGCAGGCCGCATGCGGCCCGCGGGCCGTGTGTTTGAGACCCCTGGTGTAGAGACTCGCACGTTTTATTTTTATAATGCTGAGAGGAAGGTCTGTCGTTGATATTCAGTCGCTCTTTAAAGCTACCTTTCTGCATAGACAGCACTTCTACCGTGACGTTGGTGAGAGCCCATAGCTTTTACAATTTGCATCCCTGTGCAATGCCTAAACATAATTTTCAGGGCGTAGGGCACGTGATGAAAACCGAGCAGACTTAATTTTATTTCCCACCTTTGTCCAGTCTGTCAAGAAGGTGCGTCCCCCACTGCATGACTACATCAGGAAGCTTCTGTACAAGGACCTCACCAAGAGCAACACAGAAAAGGTCAGGACCGATTTTAATAAACAATCTTGTGATTATCGCAGATGTCATATACAAAAGAGTAAAAGAAAACTTCTCACATGATCTGAAAAGTTAGGCAAGTACCATAGAATGTTTCCGAAAAGCAGCAAGTTAGTGGGTAATCCATCAAGATCTCGGGAAGTTTTCGGACTCTAATTTTTAAGATGCACCTGAACCTTGCGTTTGGGAGTATTTTTTGGACTGTTGGATTTGTAAGATACTCCTGAACTTTGTGAGATACTCCCAAACCTTGCATCCTAATCCAGATCCTACGACAAATGCGGAAGCTTGACTGGGAAGATCCTGACGTGTGCGCGTATGCGACCAAGTGCTTAATCGCCATCTGGAATGTGAAGTACTACAACATCCGCTGCGTTGCCAACCTGCTAGCTGGATTGGTGGCTTACCAGGTGCGTAGTTTCTGCTTTTTTTCTTTCTATCTGAATTGCATACCTGTTGCTATTTTAGCATGCTACTACCATGAGCTATACCTTCGATGCCATATTTCTATGGTCAAGTTGCTTTATGGGGAGGTTGTAAGCTAGGCTACTTTTGAGATGGTATGTGTGAGGGAAAATGGTAAGCTCATGTAGATAATTGTACAGTCAACCATAGAAGTGTAATATATAGTTCTTTTTCTTTTTCAGGAAACAGTGGGCCCTCAGGTTGTAGATGGAGTTCTGGAAGACATCAGGCTTGGCATGGAAGTATGTGTATTATAGCTTGGGGCAACACACTTGAGATGGCTCACATTGTGTGCACTTCTTCTGGGAAGGTAGTTTGTATTATAATGGTGTCGCAAAGAACTGGGCATATCAGGATACTCGCAGGAAGGAAATGTTGACTAAAAGACATGGGATAAAAAGATAATTTTTGGAAACTTTGTTTTGTAGACCTAATAAAAATGGTCTCATCACTATTTGAAACTGAGAAAGATGGCAGTGTAAAATTTTAAATGAAGGTACTATCTTGCAAGCAGACTATTTCTCATTTATCACATAATACAGCATTAAAATAAGGCCTGTATCATCAACTGATAGCTTACCTAGCATTTTGTTTGCCCTCTTTATCACCTCCATCATCTTAATTTTTTTTTTTAGCATTGCATTAGAACGAGAGAAACTATCATGAAATGTCTGAATTTGTTTTATTAACTTTGAGTGCTATGAAGTTGAAACATGGCAATGACAGTTTATATGTGAGTTCATCATTGGTTTAGCATGTCTCTATATCTGATATGTCTTAACAGGGAAAACAGGGAAAAGCTGTGTGGTCCTGGGGAATTTTGTTTTAAATTTGCCCTAAAAGTAGTTGGGGTCAGAGAACTCGGCTGAAATGGGTCACTTGCCTGGTTACCTTTTTAGCGACATGCACAGAAACCTCTTTTTTGTTTTGTCCTCTGCTTATTAAGTTACTGTAGGATCTTTTTATTTTTCATTTAACATTCAATATATCAATTAAGACTTTTATGGGATATTTATATTTTCTGCAATCTTCAGCCTGATTTCTTTTTTTTTACATTTGTATTTTGAAAAGTACATTACTTTTTTTTTCTCTTTAATGCATGTTAGAAGAATGTAATAGGTACCCTTATATGATAGCTAGAAAAATATGGCTAAACTAGTTGCTGTGCAATGTTTAGTACAGCACAAACAATGTCTCCAAAGTTATAGAAAAATCTGTCATTTCAAATGCAGTTCTCTACCATCAGTGGAATACTATAAGCAAAGAGTGAGGTAGAGCTCTTTCAATGCAAGTTTAGAGAAAGTAAACCTGATATGGAATGTGGTACCTTCAGACACGTTTGTTTTCAGCTCTAGCAGTGTTTTGTCCCAGAAGTAGTAAGATACAACTGAACACGTCCATGAATGATGTATGCAGAGTAATAATATTACTTGGTTTACTTCAAATTTGGAAAAAGAGTCTTTTCTACACAGGTAGCTAAAAAATTTCTAGCAGTTTTTTTTTACGGTACATTCCATAATGAAACTTTGTTGGAAACTAGAGGTTTCCCAATCTATACTCTCATAAGGGTGGCTCTCATGTTGGCCGTTAAATAGAGCAGCTTTAAGGTTGGAACACAGAGCAGCACACAACTCCTTTGCTGTTGCTCTACAGGTGAATCACCCCAAGTACAACCAGCGCAGGGTGAGCATTGTGCACTACCTTGGCGAATTGTACAACTACCGCATGGTGGAATCGTCCGTCATCTTCAAGGTTCTCTACTCCTTCATCACCTTTGGCGTCGCATTCAGCGGTGAGTTGAACCGGGATGGGCTTTGGAGCCCCATGATCCTCACGGAGAAGGTGCTCCTTCTTTTAGGGCCGTACTCTTCGGGAGCCCTGAACGACTTGGATCCGCCAGACAGTTTGTTTCGAATCCGGCTTGTCTGCATTCTGCTCGAGACCTGCGGTCAATACTTCAACACCGGGTCGTCCAAGAAGAAACTGGACTGTTTCCTCGTTTTCTTCCAAGTATGTCTCTACCTGATTGACCCCTAATCATTTTCGCTTGCGTTAAACCTTTTCGAGCTTTAAACCTTTGTGATGTGGATGCTTCCCACGTTTATGTGCAGTCCAGAAACCAAGGACGAGTATCCAAGCTACGGGTGTTTTACCATATTTTCCAGACTATAGCCCACAGACTATACGTGTTTAAAAGTTAAAATTTTTATGCACTGCTGACTAATGTCTAGGCGCAGGCTATACGAAAATCAGATTTTTCTAGATCGTTTATTACGTTGAGTTGCGACAAATTTTATGAATGCCGGAGTATTTAATGATAATTTATATACGATTCAAGCTTTTTTGTGAGGTAATTACTCGGGCGATTCTCAAGGTGTGCGGTGTGTCAGAATTTTCTATGTGTGAACTAGATGCCAAGTGGGGTTACTATACACCTGGTTCAAACTATGCACCAGGTGTGGCCTGTAGTGAAAAAAATATGGTATTCTCGTGTTTTCCCTTGATATTCGTGGCTTTTGTCATCGTGTTCCGTCAGAGGTACTACTGGCAGAAGAAGTCCTCGGAGACGTACGGGGAGGAGAATCCGTTTCCCGTGACGGTGGACTTTCTCATCAAGGACGTGCTCACTCCCCTGCGTCCCAAGATGAGGATCTGCGAGAGCCTGGAGGAGTCCACGGCCGTTGTGGAGAACCTAATGTCCGAACTGAAGCCTAAGCTCAGTGAGTGTGCCGCTGTTCTTGCAGCTCCTTCGAGAAATTTGAAGTAAATGTTTCCCTCGTCAGCACTTGCATTCCAGACTTCAACTAAGCCACGTCGATTTCGCTATACTGCTTTTCACCTTACGACCAACTGCAGCAGATGCTATGAGCCACCGGACCCGATCCAAGGCCGCATCAGTTCCTTCGACCTTGGGGAGGGGGTGCAGCGGAGTGCGTGTCACATGCTGCATACACAGCTCGATTGGCCGGGATGGCTCATAGCGTCCGCTGTAGTCAAATGTAAAGTATAAAGATTTCCTTTTTTTTTTTTCTTTTCTTTTTAAGCAGGGCAATAGCAGTTTCTGCTACAAGTTTTCCTTAAGTTAACCTGTGCAAAGTGTGAGTTGTGTCTAGGAGAACTCTCATTCTCTCCGGCAGTGTTAGACTCTGAGGAGTCTGACAGCAAGGGGGCAAAGGATCAAGACAGCCTTGGCTGCATTCAGGAAGTAGAAGGTATGTTTACTCGTGCATACCACCCAATATCTTAAGTTTTGTACACAGTAGAGAGGGGTGCGAGACTAACCTTAAGTAAATCTAAAATTGTACCGTTGCAACTGAAGCTTTCTACGGCATATTACGCCATGTACAAGGAGAACCACCTTTGGACATTGCTAGTTGGTTTCATATTGTTTTGAAACAATCCTGCAAAAACCTCCACATTTCATTCAAAGGGTGATATGTAGTAGTTTGTATTGAAGGGATCAACACTTACACAGGTCAAACAAAGTTTGATGCTCCTAGTCTGACACTCACTGGAATGGAATGTAAGTGTACCGCAAGCAGGTTGCATGGAGTATCTGTGTGCAGCAATGAAGAAAGACCTAAAGCAGATTAGCGATTTGGAATATGTGCAGCTCTCGTGTCAAGAGGGTTATTGGCATTTGCAGAGGATCCAGACGAAGAGAACCACAGTGCCGAGTGCAGTGATCCAGACGTTGAGATGGAGGGGGATGGCGACACCGACGTCTTCAGCGGCAGCCAAAGCCAGCCGCTTGAGGTAGGCTTCTTTTATTGCATGACGGGTTCTGTGACAACTTTTGACTATCATCGTTTTTATTTTTAAAACTATAAGGTTTTTGGCGTCTTCTGCACGTGATTTCTCTCTTTTAAGTGTTTGTTCAGTGAAGAATTGTGTCGTGGCATTGTGCTAGAAGTGTGTCTTATTTAAAGTCACGGCTGTGAGATCAAGCTCAATCATGAAGGAATGTTTTCTACATAAAATGGTATTGCCACGCGCCATCCAGAAAGTCGCGCACAATTTATAAGTCGTGTAACGGAGATTGGAAAAGACCGTGGAAGTTGTTTCGAGTTTTTTGGTGCATAGGAATTGTTCTTTTATAATAACTTCTGGGGCTTTATTTGTTTTGCTTGACACTGACAGTGAGACTGTGCAGTGCATAGTTTACAGACATACTTTATATGAGAAAATTGCAGGTTCCTGCAATGTATATTAGTAATTGCTGCTTTTCGACGGGTAGGAGTGAGACCTCACTCGCGCCAACTTGCAGGATTAGGCATAGTACTGTAAAGCCTCGTAAATTCGGATTTCATGGGACCGGCAAAAATGTCTGAATTATCCGAAAGTTGAAATATCGAAAGGACAAAGAAAACTGCGTGAAAACGTTTCCCTGTGACATACTTTTATTTTGAGAAGAAATTTGTTATTGCCGCCTGCTTTCTGGACGACATTTGGGCGGAGACGACAACTTTCCTTAGCGCGGTCAGGTGCTCCACCGCACTTGCACTGTCAGAGCTGTGCATCCCGTGCACTGACGATTTAGCACAGCAAGGCCTCTTCTATTTTAGGGTGCACCACATTCCACAGCCGCTTTCTTTTCGCGTCGAACTTCTCGCTCTCGAAAGCCTGTAGGATCTCGGCCTCAATTTTCACGTACGTGGCCAAAGTGCTTTTCTTGACGTCATACCTTTTCATCACTTGTTGTCGAGAGACGCCGTCCTTCAAGGCCCTGAGTATTTCCTCTTCCGTCGCTACATTCTCGGCCTGGTACAGCTGCAGCAACGCTTCAGAGTAGTGACACTTCAGCCATTTTTGTGCTTAAAATCGTGACTGCCAGTCATCCAAAGCTTTTTCTGAAATTGAAGGAAACACTTTTCGATTCTCCAGGAACATTAAATTGATTCGGGACAAACAAAACAATGTTGCCGGAGCTTGCCGGCGCCATGTCTAAAGGTTGGAAAGTAGCATTTCGAAATGGCGACCATCGCCGGTTGTGCCCGCCCTGCACTAAGCAGCAAAAAGGCGGGAGTCCACCAAACGGTTGGGAAGTGGAGTGTCAGTACTCTAAGCGTAGCTTATCCAGTGACTCTAGAGCACCCCCGCTGAGTGCCTGCCCCGACACTCCAGGACGAGGTGGCCTCGAGCAGCGAGGACGACGCGGCCTTGGAGGATGACAGGGAGTGCTCCCAGGACGTCACGCTGCTGGGCAGGCGGACCAAGCGGGCCCCGTGCCCGGAGGACGACGACTTCATGACTGCCTTCGACAAGATGCTGTCTGAAAGCATCCTCGTGAGTGGTCTCTCGGCTTCCCTCGAGATGCAGTTGGCGTCGCGTGCTGCAATTGTTTCCCGGTGCATGCAAACGTAGACAAGATGGGTCGTTAGCGTTTAACCGGAGGCTCTTGGGGCTGTTTCAAAGGCGATGCCCGTTATTTGCGAGGTTTCGCAACCCAGGGTGTGTTCATGTGTTACTCGTGGCCCGCAGAGTTTAGGAGAAAACTTTCTTCGTTATATGTAGCAGAAATTTAGTGTCATGTGACATTGCAGTGTCATGCGACGCTGCAGTGTGATGTCATAATGTGACATGATGTCATGGTGGCATGTGACTCACAGTGTCACATCAACACCGTTTGCTAAATTTAATGACATGCAAGTCCAATAAATTAACACACAGTGTAACAGTGCCGCAGAGCATGCAGCGCCCTGGAGTTCATCACTGCAGTTCATTTGCGAAACACGACAGGAAACCGAGTTTGTTTTTTGTGTGTGTGTGCGTTATTTTTTTAAAGTTACGTACCTCTCCCTGCAGCATCGCAGCCAGGATTCTGTGAAACCTCAGGCTGACATTGTCATCCCAATGAGCTTGAAAGGTGGCCACCAAAAAAAGACCTGTAAGTACAGCGAAGTATGGCCTTATTATATCAGGGGTGACTTAGGCAGTGTTGGGAAGTACTTTAAGTATATTGTACTTAAATTACTACTTCAAGTAGGTTTAGAAAATGTGTACTTTACTTGAACTACATTTTCTGAGTAGGTACTTGTACTTCACTTAAAGTATTTTTTGGGGTACTTTCTGAGTAAATACAGCTCCCAACATCAAAATGCATTCTCCAGATCTAAAGAAAAAACATGTATTTTTTATTTGAAAAGGCGCTATCGTCTGTTGAGATATCATCTTGTCATTTTTCCGGATGAACTGATGGCGTCTCTAAGGCTGATACAAATAAGTGCCTTATAAATTGACTGTGTCAAATAGTTGGTCAGCGAGAGTAAAACTACAACTCTGTGGCCACTTGACTTTATTCAGTATTCGCTGCGATTTTCAAAAATAACTGGTGCACCCCCATTACCCCTTAAGCAGTGCTTACCAGTTAAAAAAAATGTAAAGGGGAATGAAAGGGCATCCTGAAAAATAGTGTTAAAAAGTACTACTACCGCAATATCCAAAGTCACCGGTCGCCCACCTGCCACCTGAAATTCATAAAGGAAGTGGGGTAAGCCATGTCTCAGTGGGTAAGCAGAAAACTTTAGAAAAATTTAAAAGAACACCCATTTTTCTGTACATATCTAGCACAACTGCACAGGAGATACATTAAACTCAAAACTCAAATTAGTTCAAACTTTTTATACAAGAAACGCTCATGAAAGAATGTTTTACTACTGCAAAGTCTGTTGCTTGCATATGCACGATTCGAACTGCATACAGTGCGAACGTTTGTCCTGTGAAAGCATGTTTCTTAAACTGCTATGTTCTCTTTGTTAGTTAAAAAAAAAAAAGAGTCAACATGAAAATAGAAAAATCAGTCGGGCGCAACGAGCGAGCGAACAGGCAAAAGAAGTGACGAAGAGCGATACTGGGGAAGCGGAAAATCTGGTGATCATGTTGGCCAATACTTTGCTGTTGGGGCCAAGTTGGGCTCCCTCAATCACAGGGATCAGGCTCTTGTGCAATTTTTGTTTTTGGTGCGTACATGGGTGCTTCCGTGCACGGCATGCTATCAACGCGGGTTGAGGCGGCGTTGCTGCATGATGTGAACGTCATCACAAACGCGGAGCTCGAAATGAGACGCTTTACAAACGTCTGTGTGCAGCGTTCCAGTAAATCTTTATTTACCCGTTGGCTTTGTCTCAAATATTGCACAACCTTACCATCCTCGGTCGCAACATTCTGAAAGATTGATTGGGTATTCGTGGTGACTTTATTTTGGGTTGAGACAGACTTCGATTTTACACTCCGCGGTTACATTCCAGGATATGGGGCGTTCGCTAACCTCGCGATCAAGTTATGACTTGTGTTATCTTTCCATTTTCTTTTTACTGTTTGAACAAACTTTTTTGTAAGCAAAACAATGTTTAATTTTGTTATCTTCTTCCTCTTTCTTCCGCACGCATGCACCACGACTTTGGGGTCGCGGAAATCAGGAGGGAATGTGTAAACAAAGTGAAGTGTCTTTTCTTCCTTCGTTTTTATTTTGTCACGAACGTCCTCTAACCGTAAGGTCCATGGCCACGTCATTCGGGTAAGATAAATGTTCGCAAAGTCCGCGTTGGGGTATTCGTAGGGGTGGGCGAAAACTCTGTGTTTATTTGGAAATCAATATTCACCCAAAAAGTTAGGTGGTCGATGACTTGGGATGGGCAACGACTCAGGATGTTACGGTAGTACTTTGCTCTGAAAGTACATTGTATATTGTATTTATAATGCTTTTCTTCAAATAAATTGTGCCCGGTATACTTACTACTTGAAGTACATAACCTCTCACTTACTTTGTACTTTACTTTAAGTACTTTTCAGATGTACTTTACCCAACACTGGATATAGGGCATCAGTGAACTATAGTTGCTTGTATATTGCAGATAGCAACCTTTTGGAACAGAAGCACGAAGAAGAGAAGAATACCATGAACTTCATTCTGATGACTCGCAAGGGAAACAAACCGCAGGTAAGGAAAAAGGTTAAACTAAACATAGTGGTCGGTGGATTCAAATGTGGTTTTCTGCTTATCTTCACAGTTCAAGAGTTTGGAGGTACCCGTCTCTTCGGAACTTGCTCAGAACCTGAAGGACAGGGAAGAGGTAGGTTCTCAAAGCATTGGTAGTTGCCCGGTAGCCTCACTAATCAAAACGTGGTGTCAATATGAAATCCTTCACGCTTCTTTGGCATACCTGCTAGTTTTTCTTCAAAATATGTGGCAGGGGTTTTTAAACTTACTGACCTCAAAAAAGCCCTGTCCGCATCAAGTGGCAGCGGTCTCGTATTGATGTAATAAAGCAGTGCGTAAGACTACAGACCTTGTCGAAAGTAGTGCGCATACAAAAGAGTGTTTGCCACATATATATGTATCGATGGGGGGCTCTGATCTGTCAAGGTGCTGCTTGAACTGGGAGAACAATTCTACGTGGGAGAAGGGATGGTTGAGGAAGTTTGAGAGCTCCAGGGACCCAGGGGGTCACTCTGGGGTAACCGTGGGTTCCTAGCAGAATGGAAAATAAATATCATTAGGATTTAAATTGGACCAGTTTTACTACGATCATTTCCCTTCTTGCAAGAATAATCCCATAAATATATTTTTATTTACCGTTTGTCTATCATTTGATGCTTTTTGTGTGTGTTTGTTTTGTGTTTAACCTTGTATTGATGAGATATACCGTAATATCCCGAGTCATCGCCCATCCCCGAGCCATCGCCCACCCCATTTTTTGGGCCAATATCGATTTCCGAAAAAACACCGAGTCATCGCCCACCCCTTCAAATACCCCAGCGCAGACTCTGGGATCCGCGAACACTCATCCTACCCGAATGACGAGGCCGGGGACCTCACAGTCGGAGGACGTCCGTGACAAAATAAAACGAAGGAGGGAAAGACACTTCTTTTTGTTTACGCATTTCCTCCGTGAGCGACCCCAAAGTGGTCGTGTGTCCGTGCGAAAAGAAAACGATGGAGATAACAAAATAAGAGTTTGTTAACGTAACCGCGGAGTGTTAGGTCAAAGTATGTCTCCGCCGAAGTAAGGTCACTGCGAACCCGCTCCTTCTTCCCGCCCGTCGCGACCGCGGTTGTGCAATATTTTAGGCAAAGCCAAAGCATAAATAAAGCTTTGCTGGAACGTCCTACACAGACGTTTGCAGAGCGTCCCAACCGTGCATTGATAGCCCGCCGTGCACGGACGCACATATGTACGCACCAAACAAGAAAGTTTCGCAAGAGCTTGCAATTGACAAGGCGCACGATTTGGCCCGACGCCAAAGTATTTGCCAGCATTGCTCTTGGTCGCTTTCCCAGCATTGCTCTTGGTCGCTTCTTTGGTCCGCTCGCTCGCTCGTTGTGCCTGGTCGGTTTTTCTATTTTCTTGTAGACTTTTCTTTCTTTTTTTTTTTTACTAACTAGGAGAACATAATGGTGACATTCTTTCACGGAACAAAGGTTCGTGCTATATGCAGACCGGCGGTGTTTCTAGCGCGTATGCAAGCATCGGACTACGCTGAGCATTTTTTTCTATAGAACAATGAAACTAAATTGAGTTTTGAGTTTGATGTATCTCTTGTGCATCAGCGCTAGATACGCAGAAAAAAATAGGCGGTTTTTTCCGCTTTTTTTCAAGTGTTTGTGTTCACCCATCGAGACATGGCCCACCCCACTTTTTTAAAGAATTTCAGGCGGTTGGGGGGTGGGCGATGACTCGGGATATTACGGTAGTACAAAAATAGCTTAAGATTTATTTTTAAGATGGTCATGTTTAACAAAATAGAAAAAAGAAGAGAGCTAAAAAGAAAACAGTTGTAAGATGAATTTGCAGGTTATAGTAGCTTTGTTGCCTGCGGGCAACACCGGGCAAAAGTCCGAAGGAGGCTTCGTTGAGTAACCTCTGTGGGTCCCTATGAAAATTGAATAATTTCTGCGCGTACGGTAGCCTCAAGTAAAACGATCATGTACCACAAAATATCAGTGGCAAGAGAAATAAATACGCTTATCCATATTTTTTGCTCGAAATTCTGGGAAAACACCGTTCTCGGTCAATTATTTGTATATCTATTTACTAGAGGCATTGTAGTTTTTATCTTCAAGTCTGTTGCCAGACTACTAAACATAATAAAACCGAGAGTATTACGAGAAAAGAGATTTTTACGATATGTGGTTTGTTGCGCGGAGTTTGCACTCGTCAAGTCAATAAAGAATTAAATCAAAGAATCGCCAAGCAAGAAAGATTTGTAGAAGACTGAACATCAATGAAAAGAAGTGCTCACCTGAGCAAATCCAAGCATTAAGCTGGATTTTTATCTTGTACTTTGTCAGCTATGTAACGTCAACAAAATCAGAACAACATAGAAGAAACGAAAACTAGGACAGTAATGTCCTATAACAGCCAGCTGTCTTTTTTTTTTTTAGTATGGTGGGATTATGGCAATAAAATGTTCTTAATTAAACTGTGCTTTACATTTACAGTCTTTTTTTTGCATTGTTATCAGTGATTGGATGAGTTTATCAATAAATCTGCCATGTTGAAAAATGCTTGTAGTGGTAAAGAATCACTATTTTCTAGCTACAATAATTTATACCAAATAAAAAAAATTTAAGCACTTTTTTTTTTATGGTTTACATTTTACATTGGTTCTTAGGAATTTAGTTTGAGAACCTGTGGTGCTAGCAAGGGAGGGAAAGCGAAGTTTATGTCCCATTCCTTAAACTTCGGCGAATCGAGAGCAAAAGGAGGTTGTGGAAACAGCAGGCAAGAAAAATGCTAAAACGAGTGTTGCAGCTTGTATTGTCTGTGGGGGTACGTCAGTGGCCGACACCTGTAATTCTGCTTTTTCCCTTTCTAGGCCGAGAGAGCGGAAAAGGAACAAGTCAAGATGCTGACTCTCAACATCAACGAACGCCAGGAAGAGGAAGACTACCAAGGTATAAAAGAGGCTCTACGAGTCCTCACACTCGTGCCACTAAAAACTCTCTGAACACCTGTGAAAGCTACACTAACACGGTCGGTGCAGGTAAGTTATACGGCTAGGGGGACATTACATGGGGAGCCAATTGTCAAGATAAGTTGAATAATTGTTAACTTTTCTAGTTAAGTAGTGTAGATACGGTTCTAATTAGAAACTTTCTGAGCATCATTGAAAACCACTAATTCAGTAAATTTGAGAAAGATTTGGAGCATATGGGAAGCACTGTAGTGAGCTAAAGTTACCACTTCTGCAAGAGGTGCAAAGCTGTGGGCACGAAAACGCACCCACTCAACGTTTTCGTCTCGTGTCATCTGCGTTTTCACACCGTCGGCTTCGCACCTGTTGCACAAGAGGTAACTTTGTTTCCCACATACTCCAAATCTTTCTAAAGATTACTGATTTAGTAGTTTTCAATAATGCTCAGCAAGTTTCTAATTGGAAAAGATGTTAATTTTCACAAATTAAAAAGTTTACAAATTTTTTTTAATTATCCCACTTGTAATGAAGATTTCTACCCTATAATTTGTACCCCGGGCCCTAAAACTCGCCTGCACAGACCGCATTAATGCACCTTTCATGGCTTTTTTTTAAAACCAATCTGTAAAGCCTAGAAAAACAACCTGTACATACAAGATGTCGTAAAGACTCGATGGGCACTGCCATTAAAGTCGGTGTTTGGGAGAATAGCAAGTCAGCAGGGAGGACTCCGTGCACAGTGGGGAAAAAGATGGATGTCACTTCCTGTCTCGTCAGAAGGTCTATTCAGTAAGCTAGTAACACAGAATGCGCTTTATGATATGTTTTCTATGAACAAATTGTCATGAACAAAAGTTTAAAAATAAAATTCGAGTCCTTGCAGGGCTCGAACCTTGGTCGATGTGGTGGAGGTCGGATTCCATAGCCAATAAGCTGTGCAACACAGCTGCTCTGGAAGGGGCTCCTGGAAAATCTTGCCGGCGAGAGTGATCCAACGTCATACCGTGTGACCGCTCGCCTCATTGATGTCCTGCATCGCGCGAGAACCATATAAGGTACCCAGGCAGCACGGCGATACTTGGCCAGCGTCGTGCCTGTGCCTGCCGAAAACCCGTTCCAATATCGGCCAAATGTCCACTTTTGCACCACGGCCCGATATCTGGCAGGCGTTGGCGTGCCTTCGTTTCGCCATTAGTCTAGTATTGGCACAATATTGTGCACATACTCTACGGATCAGACTTCTTCCCAGGTATCGGCATGATATCATGCCGATACACTATGTATCAGCCAGGCGTCGCATATGCGTCTGCTCTGTATCGGCAGGACATCTTGTGAGTCTGTTTTGCATTGGCCGTTGCATATCAATCGCAGACACTGACAAACAGAATTGTCTTCGGTTTCTCCCAGAAGTTTACTAAACCACTATTTTTACACGCAGCTTATTCTTGACACATTTACAAAATTGATGCTTCCCTGTGTAACGGAAAGAAAATTATTAAATATAATTGCAGTGTTTTCATGCCAAGAAAGACTCGTAAATGAAACACGAAGGACCGTGGAGATTGAGAGGGAAGCAGGACTACTCTCAGAAGAATGCTTGCAGAGTACTTACGAATAAAACGGTGATATTGTGTAATCCATGATGGATGCATAATCTGACTCGGGCAGCACAGAGAACGCAAACACAGAGTCAAGAAAGAAGAAGGTCGCCTACATTCAACGGAAGTCTCGTTGCTGATGAGCAGTTTTTTGCCGAAGTGCGTCCAACGAACGCAGCACAATATTCTGGCCGTTTACAATGATATACGACGGCCGTGACTGCAATTCGCGAAAGCAGCAGAACACTGAAGAGCGCATTTCGGGAACCGAACCCACATGGCCCCCTAACCATCACCATAGCTTGGCAAACAGCGAAGACTACGGCTCAAGTTAGCCCGTCAGAGCGAGTCACATGGCAAATTTTCGTCCGAGTATTTTTGTCCTACGGAGAGCAGTCGCGTGTCTCGCTCAACCCCTCTGATTTGCTTGAAGTGGCCGTTACGCTCGCTCATAGTCACACCAAGACGCAAAAGCAGGGGGGGGGGGGAGCTTAACAAAAGGCGAGGTCAAAGGGCATAGACAATGCAGCTAAGCTTCCTCTGCCTTTTTGGCTGTCTTCCCTCGGGCAAAAAGTAAGCGGGTGCCGTTTTGCCTAATCTTTTTTTCTTTCTTCAATGTCAGCCTTGAATCGGTCAAGAAATTTGAATACCTTGCCAGCATGGCCAATTCACAAACGACACTCGCATGACTCAACGAAAAATGGCGGCGGGTACGGTGTGTCAGGATGGCGTTGGCGCAATCTATCGAGCATTTCACAGACATCGTGTAGGTCAAAATGATATCGGCACAATATTTCCAATTTGACGTCCATGTCGGCACAATACTGGGTAGCGCTTGTGCGGCACGCTCGTTTCGCTCTATCTCGTTCTGGCTAACATATGTGGTGTACAATGAAAACAAGCCGCCCTTTTGCTGTACTAGCATGACAAAGGCAGTGGTAACAAAGAATGTGATGTGTTAGGGTGGAAAAACTGTACACTGTGGAGACTGAACGGCACGAAGCAGCCCTGCGTCGTGCAAGGTAAGCGCATGAGCGCACCATGGACATCTTACTTGTGGGTGCCATATTCTGTGGTTGCGGCACTCTGAGGTAATTAAATGAAATGAAATTAAACGAAATGCGACTTTCTCAGAGCCTGTTTGAGTGTGACACGCAGAAGGCGGAGCGTACGGAAAACAAAACAATTGGAATGCGGTAGCGCTAAGCAGACCCCTGGCACCACCTTGCAGCAAAAGAGAACCAAACACTCGGAACTGTACCTCAACCCGTTGCAGCAAAGGAGTCTGCTTTTTTTCTTTACCTCTTTGTTTCTTTTTCTTGCGTTCTTTCTCTGGGGAAGCCCGGAGCAGAGCGCCGCTGTATGTCCGGACACGTGATGTTTTACCCCCTCCGGGAGTAATATGGAGGCACTCAAGGAAGAGATTCGGCCGGCAGTGGTGTCAGTCAGTGACGAGACAAGCGCTGAGTCAGCGTTCGCTTGGCAGTCGGCCTGTCAACTTCCGTTGTTGGCACCTCACCGGATATGGTTAGGTGCCAAGCACATAACACATTCTGCATTGAAAACTAGCATAAACCACACACAATCTGTGGTTTGTGCTAGTGTCCCGCACGCCTGTGCTCCCTGGTCTTTGTCAGCATAATCGAGCGAACGAGAATTTTTCATTTAACTGCACTGTGATTTCTTTTCTAGAAATGCTGGCAGCACAGCAAAGGCCAGTTGTGCTGAATCTGAACAGGGACAGAAGACACAAGTATCAGCACCCGAAAGGAGCTCCTGACGCAGACCTCATCTTTGGAAACAAGTGAGTTATGGAGAAAGGACTGTCGTGGGGTACTGGAATGCCCCATGGAGAATCTTGGAGGGACTGGTGCAACAGCTGCTGTGTCTCTTTTTGACATGAACTCGAACAAAGCACCCACATTGAAAATTTTTGGTTCACTAAGGTCATGTTTAAAAACAGAGGAATGGACCTTATTGATCTGTTATATGACAAAACACAAAACCTACTATTAGCATTCATACTTTGGTGTGTATCTCGTAGCTTAATCAGCGACAAATGAGATTGTGGAAGTGGGAAAGTGTAACTAAGGCAAGCAAATTGTATGAATCTGAGGTGATTAGTTTTGCTGTTCCTTATGTGGTAAATTGATTTTCAAGAAAGAAATTATCGAAGTGTTCAAACCCAAACTTGCATGGAGTTGCACTCACATTTTTATACACCATTTAATTGCTGCTTAGGTACTATTCCACTTGTGTTAAGATATCTTTTTTTGTGCAACAATTTTTTCTTGTGTGGGTATTTCAGATATATTTACCTTGCATATGTACATATTTCTTTTTCCAGTTATTTGCTTCTGTGTATCTGTGTGCTTATTGCTGGTTAACAGTGTCACAAGTGCTGTTTGTCTGTGATACATATGACAGTGAGACATGTGTTATGACATTCTTATATATAGTTTTTTAAAACTTGTGAGAATTTTTTTTTTTTTTTTTTACCTGATGTGTATGGGCCCTTTGTACTTTCTGGGCACTTACACCTGTGTCTATTTGAATAAATTGTAGCAGTTCTAAGCTTCTATGTTGTCGGCCTTCATTTATTTTTGTTTCCCAATTACCAGGGGTTAATCATGACTGCTCAGAAAAAAAAAAGTAATCTGGGATGCTTCAGATTTTGTGTGAACGTGGTAGTGTCTTGAGGTTTAACTTCAAAGTAAACTATGGTAGTTTAGTAATGATACCGGGAGCCGGGTCCCCTTTTTAGTTTTGTCTTTCGTGAATAGGTACCTTCAACTTCTTAGTGCCATAACATATGCCTTAAATACTTTTTTGAAGCATGTATTTCTGCATCACTATTTCTGTCATGCACAAAAGATATTCCTGCATTTTGGTAGGTGTTTTCACCTACTTTTCAGATGCAAGTTTTATGCGTGTAGCAATATTTTTCGCAAATCTATTTCGGCTGTCATTGCCACGTAGTGCTGTTTCGGAAGAGTTTGAATTTACAAATACTTTCGATATTTCTGCCTATATCCGACCTACGAGAGGAAAGTCGCACAGTCGTGGGAACGGGTAAAACCTGGAGCCAATGGCTGTCCGTTTCCTTCCCGGCTTTGTACGCAGGAAGCGCTGAAGTGGACCCGCATCGCAGGACCTTGGAGGCAGGAAAGCATGGAATGCGCGTCCCAGACACCACCAGCCACGTCTTCAGCAGCTGAATGAACAGCCTGCATCAAGCTGATGCCCCGCAAGCCGTCGTGTTAGCTCCAGTGGTCACAGAGCTGTCCACAGGGGCCACTGGGCCAGTTCATTGCCAGTGTATGTGCCTCCCTTCAATAAAACCTCTCAGCAGTGCAGGGCAAGTGTGCAAACCAGCCGCCGCCTCCCCAGCCTCATTACTCAGCTTAAAAGGTTGCTGAACTCACCAAAGACCATTTTTAACCCTTTAAGTGCCACACCCAAGCATACTTGGGCGCGCTCCCGTGCAGGTTTGTTTTTGTTAGCTCCCTACCTCTCCGAACTGGGCTGCCGATCTTATTTTTACGTGGTGCTATGTTTTGCCTCGTAATACAGTTGAACCTCGATTTTACAAAATCTGATTTTATGAATTTCCCGATTCAACGAACAAATTTGGATTTCCCGCGCAGCCTATGCTCCAAGGTCTACCTTCCTCGATTTTACGAAGTCCCAATTTAACGAAATAATTGGTGGGTCCCGGTGACTTCGTTAAATCGAGGTTCAACTGTGGCACTTATTGACGGCGTGTTGAATGTTTTGTTTAGGGGAGTTCTGGCTTCGTTTGCTCCTTCGTTTTTCCAAAAAGGCGGATCTATGTCGCTCAACCACATGCTTTATGGCAAACACAAATCTAGAAATTAGTATTAAATAAAAAAAATCCCAGTTCCCATGAAAAAAAAATGGTTAAAATTTTTTAAGAGTGGCCCCATGATTCAAACCGGGGTGTTGCTTTGTATACATAGTATTGTCTCGAAAAGTATTAGAAAAAATTATTCTAGGTTGGAGGAGGGAGCGCAAACGTCAGTTAACTTTGAATCCATGCATCAGTGCGTCTTGAATAAATAAATGTACTTCATAAAGCTTGCTAGTTTTTTTTGCATGGGGGTTTAGCACTCAAAGGGTTAGGTTCCTGGACTAGTACATGTATGCCAAAAATTAACTTCTCTTTTGGGGTTGATGTGTTGAAATAGAAGCAGGGTTTTTGGGAGGTCCAAGGGTTACTTTATGCCCCAGTGCTTATGTTTGAAGAAAAGAAAGAACTTGATTCCAGGCTTTTTGTTGTAAAACCTGAGGTCTAATCGACGAGATTGACTTCTTTCGTGGCGGTATGATGGGCAGCTCCCCAAGACCCAGACTTTGGAAGCAAAAAAGTTTTAGCGAATTCAGAGTTACAATAAATCGTGTTTGTATGCCACCACAGAAATTGTTTTAATTATAGCACATCCCTCCTGATCATGAAAATATCTCTGAAACCTGCATTTCGCAAACATTGTGAAATATCAAGCTTGTAAAACTTGAGTTGTTCACAGTCTTCTGTAGTATTTCGCAGTACTATTAGCATTGGTATTGCAACTAATAGGGAGTTCTAGTGAGGGGGAGGGTGGGCAGTGTGGTATGGCTGGCCTGGCAGAGGTTTTGTATCCTCAGATTAAGCACCTACCCATCTTTTGTGAAAAACAATCTTGATGGTGTGGAAAGCATGTCGCAGAAGCACTGTGGAAGCTTTAATATGGAAAAGGTAGTAAACTCGTTAATAGGCATGGGCGAATAGAGGATTTTGGGTCCATATCAAATTTGAAGCGAATAGTGATTTTGGCCGAATAATTTCGAATTGAATAGTTTGAATAGGACAAGCAACAAATACTGCAAGATATGTTTAAACTACAGTCTTATATTTGCCCTTATTTGGTATTAGATATACTGTAATTCTTAATTTCAAGTGTATTGAGTTCGAAAGCACGAAATGGTCGGAAGCTTGCGCCACCTGTCTAGAAATCCAAGCCAGAGTAAGTCAAACCGATTTATTTCGAACTCTGGGGGAAAAAAGGTCTACTAGTTCAATAGAGCGGGTAATTCAATATAAAAGTTTTAATGAATTTGACTCTCAAAAATCCACTTTTTGCTGAAATATTACACAATGAAGCAGTCTTGCATCTTCTGCTATTTTTTCTTCATTGCATCCGCAATAACGATATTTTGCTACGCTATCGACGGACTCCAAAATGCTGAGGCCGCTGCCTTCTATATCAACACCACCTAGACAGAAGGCCTCCGCATGGTTTCCTTTTCTTCTATGAAACGTCATCACAGTCGGATCGCGCTCGGTCGGCTATTGGACCCGAGCCCGACCTTCGACGCGCTGATTGGCCACGAGCCGCAGCCGAACACTGACGCAGCACTCGTGCCCAATCTCTCGCCTCGATCGATCTGACTATGATGACGCGTGTGGAGGCCTTCTGTCTAGGTGGTGTTGTCTATATTCGCTCATTAGCGCCGAACTCTGCCGAGAGCACGGAGTACGTCCGAGCAGGAGGACCTTCTCCTGCAGAGCGCCGTCTTGCTCTACAAGTTGGCTTTCTCCTAAGACAGGTGGCTGCGTTGAAGGAAGCCAACTAACAAAGCAAGCTAACTTTTTTTTTTTTTCTTTTGAGCGGTTGCGTCAACTGTTTGGAAGAAAAATTAATGTTCTCTTTTGCGGACGGAGCAAGGACAGGGAGCACGGAGCACCCTCTCTCCGCTCCCTCCGCAAAAGATGTTTTTTTTTTCTTCCAAACAATCGACGCGGCCGCCCGAAAAAACAAAAAAAAAAAACAGCGTGCTCTGCAAGCTGGCTTTCCCACAATGCGGCCGCTCGCGTTGGGGGAAAGCCAGCTTGCAGAGCAAAACGGCGCTCTTGGCAGTTCGATATATCGGTAGTGGCTGCTATTTTTGTACGATTTAACCATAGTTTTTGCTACATGTTATCACTGTAACATTACTGTGCACAAAAATTTTTCGATATAAGGAATAATTTCATGTAACCGGGTTCAATATAGTCGGGTTTGACTGTATTTAGAAAGGTTGAATAATTCTATATTGTCGAATACAGTAAAACCTCGTTATAACAAAATGGGATATAACAAACTAATGGATATAACAAAGCAATCATAATTCCCTTTGCTTGCTAATAGTGGGAAGAAATGGACATTGGCAATAACGAACTAATGGTTATAACGAAATAATTACGACCGCTCCTTCAACTTTGTTATAACGAGGTTTTACTGTACTTAAATTCGATTCGAAGTGAATGCCGAATAGAACAGAATTCAATTGGCTATTCGTAATAACCGAATATTCGCCCATCCCTACTCGTTAACATTCTCCACCAAGTCATATTCAGGACTAAGTAATGACTCCACAAGCGAGCCATACTGTTGCAAACTGGTGCTGCTTCTCAGGAACTCGCGACATGGCGGCATTACACCGGAGCTTCACAGACCACCACCAGGCGCAATTTTGAGATCAAGTTAATTCATATTAAAGTTAGGTTTCTGGGCTGCCGGCACAGCACAACTTAGACCACATCTAAACAAAAAAATATGTGCAAACATTTTGTTTGTAAAAGGTCCATTAGCTCCCCTAACAGGTCACCCATTTGTTTAGGCTGTCTTATTTATTGTAAAGATAATGCAGTAATCTTTTTTTAAAGGGATACTGAACCGAAAATTCGAGTTCACAAAACAAGGCCGGGCGGATGGGCGGGAAGCTGCAAAACCAAGAAATATCATTCATAGGGCGATATATCTAACGGATCGCCGTATTTTTTGGAAAAGAAGTGCGCGATTGAACCCGGCCGACGCGACAAGGCACGTCACGATTCCCATTCTCTCTCCTTTTCGCTACGTTTCGTCAAACTGGTGAACCGAAGCGAGGCCACTTCTCCTCATTCTCAGATTCTCCCGGAGGACAGTTACGTCAAAGAACTCGCTTGATCGCGCCCTTCTTTTCCAAAAGTACGGCCATCCGTTTGAGATATCGATGTACGAGTGATGTTTTGGAGTTCATAGCGTCCCGTTCAACACTTCTGCAGCCTTACTTTGCGAAATCCAAAATTCGGTTCAGTATCCCTTTAAAGAAATCTTTCAGGACCTTTTTCTTTTTATAATTGCCAGCTGGTGTATTTACTGAAGTCAAGTCTAACAATTATAAATATTGTTTTGTGGAGGCTTACTACAACTTTCCTCTTCACATTGGACATGAAGTGAGGCAGCTGACAGATTCTAGCACCCAGAGGAACACTGACCGAAAAATCAGTTACTGAGGGGTGGTTCTGACCAAACTCGAGACATACGCAAAAATAGATAAATAGCTTTTATTTATATGTACAGCATATACAAAAGGCCGTCTGTGTGTTTGTGTGTGTTACCAAAAATTCTGTATGTTACTTACACTTCAAAATTTAAACAGTGTTTGCGGCAAGAACGACGACACCCAAAAAAACTACAGAGAAAAAAAAAAGTGATGTTCGTTGTTTGAAATAAATGCTGATGAAGTACGTGGACTAACAGGTGGAGGATGTGATTACTTCCTAAACAGCCAAAATTAACAGTTGCGGCATTTTTTTCTCGTTCTAAATGCAACAGGGTTCATCCACACATGTACTCATTCACACATTTATGTAGCATTTTTGTGCAGTCGTCAGCCAATACACGCAAAAAAAAAAAAAACGGGACTGCTTCTCACAATTTAGTCGATCCAAGATTGAAAAATCACATCAGAATTCCAAACATTCCTTCCAACCATGTGTTTGAAACGGGTGACTAGAACACAGTGTTGTAAAGATAACCCAGAACAAAGCAAACGGACAAGTTCTCTCCGCACACGCGGTGTTCTCCTAGAACTTGCATAAGAATGCTGCGCAACCCTAATAAATATATACAGCACTTCTTGAGCTTTGTGCCAAAAGCAAAGCCTGAGGTGTGTACAAAAATTATGCTTTCCAAACAGGAGGCTGTCTCCCTTTCAAGTCTCGAGACCAGTGGCGGCTTGTTCTGCACGTGTATCACAGTGAAAAAAAAAAAAACAAGAAACAAAAACTCTTCAAACTTGCACACAATCACAGCATGAACCGTCATGCTTAGCAAACATACACAAATGTGGTCCAGCACCTATCGTATGCACTCGTATCAAACTTGCTTCTTCAAATTGTCTTCTTGAAAGCATTCTTTCTTTTTTTTTTTTCCCGCAGGGTTTATAGTATTTTGTTTCCTACTTGTAAAACAACTTCCGTAGCTCCTTCTCACAATGTAACACCTTTGGCATACCACAACAACAGCTACTCTGTTCATTTTGCATCCTGCAACTCCTTGGAATGTTTGTTGCTCAAAGCAGAATGACAACAGCACAAACAGTAAGGGAGGGGTTAGGGAAAAAAAAACCAACATGGCCAACAACTATTCCTACCTACACAATGAACACATATTCCAGCACTGCACCTCAATCTCCTTCGGAAAGGAAGCACTCCAAACGAGCAACGCGTGATTGTAGCAAACTCTCACATAATTTTCGTCACTGTATCCTCCCGCTTCGTGACATATGAGCATGAATGAAAACTACACAAAGCAAATTCACTTGTACAAAAAACAAAAAATAAAAGTTCCAGAAGTGAGCCCAATTTCGACAAGGTAATCTGACAAGGAATGAGAGTGGCAACAAAACAATGGGAGAAAAAAAAGATGAATAATATCCATGCCGGCACCGTGTTCCCATGACTGCAAACAAGCTTTCCATCACACGGTCGTATCTTTGCTTCTCTGCAGCGCGCTCTTTGGATGCAGGGCAACTGCACGCAAGTCTGTAAGGCAGAGTTCTTCGGGAATATATATAGTCTGTGTAGATCTGTGTGTGTATGTATATACTAGCTATCGTATTCTTTTTTTTACAGGAGGTAGAATATGTCTGCTCAGTCCAATTATTTGTTTTGCCACCAAAAACTGCCCGCAAACAATAAAAAATAAAGCCACGACAGTCGGCGATGCTCTTTCCTAGACGGGGCTATTCAACCACTTAAATGTGTCCAGTCATCAGACTATCTAGTTTTGGGGGCAAGATCTTATGGGAGCAAAAAAACAGAACCAACAAAATGAGCAAATACTTCCACACTGTGCCAAGTGCCATTCCCACTGATGAGACCGTGTCGCGCGACGCGGGCGTGACATGCCACCAAAGACCGACTAGCCAATTACTATACGTCTTGGGCCTTTGAGCTATTCCATCTATGTACATATTTACAGGTGTGTGCTAATGTGACGATTGCTACGACAGCTGTGTAGGCCCATCGCACGTCAAGTTTTGCTGTGCATTTTGCCCAGCACGTGGGGCAGGTACTCGACTTGCCACATACGCTCGGAGTCCTCACCTACACCTGTTGGCATGGCTCCTAGACGTCTGTGTATGTACATATGCAGTGATGTGGTGTGATGTACTGCTGGCAGTTACATTGACGGCCTGCTCTACTTTGTCTCGCAAGAAAAAGGCAAGTGCTTGGCAAGCTTGAAAGAAAAATCAAAAGAAAGAAAATCCCAGAAAAATAGGAGCAAAAAGTCCAGAACTGAAAAACCAGATTTAAACAAATTTACAAGAATAGGCAAGTTTGATAAAAGTATTGCAGCAAAGAAAACAAAAAAAAACGTAGCACAGCAGCATATCAGTGGGACGAGAAAAAAATAAAGGGACAGACATGGGTGATAAGCGTTTGCATTCTGGACATGTCGGGCTCACTCCTCTCTTCAGAAAGAAAGGCTCGGCTCAGACGGGAGAGAAAAGGCTTTCATCCCAGAAAGTGTGATTCACCTGTTTTGAATGAAAATCGGTGCAAATAAACCACTCAACTTTAGTGAATAGTGGTTTTGAACTGAACAGAGTTATATATCAACTCTTAACTTTGAGAGTGCAGAAACAGCTAGGAAGGCATCATCTACCTTTGCGCAGTGGATGCTACAAATAATGTGTTCTTAGATTCCGACTACCCATTTGCACACTTCAAATTCCTCTCGCAAATTTCCCCAAGATCAACTTTACCTACAAACTTCACAAATTTTATTATTCGCTCCGAAAGAGGAAGAAAAAAGGGCATCAAAAAGGAGGGGCCAAAGGCCACGATTGCGTTATGTGCCACAAAACCTCATAAGGCGTCCATTGCAATGTTTCTCTCTTCTCTGCATTTCATGCTAGTATCGTTAACAAAATTGTTCCATAAGAAAAAAAGAAAAGAGAGCAGGCAGACATGTTAATGCCTTCTCACCGACACGCAACGCCGACCTATAGTCGGTGACAGGTTTAAGAGTTCAGGGGAAACTTTTCCCACCTCTTTCCACTTTAGTAGAGCATATGCTGGAGAGGAGGTTGACCTCCATCTCCAGCGTTTGGTCTGCTAAATCCGAAAGACGTAGAGGAGCTTCCCCTAAGCTCTTTACCTGCCACCTACTACAGCTGGACGTCACGTCGGCTGCATCACCAGAACTTGTGCGCAAGAAAAAGAAAGAAAACGAGCGGGAGACACAAGTAGGCAGACACATCCAGCACAACGCACCGTGCCAGGTAAAGAGTGCTACGACGAGACTGGTGCGCAAGTCCGCGTGCCGCCTCCAACAACGACGAGTCACCCACCCGGTAGTTTGTTGGAGGCCTCCATCACGTAGGCATGGAGCCTCCAGGCACCTTGAGTTGCTGCTGGGGTGGCCTGTGGCGCCGCTCGTCGTTGGGGAGGAGCAGGGGAAGCTTGAGGGCTGAGGGCATCAGCTGTGCTTGGACCTGGCTGGCAAGCACTTGCTGGTACAGTTGCTGCTGCTTGGTCGTCGGCATCGTCGCCTGCAGGGACGCGTTTGTGCCGACCGTGGTTCCGTGGGCTATGCTGGCACCGGGATCCGCACTCCTGGCTTGGTGGGGTCTCGAGCCATTCCTTGCTCCTGTCAGTCGAGCCAGTAAACAAGTTGTTAAGTGACACATTAGGTACAACAATTATAACAAGGCTATTAGTTACACATACACTCACAAACTGCTGATGGAACTATACAAGCTGTTTGATTTTTATTCAAACTGATTTTTTTTTTTTTAGGAAAAGGGCAAAAGGTGGACAAGAGTCATCGTTACCTTATATTTCTCAGACTAGGTGGACATTGGTGAGGGAATACTAAATATAAGTCAACCTTTTCAAAGATAAATATCTCAAATTAGAGTGGCAAAAAAAGAAAAAAAAATATATATATATAAAACTTTTTAGCAACGAAACTATTTATTTTTATTTTTCAGAATTGGGGTGGCGTTTAGGGTTATATTCAGAGTCGATCTATATGCAAAGATAGATGGCAATCATCACGGTAAGTTCACCAATTAATTAAAATCTGTTAATTCCCCCCCTTTTAGAAACACCTGTATCTGCCCCTGACGACACAACCGAAATGACTGTCACTCTTTTAAGCATTATTGTGGACAGGGCTTGTGAAGCTCATTTTGCGTAAAACTTTTAAATCAAGCCAAAAAAAAAAAAAAGTTTGATTAATGTTTAGAAAGTTATCTCTTTGCAAATTTTTTATATTGGTCTGGCCTCTAACAGTAATTGCTGTCAATATTGCAATTTCAACATGACCCCTGCCCAAGGGACACATCCGGCGTTCAGATGGCCGCTGTCTTTCCAGTGACGCCTGGCCCAAGGCCCGCTGTTACTAAAACCAAAATAAGCGTATGCTAACAAAATGGTGCTGCAGCATGCACTAAAAGCGCAAACAAAGACGTAGAAAAGAATGAGAGATAACCGCATCAAAATGCAGGATCTCTTGCCATATACTCGCCAAGTGGGCGCTTCTGCGGTATTTTACAGTACCTGTAAAATCACGAGATATAACCCACCTAACTTCAAGAGCACCGAGAGTCGGCCCACCAAGTGGGCAGACTCTCGGTGTACAATCAAGAAAAGTTTAAAAGATTGCCATTTTTAGGTTGTGTCCCTTCCAAGCTTGTTATGGTGGCGAGGGGCAACGAAGCAAAGATGACTGTACTTCCCACTCAGCAATGTTTACTTATATCCCGCATAGCGAACTAGCCGCATTTACGCCGAGGCCATCATTGATCCCAACACTACTATTACTAGGAGTGGGCCATCTTTCGGTGTTAAAAAATATATAGAAAATCGATCCAAATATAGGGGTGGGCTGTCTTTGGGGGTGGAGCATCTCTCGGGATTTTACGGTAGGCTAATTTATTTAGTATTTCCTCGTTTGTACTGTCTCGACTATTTGCCGGCCCTCAAGACTGACAGGTCCCCAATCCGGCCCCTTTGCCAAAACATTTGGAGACTCCTGCCTAAAGCCAATCATTGAGAAGTTAACTTATTTTAGTTAATTAGCCAACTTACCATGAGGATTATCCCATCTAATGTCCACCAAGCCCGATAAATGCACGGAGAAGACGGCACTTATCTCACTCTCGCAGCTTTTTAAAAAAGAAAGTCTGATTTGAACTAAAATTGAACACCTCGAATATTCTTTAGATCCGGAGGCCGCTTGCTACGAGTAAACCACCATTTAAAAGACTCCATTTTTTTTTTTAGAGCGCAGCTCTTAGGCGCTTGTTTCCGGCTTGGGCAGCATCGGCGTCACCATCGGCGTAACCGTGAAATCACAAGACCCCCCCCCCCCCCCCCCCCAGGTCACGTGACCCTCCGTACCCTTCCCTCCTCCTCCTCCTCAAGAGCTGTGCTCTAATTCGGCGTTACAGGGAGTTGTAAACGGCTTTCTTTCTTTTTTTTTGTCCGAGCAGGTGTTGTCATATGCGGTCTTACAGCCACGCTAGGGGTCCAGCCCAGTGAGAGAGGGAAGAGCACACCTTTTGCTAGATGGGCAGGATGGCAAGTGGCAGCCTCCAGGGACCCTGGCACGGTGTGGTTTGGCGATGGGTACAGCTTGCTCTGTCCCAGGATGCTGGGCAGGCCGTTGGACAGGGGGCTTGCCGTGGGCGCAGACACTTGCGAGGATGCCATTAGTTCCTGTGGCACACACACATTCGTGTCTGCTCGGTTTCACTGCATGCTTAGTATGAACATCCCTGAACAAGGGGGGGGGGTCTGGTGCCCCCCTTATTTTAGAAGGTTGTTACGGACGACAACATCGGCTATGCCCTTCGGATGTACCACTGCCCAGATAACTAAATTCCTGTTTGCTGATAGGTTTGCCACCTGCCCAGCTTTCAACCAACGAGCCAGTTTTCTGGATAGCAGGTCGGTTGCTTCTTCAACCATCCAAGTGCTTTTTTTTTTTGGTGTGTGTGTGTGTGCGGGTGGGGGGACTTTTATAAACATATTTTATACTCGTTTCACCTAAACATAATGAAGGTAAAACAGCGCAGAACGACAAAGACTAAAAGGAAGGAACAAACACGCCGGGACAGGCACCTCAAAAATCGTAGTAAAATAAGTCCGGCTTTTCGCAAAGCATTACTAATTTCCCCCTTTATGTAGATAATTAAGATATACGTAGGTGCATTTTAGATTAGATATTTGTTATCTTATCAAGATGTACCTGGTTTCAAACACCAAAAGCATTGCTTCTTCCTCTGACAATCAAATCTTGTAAGAACAACTTCGCATGGCATATGAACAATGTGCAAATCTTCCTTTTTTCTTGAGGTGAAAATGAGTATAAACCATAATGCAATTTACCTTTTTTTTTACCGAAAGTGCACAAAATTTTGTTAAATACCAAGTAGAGAAAGCAAGTGAGCAGGCTTGCTTGAGAAATGACAGCATCGTTCAAAATCTCTAAGCAGGTGTGGCAGCAAATGAACACACGAGAGGGAAATGGGAGAAAACAGGAAGCCTGGGGGGTGCGGGAAGCACATGACTACTCCAAAAGACTGATGAAAACTGGCGCACAATGAGACAAGGAGAAAGGAGGAAAGAGGAAAGAACACAGACCACAGACAGGGACATACTCGCAACTCTGATATAATAGGTGAAGAAAAGAAAGAAGAAAGACTCATCACAGGGGACACCGGGGCCAGCGGGAATGCGTTCAGTCGCAACTAACCCGTCCAGCTTACCACCTTACTACACAGGGCTGCCCTGTCCTCCCGATAGCTGTGTGTGCCTTTGGAAGGGGGTAGGGGAGAATGCACTTACGACTTTTAACAATCTAACAATCGTCGGCATCCTGACAGACACATGTGGTGCTATTGTCCATCCACAAAGGCAGGCAGCTGCTACGTTTCCACTTTCTTCCTTACTTTTCCGCTTGTTTTCTTTTCAGCCACGTAGGTCCACACAATGTTTAAAAAAAATGTATTTGCTTCATTGCTTTCAAACTCGGTTCTTTTTTTGTCCTTTTAACCGTCACTTTTTGGGGTGTTTTCGCCCAAACACGAGAATATGCTGAAACATGTGCCGGCTTGTCTTGGGGAAAGGCTGACATCTGTAGCAAAATTGTAGCCTGCTTGTGTCCCAAAGTGACAAGAGCAGTGCACAATAGAAACAGCTTGCTAAGCGCTCGAGTGCTTACTCATTCCTGCTGCACAGGATGAGCAGAAGTGCGGGATTTGTTTCGGACGCTTTACTTTTCAAGAAATGGCACTATCACAGACAGTATGAGCTGAAACAGTGCTCCGGCCGGCGCACAGCCCTACCTGCGCCACATGTCGCACCGCTCTGCACACACGGCACCCTGAGGCCGAGATAAATTCTCGCTTGCACTCGCTAAGCCACTGCGCTCTTTCGGCCATCTGTTAGCGCAACGGCGGGAAGGGGGGAGGAGTGGGGAGGGAGAGCGCCCAGATTTTGGGGAGTGGGAAAGGAGGGTTCAATCTCCAAACTGCCCCTCTGCCACGACCGCCCTCTGCTTAAGCCACTGAACTGTTTCCATTAAAAAAATTACAATCATTCAATCGATAAGAAACTAAATATGCGTTTAATAAAACATTTATCCAGAAACTACCTACCAGAGAGAGCACGATAGCAAAGATACGAGTGTGACAACGCATTTTCCACTTCGGCACTTTCTTGAAATGCACTGAAATGCATGTCAGCTGAAAATGTGAACATCGGGCTGCACGGAACATGCATCGTGATGGTGGTTCCGTCGGCCAATATTTCCGCTAGCAGACGGCCGGAAGAGCGCGGAGAGCGCAAGTGAGAATTCATCTCAGCTTTAGGGTGTGCAGTGTTTGCGGAGCGATGCGACAGGCGGCGTGGGTAGCACCGTGCGCAGGCCGGAACGCTGTCTCAGCTCACACTGTCCGCAATAGTATGTATCTCTATGCAGTGAGCAGCGGGATGGGCCGTATGTGTATCAACTTTACCGCGTTTCGTCTCAAGCGCTGACGAGTGTCTTTCCAAAGTTCAGTGTTGAGTATTTATGTACTTACATGTGCCATTGTATTATTATACCTATATTAATTGATTTTACTTTGGGAAGCTCATGTCAAAATAAATTGACTCTGTATAATAAAGACTGTGAACACTACATCTGTCGTTTCACCAATTCAACCCCACATAATTACACCCCCCCCTTCAATCCCGCCCGGACAATCTTTTTCTTGGAGAAAAGGTGGCAACTCTATCGTTTGATCATGCTGACTAAGATAAGACCGGAAGCACAGAATGTATGCGTACAGGCGCGTGGGACACCAGCACAAACCACACTCCGTACGAGGGTTATGCCAATTTTGAATGCAAAAGCATTAAAGGGAAGCTACAGAGCTTCTTGGGAAAAATGAGTTAGAAGTGAATTCTAGTGTCTTTTTACCCCGTGAACCCGAATACCCAAACCATTTGCTGCGCAAGTATTGGTAAACGCGAGAAAAACGCGAAAGACAGTCGCTGTACGTGACGTCATCGACGGATCTTTTGGCTGCCCAAGGCTAGGGAGGCGGGGCTTCAGTCCTACTTTGAAATTGCTCGTATGGCTCTCCGGCGCGTCGCATTGAAATATAATTTTGATATCTATTATTCCAAAGGCGAAATGAACGCAATTCAAGCGTTTTTTCTCAAATGTAGAAGTGCCCCATCTTCCCTTTAACCGTCCCATGGAGCGAGCCGACAACATCAGCTTTGAAGCCATGCCAAACGGCCCCTAAACTCCTTTCTCCGAGTGAAGCCGCAATCTAATGGCTCCCAGCTTTGAAGCCGAGCAAAAAGCCTAACCAAACGGCACCTGGTTTCCCCGCTCCCAATGGAGCGCAGTGAAGCCAAAATCTGATGAATTTCGGCTTCGGTCCAATTGGCTGGCGCACGTCATAGTTTTAAGAAACGTGGCTCCCACTGGCCGCTGCGCATCAGTTTCAAGGACCGCCACCTCATGACGCTGCGGGTCTGTGCTGCCAGCGCGCCGGTAAAACGAAGAGTCTGGCCGCCGAGCGAGGCGGCTCCACCGCCGAGACCAGCGTGGCGAGGAGAGCGCGCACGCTGCCGTCCACGCCAGTACGCCGCAGACAATCAAAGGGAGTGGAACAATACATGCATGCTTTTGCATTCACAACTCATAAGAAGTGCTTAAATGTAGCTCAGGCCTTTTTATTGTGCACCACAGATGTTAGCCACGCCGAGACCAAATAAACGAGCGCACTGTGCGGGTGCTATCTTATTTGGCTGTTGCGAGATGTGTGACATCAATGAGGCGAGCGATCGCACTTCTCTCGCCAGCATGTTTTGCAAAGAGCCTAATCCTTCCAGAGAAGCTGTGCTATGCAGCTCGCTGGCCATAGTATCAGACTGCCAACGCACCGACCCAAGCTTGAGTCCAGCTGGGGCTCGAACTTTATAAATAAGCTTTATAATCACTTTAACGTTGTGTAATGCTCCCAGCGTGTCACTTGTTCACGACGCTCGTTCGTGACAGTTTTCTCACAGAGACCGACTCATAAAACACATTCTGTGTTACTAACAGAACTGCTTGCATGATCACAAAGATGACTCGCATTGTTACAGGTATTCGGTAACATATGAGGTCATTCAAGTTTTACGATAAATAAAGAGTGACTACTAACCGAGTCCTAAACCTCAGGGACCTAATGTTTACAAAGAGAAAAACATCACTGTAAGAAAAGAAAGAGTACTGCTCTCCAATGGCTATAGTTATAATCACCAGTGAAAAGAGGCCGGGCAGGCCTCGGTAGGTAGTCTCTCTTCAATTATTTTCCCCTAAACTAGTCCCATGAAATGTTCACGTCCAAGTTACATAATGTCAGGGAACCTGTTGCACATCAGGAAAACTAGCTAGTGCCAAAAAGCCATACAAGAGCATAGCTAAGAACAATATTAGTGAAATTGATTAAAATCTTTGGGATGTGGAATGGAAGCAACAGCCTTACTTACCACTCTATTAAAAGTCAGCATGCCACAAAAATAGTCACAGTCATCACATTTTACCCAGTTTTGTAATTACACATCCTGCATACTCTTACTTCGCGGACGTAATACTCGGTAAAAGTGTTCACCATTTAATAAAGGCAGGGTGAATTAGGCACCGTGGAACAGAGATTTGCAAACACCAAGCAGTCTACTCCAATTAGATATCCACATTTTCTGGCTTTTCTAGATTTCACATAATATATTTTTTATTAAGATCCTCTGATTAACCTGGGGAAAAAAAAATATGCTTAACACAATCTGTAAAAAAACATATTCAGAGCCATCAGCAAATCAACTATTCTCTCTTAGTTATACTCATATGATGACATCAGCAAAATCAATGATTCTCTAATAGACTGATATGATGACAGCAAGTGAATTGAAACTGATTTAGCACATAGATGACATTGTTAATAAAGCTAGAGGTAAATGTTTTACACTTCGGCACACCTTGAAATTCGCTGATTGAGAAACAAAGAAAACTGCATACCAAACACTCATTCGACCCATCCTACAATATGCTAACACAGTTTGGTATCCTCACACAGCAAGTGGAATGAACAACATTGAATGAGTGCAAAAACTTGCTGGGAGATCATATTTAATAATTATCGGTATAGTGTTTCGGCATCAGGTTTACTGAAACAAGCTAACATCCAGTCACTGGAGACAAGAGCAAGAATAAACAGATTGCGTAATTTAAACTCTTTTATAAACTGGTTATTTAATGTTAATAATGCAAAATACATAGAATTTTCTAAGACAGGATTGGCTAGACTAAATCATAGGCACAATCTGTTTAGATATTCTTTTTCCCCTCAGGCAATCGGCAAATGGAACTCTTTACCAGACGAAGTTGCAACCCGTCCGTCATTGGACGTTTCTGTTGAGGCAATTATTTCTGCCATGAGTAAGTGTTCTTGAGTGCAATATGCCACTGTTTTTTGTAACCCCCCTGCTATGGCTCACAGGTGGGAGCCGCGGTATTCTTTAAATAAGTTTTAAAAAATTCAAAAGTCGGTGATAGTTGTAATGACAGTTGTATGATTCTGGCCTTAGCAACAGCAGATATAGGAACAATGAGACCCCCCTAAAAATGGTGATTCCTGTGGCAAAGCACTGGATTGCGGTGTCCAGGTAACCTCCCAAAGGGTTTTTGGCTACAGGGAGTCATATTTTTTGTGAAACACAATGTAAAACCACAATTCGAGGATTAGCGCAGGGAACTGTGATGACACAGACTTGGATAGCGACGGGTAACCGTTTCCCGCAACTATCCGTTCCTGCCTTTCGACGCTTTTAGTGCAGTACGAGACCACTCACGTCATCTTGCACCGAGACGGGGGTAGCATATGCATCGGAGCGAGCGAATACGACCACTCGCATCATATCCACACAGTTAAACAAATATGAAATTGTTATTTAGGACAAACTACTTGTCTTTCTCTCAAATTAGAGCATTTCGAGTGCCCAATAAAATTTGGGACTCCATTTCCGTGGCACCGATAGTGCGAGAGGCTTGCGTTTTGAGTTGCAGTGAAGAAACACTCTTTTGAAACTTGCTGGCGTAACCTTCGCTAATGTTCACAATTTGTCCCACCCATAACATGTGCTAAAATTGAGTATGCTATTTTAAGCTCCCTAGAGTAACTAAAGTTATCATTCAAAGCCCCAGAACAATTTGCACAAAGAGAGTGGCACTGCTGTAATGTTTCTCGCTCATGTTGTTAATTTCTTATATAAATCAGCACAGGTAATTAAGGTTTATTTCACAAAGAAAGAAAAATCAGTAAATGCATTAGTATCTTGATGAGCACTACAAATCGAGAACACTAAATAAAAAATTGTGTAAAGAGGTCAGTCATGGTATATACTGTGAATGCCAAGTAAGAAACAGTAGCACAAAAACATAACATGTATCATCACCAGCATTGGGAAGTACTCGAGTATACTGTACTTGAAGTACTACAAGCACGTTTAGAAAACTTGTACTTGACGTGAAGTACATTCTCTGAGTATGTACTCGTATTTTACTTAAAGTGTTCATTCTGACACTTTCCCAGGAAAGTACAACTCCAGACTTCCAAGTACATTCCCTGGTCTTCTTAAATTTGTATAACAAAATGATGCCTTGTCAACATATAAGTGCCTTATGAGTTGTGTTAAATAGTTTGTCAGCAAGAGTAAAACAACTACCCTGTGGCCACTTGATTTTGTCCAATATGTGCCACCATGTCTGAAAATAACTGATACACCCTCGATTAGCCCTGGCCCCTGGGGTAGTGCAAACCAGTAAAAAAAGAAAATACTGTATGAGGGAATGAAAGGGCACCACAAAAGATTGTGTTAAAACTACTTGTAATTTAATTTGAAAGTACATTGTATTTATACTACTTTACTTCAAGTACCTCGTGCCCAGTGTACTTGCTAGTTTACTTGAGGTACGTAACCACTCACTCACTTTGTACTGCCTAGATGTACTTAACCCAACACTCACTATCTTGGCCAAAATAATCTGAAACGCCACGACTCACAATAAAACTGTCGGAGCTGCCCGTCGTACCGTTCGGCAAACTGTGACGCGCACCGAGGCTAAGACAAATCCCCTCCTGCGCTCGTGGTGCCACTATGGACTCGCGGCAACATACAGATCAAACGAAACGAAACTCACCGGCAGAGCCAATCCCTGAGGCACGGAAGAGGACACCTGGTGGTGATTCTTGACCACACCCATCGCGGTGCGGCCGGGAGGGTGGGGACCTCTCCGGTTGAGGGCGCCACCACTCCCGCCGGCTGGCTTTGTTAGGGCGGGGGCCGTCCCCTTGGAGCCCCTGGGTCCGTTGCTTTGTAGTAGCGTCGCGCCCCCCGTCACTCCCGGCTTGCTCACCGTCACCGAATGGAGCAGCACCCCACTGTTCACCGAAACCTGACCGTTGAGCACGTCCGCCGTCGCCACGAGCATCGCACCGCCGGCTTCCTTGGCCCTCGCCGGCATCTGAAGACGCGACAGTGCACTCAGGTGGGTCCGAAACGGGAACGACACCGGCGCACTCGTTGCGGGAGTCACTGCCGTGGGCGGGGGGTTGGGGGTTGGGCTTTTCTTCTTGCGGGCGCTGGGCACAAACACGCCACCATTGCTGGTCGGCGTCACTAGGGAGTCTCTCCGCGGGGGAGGTTTCGTCGGGGCCCGTGGGGCAGGGGACGGGGAGGGGGCGACGGCAACGTGGTGGTGGCTCGCGTTCCGCACTGCGTGGTTCGACGGGTTTGGCAGCAGGGAACGGGGCTGGCTCGCGGAGGAGGGTTCTGCCGTCGCGGCGCCGCAGGCGAAGCCGTAGGGGTCGGACTGCTCCTCCGCCGCGGAGGCCCGGGCAAGGCTGGGCAGCTGGGACTCCACGCAGAGCCGCCTGGAGACAGAAGCAACGCGCATATTGGCGTGGATTCTCAGGAGTGTTGGTCGGGTGCTTGAAGGCACGGTCAAAGAGGTACGAGCAGTTATCTCATTGCGACGTGCCACTTTCCTGGTGCAACAATGCGGGGTTTCGAGCAGCTACTGGCTGTGGCATTTGTTGTTTTCTCCATCTGTCCGTCTATTGTTACTGTCTATTGATTGTCTGTCTATTGTTACTTGTCAGGCTTTCGGGCAAGCTCAACTACGTGAATTATCTGTCCCCAAAAAATAACCCTTTCCTTGTTTGTTTCGCGTGCGGTTGGGGGAAGAACGAGGATTTGAGGAGGTAAAGTAATAAATGCACCTTTCATAAATGCACCTTTCTCAAATACTGGGACCTACAAACAATTAACATATATTCCGTGCCTCGTGTATCTGAATCGTTTATCCTAAAAACTGGGTCGCCAAAATAAAAAACACTTTTGTGGTCTCTTAACTGAAACGTGAGAAAATATTCCACAAGCATCATGAGCCATGAGAACGTTTCTGGTCATTTGTCACTGGATTCCCTAAACTTTCTTGTAACGAGCCACAGGCAGCAAGTGCTTACCACGTATTTGAAAAAACGCCAAAGGGCTCCAAGATGAGTGCAGCAAGACAAACACTTTCCAAACTAAGCACTTCTGCTCTTCACGATGCTGCATCCTATGCAGGGAGTGCCTCGCAAAGAGCGTCAAGGAAGAACTATTTCGTCCGCAAGTTATACCAAACGTCAGAAACACCAAACGTCAAAAGGAGAAATGAAGGTCAACTCACTTCAGCGGAGGAGGACGAAGGTTGCTCTCGGAGCCAAGAGCCATAGAAAGCGCTACGCGCGTTGCGTCCCACCGCCGATCCAGCAAGAAGAGGCCGCTGCCAACTTGCCTCAGGCCAAACGTGCACATCTTGGGGAGAGAAAGAAGCCAAATGTCATCCTCAGGTCACTGTGCTATGGACAGGCTCGCGACTTGCCTCGGATTTTCCAACCTGCTACACATTTGTGGCTAGCAAATGGGAGTGAGGCGGAAGGAACTCACGGCTGCTGGCCTCGGGTGGTGCGACACATAAGGGTCGTTGCTGTGGTCGGGCCTTCGTCGACACGTGCCAGAGGTTGTACTAGGAGTCGCTCCTGCTAGGACGGGCGTCACAGGCGGCATTACGTCCATCGAACTACTGCAAATAGACAATCAATCCTTGAGTTGGAGTGAAGGTCACCGGAATACTAACTGTGCAGTCACCGGACCAGAGCTTGCAACAAAGTGTAAAATTCAAGTTGAAAATAGTCTAGATGAAAAGCTAGTCTCTCTCGAGTATGCTCGATGTGCTTTAATAAGCGCAGCTCACAACCTCAAATATTCCCATGTGAACAACAGCACTGACTTGATCTTTATGCATTCAAGGCATATACAAAACTTCCTATTTCAAAACAAACATGTTTAAGAAGGAGACGGCTGCAATTTGGAGACGAGCATTGAGGCATGTGCCACATTGCACCAGCTTTGTGTGGTAGTTTTGTCCAGACGCTACGATAAGAATGAGACACGACGCTAAATGAACCTCGCAAGTTTCTGCACCGTGAATTTCCAGTAAAGCCGTGCACCCCACCCACAAGAAGTAAGTGCTGCGCACCCCTTGGGCAGAATCTGAGTTGGTCTGCTGCATGACGAGGAAGGCTGGTTTGAGGCGGTCGGCAAGGACGTCTTGGGAGGGGCCTGCTTGAAACTCCCGCCGCCAGTGGCCGCGGGCGAACGCACCACGGTGGGCCCACAGTTGACTCTGCAGCTTCCAGAGCCTGGCATGGCAACAAGAAATAGCAATGAACACGCTATCGGTATGACAGCGTTCATCAAGCAGTTAAACTGGCAAGTAAAACCTTACTTATACGAGAGCCCCGCCATCTGACAAAGGAATTTACGGCAAGTAAAACCTTACTTATACGAGAGCCCTGCCATCTGACAAAGGAATTTACGGCAATATGGATGCAGGTATATCTGTTGAACATCTGGGTGGCAGTATCAGGAAGCAACGGCCAGAAAAGTTACAAAGATCACCTTCACTGAGTGCCAGTCAACAAAAGCTCTCCCTGTGATCACAGATTATTAGATTGATCCACAGAAGTGCATAACACTGCCCACAAAGTGCTAATAATTTGAAATAATAACAGAGGAAAACACCACTCCACTCTCACCCTTCTTACAACTGAACAAAGATATAACAAAATGTTCAATTAAAAGAAGTGTCACTCGGTGAGAGAAACTGATAACACAAAGGACAGTCACTAACACAAAAATATAAATAAAAACTAAGCAAAGCCATCACCACCACAATATAATATGGCCACAAAATTTCAGCTGGGTACCAGCATTATTCATTTCCATTTCAGAACATTCCCCCCCTCAGTTCACGTAAGCTTTTCTACTAAAAAACAAAATAAAAATTTGTTTTCTAACTTAACCGAAACAAATGACAACTCATTAAATCTCAATGCAAGCTGCAGCTTCATATTCTCGACAAAATTTCTCAACAACATCCCAGCCCCAGAAACTCCCTAAAATAGGTACCTGCCCCTAGGCATTCCAGCTTGTCTAGGGAGACATGGGTACAACACATAAAGGAGTGCATGCCAATGCCCTCAAGGAGGCCTAACTCCTTGAAAACGGGTTCATTTCTTAATTTTGGGCACTCATCTTGCCGACTGGCTGAAAGTGATGTTAGTCAAACCACTGCAAGTGAGGATCACGCTACCATTTTCATTGAAGATTTATGCTGCAGTAGAAGATGCTGCAAAAAATAATGCCAATTATGAGTAATAGTATGCAGCAAACACCTGAAAGACCTAAAAAAATTTTAAAAAAAGAAAACATATAAAAATAGTGTTTATTTTTGTTGTTTTTTTAAATTGGGTTTTATAGTGCTACATATCACCCAACATTTGCTAGAATTTTCAAGTAAATAATTTCTCGCAAAGTAAAGCATGCAAGAACTAACCACAGCAACTGGAGCAGAAACTTGGACCGAGAATAAAAAAGCAAGAGTGGATGGGACATGTCAGTTGAAGAGTAGGCGACTGTGAGAAACTGAAATGTTGTGCACAAATTTATCCTCCGTCTCAATGTGCACAATGCCATCGGAAAGCTCATTTTCTGTTAGATCAATTACTGCAGCCAAATATATTCATTTTAATTAGAACTCAAGGAGTATAGTATGGATTAGTTTGCAAATTATGCAGCTCCGAAACCTTCGTGGAAGATGGGTGGTAACTGCGAAACACCAAGCCACCGTGAGCAAGGAAAGAACTTTCCTCGGAAACGTGACATGTCGTGCGTGAAGAAAATCTGAAGGTCAGACATGCTGTTTCAGATGCACGCAGCTTTTTTCAAAATATTTTCGAGGGAACATTGCATAGACGAAATTTGGGCAAGCCCTTGGACATTGGTTAAAGCCACGAGGCCACTGAAGCCACTACGCTTAGGGAAACGACATTCCGTTCCCCGAAGCTCCCGTGGGAACCGCCCTTTTCTTGCCTGGTGTAGAGAGGGCAAAATCGGCGATCGTTACAGCTCGAAAATGTGACTTCCCGGGCATTGGCACGATGTCAGAAAGCTTGAATGACATCTTTTTGCTCCGTTGCGGACCGCCTTAACATTCTTGGAGAAAGAAAAAGCGTACCCCGCGATTTCAGATATAAAGCTTCGGATAACTGGCACCAACGATTTTAAGCACCAAGATGGCCGAAGCATCGTTACTTCTAAGCGCAGCTTATTCGGTGGCTCTAGACGCCACAAAGGCCACCGCAACCGCCCCCGGCCGCCTCGGTGGTTGGCACGCGAGGTTTCCCGTCCCAACAAGAAGCACAGCGTGTCTCCTCCTTCACGTGGCTAATCTTTACTGCACACAAAGTCCACCACGTTTCGTCCAACGTCTGCGTGGATGCGGTACCCGAAACGCATCTCCAACTGCCGTCTATGCATCCTGTTCTGCCCGTGCGTGGACGTCGCGATGCTGGCTGCTGAGCATAAAAGTTCCGGAAAAAAGCGCAAGCAAATGCGAACGTCGCCTTACTCGAGGCGTCCCGGCTGCCAAAGCTTTTATGGACTGTCGCGCTGTGGACGGCATACATGTGAATGCACACAAGGACCCCACCTTCTAGGGAGCAGGCCTGCTTGCCGCCGCTCGCCGCCGAGGACGGGAGGCAAGCCGGCGAGGTGGCGCTGTTGCAGTGCTGCGAAGATGGCGGGGCGGCGCACGACGCGGCGGGTGAGGAAGAACGAGGCAGGGCGGCGCTGTCGGCGGCGCCGGTCACAGCCAGCGAGGCCACCACGGCGTGCGGTGTGGGCTTGGCAGAGCCCATGCTGGCCTCCTTGGCTGCACGGTGGTCTATCAGCAGGTCGTCGAAGTTCTTCTTCCTCCCCGGCACTGCCCGCCGCAGCGACAGCGAGTGGGTCTGCACCGAGAGAGAGGAAAGCGTTAACCCCGAGTAGGCTATACCAAACACCCAAGGTTTTGGAACCTTTCATCTATTCTTTTAGACGCAGACTTTGCTATCTTAGACTTAAATACATTTACGTGCGATCCAAAACTTGGTCTCCGGCTTGACTCGAAGCACAGTCGCATGTATTGCCAAGTGGGACGTCGACTATGGCACCATTTACGGTGATGTGATTGACCTAAGCCATTTTGGTGCACCTTTCGGAGCAGCCAAAATAGTGTTTTGGTGCAGCAAATGCGGCCTTTGGAGCAGATATTCTTAAAAAAAATTAAAATATTAGTTTTAAGTGCTGTACAAACGAACGGCACTTTGCGTTTTGTCGTGTTCTGATGTGACGTGTTGTGACGGAACTCGCGGATCGTGTTTTTACTGCTGAGACATCAAACAAGTGTACAGTGCTATAAGCATCGTCGAGCAATTCGGAAAAACCGCTTGCCATCGTTTTACTGGTCCCGACGTGCCTATTTTCGTCAAAAGTAAGCAGACGTAAAGCAATAGATTGCAAGCGTCTTGGCTGATGCCTATGTGGTGCAATCATGTTTGCATGCACGTAAGGGCAACTTCGGCAGGCTTGCAGGTGCGCGTTTGATTGAAACCAAAACCATGCCACTCCGCTCCGTAACCAACTGATTCCCAAAATTGTATGCGAAATGTAACTCTAGAGCATATGACAAATAAACAGTCCAGCGGCGCGTGTTTGACAGGCCAACAAACAAAGTATAAGCTAAAAAAAGCTGAGCACATTGATGCAAGACAGTGCGAGCCAGGTTAAAAAGGTTCCTGGAACGCTTCGTGCAATGACTGAACTCGAGACAAACAAGCGCGCTGTGCAAGTTCAGCGTGCAAACATTGCCTTCTTTGCTTTAGCTCACTTCTCTTCACCAACTTTCTTTCGCGGCAGATTTTTCACGTTCCGGGATCCCTCTCAGAAGAAAGCAAACCAAGAAAAACCTAGGTAATCAATACTTTGATACAGCAGTCTTCGAGTTAAGGAGAGATTTTTGTAGTAACGTAGGATTTAAACAAGAACAAGAATGTTGATGAACATGCGGCTGTACTTAGTTTCATTTTAGAAAGCACCATATCTGCAGCGACGTGGGGACGACACGCGGCACGCTAGCGTTGGAGCGTTCGCACACAGCCACGTGTATCCTTGAAAAAAATAATCATAAAAAAGACGCAAGACGAGATCCACGAGACAACGAGAGCGCGGAACTCGAGACGGCGGGAAAACCATGCAAGACCGGATGGACGATTGATGCAGGGTACTTTGTGTCGGGCAGCCGCTTGCACCACATAACCCACGCGTGCTCAATGACGGTACTCAGTTTAGTTTTGGTTCTGAAAGGCGACCGAAATGGTTTTTTTGACGCAGGCTTGGCGCGGATTACCCATATTTTGGCAAAATGTAGCGGGATGTAGCAGGGTTAGCCCCTTAGCACAGTATGGCGCAATTGGCGCAGCAATCACATCACTGCATTCATTTGTGATGCACGAAACACTGGACCCTAGTAGTCTAACACGAGGGGGTAAAAACGGGAGCAGAATGCGGCAAATCATAAGCGCCGACATCGGTGATCCTGAGAAAAGGAATGGGAAAGGGAGTGACAGAAAGGATGAAAAGGAAAGCAGACGAAAGGTGAGGCATGTTTGTTTTGCTGCAATGCTTTGAGTGCTTCGAGTAATTGACAATTATTTATTTTTGTACAATGCGCGATGCCAGTATTTTTGAGCAAAATAAATCTAGAAAACAACTAGTAGGTACACACCTTGCAGGTGGTGTTTCGCCGCTTCTTTGTGAGTACTAAAGCATCGCCAGCGATATAATGCTGTCGGGACCACCTATGTCCGTGCCTATGCCCCGCCTTTTCGAAGCGGGCAAAATGCACGGGACTTTTTTCTTTAAATTATCATGTCAATTTTTCTCTCCCATTTCCTGCCCCAAAATTGACACGCAGCACACAGAATTATCCTCGATACATCTCATACACAATGTTTTTATAAAGTACTTTGTAAACTGCGTGACAGAGTTAGCACAAACATGATATTGGTAGATTCTCGCATTTTGCTCAGACAAGGTTTAGACGAACATAAAGTTTTGCCAACTTAGTCGGTATTCAGGATGAGCAAATTCTACCACGCCGGTAGTTCTCGCAATGACATAACGGTTGTGGAAGAATAACAGGAAAAGCTGGCAATCGCATGTTCGTGCTAACAGTGTTACGCCCTGGGCATGTACAGTGGAATCTCGTCGACACGATTTTCGCGGGAACCGAAAAATGAAATGTATCATCCCAATATAGCATTATGCAATACGGACTCCAAAAGATCATACATAGCACATGCATACATAGTAGAAAACTTGCTACGGCCCCAAAGGCAGTGCAATACCGCCGTTATCGTACTGCCTAGTGCTGGCAGACCGGAAAAGAAAAATACAAGTTTTTGAATACCTGTCAAAACTCACTTCTGCAGCTGTATTATCCAAATTCAAGCGAAAATATGATTGTATTTTCCATGTCAAAATACATTGCTCCTATGGGACCTTGGCCAGGGACGAAAAGAAAAATGCATTACGCCGAAAAACATATAATTAAAGATCATATCAACGAGATTCCAGTGTAAATGCTTTCCAAAAGGACATTGAATCGAGCACTTTCAGGGCATTTTGTATACCAAACCACCAGCCTCTGCGATATGTTGTGGAAGGTTCAACCCCAACGCTCAGAGTTGCCAGACATGCACCTGTGCCTATCCAGTCTAATATACATTCCAAAGCTATGTATGGTTGCAACCAGTATGAAAGACGAGCTTGGAGCGCGTGGCCGAGATGACGGCCGGGGGAAGAGCCGCTCACGCTTGGGGCAATTCCATGTCGCTCCGAGGAGAGGGACGTGTTCTCTGTCAATGTGCTCCAATTCAGTTTGTGCCGCATTATCCAAGACAAACTGAATTGGAGCATTCCACACAATGATCACACATTGCCCCATTGTGAAAGTCGGAACTTCGTCAGTGAGGCCTTACCTTGCAGGTGAGAGAGCGAGTGCAGGGCTTTCCGTGGTCCACGATCAGGACGCCGCAGTGCTTGTTCGGGTCGTACTCCCGATCTGAAAGGCGAGGCAGCATAAAGATGACGAGTGAAGAGCGCGCAACCGAAATGGTGTGGAGTCGCAAATTTCGTGTAGCATGCGTCGGTCACTAGTCACACGGTGCTGCTAGTTTTCATTACTTCCTTGTTCACTCCTTGTCTTTTTTATGTCGAGCTAAATGGTGTCTATCCAACCGGGTGCATGAACTAGTAATTGACCATATTTATTTAAAACATGAACTTTTCCATCTTATGTTACAATGCAGCAGTGTGCTACCAATAGATTTTTCTCCTGTTTAGAAGCATTTCTAAAGGAGTTTGTGTAACTTGTACCTCCCCTGCTAAAGCCTCAAGGATGGCAAGCAGGTATGTCTTGAGCGCTGTTCAGTCAAAAAAAAAATCACATAATTAAACCAATGAATGAAGTGCATTAAAATTTTTTTTCCACAAAGTTGTCTTAAAGGACACATGCAAAGGAAAAAAACATTTTTTTTAGACAGCTTAGATGGAAAAAGGATGTCATAAAACGATTTTACAACGAAGAAAAAAAATTTTTAGAGCTATATTTACGGCGCTATACGAATTTGTAGTTGGCGCTCGCGGGAGCCGCCCCTGGTCACGTGGTAGGCCCGCGCGCCGCCGCGCTGCGTCGCCGCCGCACGCTGAGCGTTCTGCGAACGCCGCTTCAACGCGTTTCTCCACGCCGCCGTCGCCGCCGCCGCACAAGTTCGTCTGCTTCGGGGCGCCGCCGCCGTCGCCTGGCCGGCGCACAGGTCTATCACGTCTGCTTGCGCTTTTTCAGGAGTTTCCTTTGGGCTTTAAAAGATACTTATTCATCTTAGTTTTTTGTTACACTTCAAACAAAGATGAATAAGTTACTTTTAGAGGCCATAGAAAGCTTCCGAAAGAACGCAAGCACCACGTGATAAATAAAGACCAGTCACGTGATAAATACAGACCACTTTTCCGCGGTGCCCGCGGGCGCCAACTACAAATTCGTTTTGCGCCGTAAATATAGCTCTAAAAAATTTTTTTCTTCGTTGTAAAATCGTTTTATGGCGTCCTTTTTCCATCTAAGCCGTTTAAAAAAAATGTTTTTTTCCTTTGCATGTGTCCTTTAAGGTGGTGCATTTGTTAACTCAAATTTTATGAGTAGGTTTCAAGAAAAAAAAAAAGCTAAGCCTAGAAATACCTGTTCTTTTCTATGCACAAGGAGAGGAAAACGGCAAAGCCTTCTGGTCAACGATGCTACACACAGATGGTACTACGCACACACGGATCTGCTATATCTGCTTTCGGTAATTCATGTCAAAAAAGCTTTCACGTTTTTGCTTTCAATTGACCCGTCTGTGAGCAGAAGCGTCAACCAGAAGACTTTTTCCATCTTCCCCCCTCTGCAGAGAAAAGAGTATAGTTTTTTTAGACTTAATATTTTTTTCCTGAAACCTACAATTAAAAAATTTGACTATAATAAATGCACCACTCAGATACAACTTTGTAAAAAGCTTCAATGTCCTCTGTCCATTAGTTTATTTATACAAACTTTTTTTACGCCCAAACGGCGCTCGAGAACATCCTGTACAAATGAATGATTGAATGAACACCCAGGGCCCGAAAGACACTGGAATAGCTCCATAGCAAGAAAAACATAGCCTGCTGCTGAGGAATTGACATCTCCTGGAGGCTTTGCTCACTATGAGGTGGCTGCAGAGGTTATGTGACACTTACTCGGCATCACCGTAACTAATGCAATTCTTTCAGTGAAACAAGAAACTTCACTAAAATTGTGTATCATTTCATGCTGCCCCAAAAAACTGAACTAATTCATCGAGCGCGGTGCAACAGACCGGCAGCTTACGACACCTTGCAATGAGCCTCCTCCAGATTCAACGAGGAGTGTGTTGGTGAACACGTGAGCTAGAAAACAGCCTCTCGAATGGTCTATTCGCACGACAAGGATTCAACGTCCTCACATTTGAGGTGAGGTGCACTTAGTCACAACCTTTCGCAAATTCCTCAGGTCAGCTGCGAGAGTGTGGTCAGCTCACGAAATGTCTGCGTACCACTTAAAGTGATTGCACCACTTGTTTTCATTTCAGAGAGAGATTAAGGGTCCGCTGCACTAAGCTGGAGAAGCTTATTGGTGAGAAGATTGACTGCCGGCCGTCGGAAGGAGACGTAGGAAACGCAGTCGACTCGACCGCACGCAAACACTTGCCCGAATTTTCTGAACCACCTACGGCACCCACAGTTTCCTCCGCAGACATGTCTCTCGTGTGAAGAGACCATCGGGGACAAAGTCAGGCACAGTTCAGGTGGAAAGGCAGACATATTTGAAGGCGCTCGTTCCGCTTTTCCTTAATGTTTCTAGTAATTGAGTCCCCATTGCCGGTAGGCAAAGCCTCCTCACCTTTGCAGGGAAGCAGCTTCCGTTCCCGAGGCAGTTTCCTTCCCGAGGGGGCGGCGACCGGAGTCGCGGCCGGGTTAGAACCTGCCGCGGCGGAGGCAGCCCCGCCCCCCGTACCCTGCTTCCTCGCGGGGGCCAGGAGGGTGACGGGCCCTGCCCCCGCCCCTGGGCCGGGCCCCGACAGGAGACCCGAGCCCCCCGGGGTGAGGGGAGGGGGCTGCTGGGGCGAGGGGAGCTCCTTCTTGTCCCCGCCCGGGGAGTTGTGCCTGAGCAGCGCCTCCTGCGCGTGCTTGGCCAGGGGCATTCGTTCCACCTGTGGAGTAAAAGTACTTTTTAAGTATTTTCACCGAGAAGTTCCTTCTCCAAACGTCTGCCCAATAAAGCCTCTGTTGCCATACGAATTCCACGTGCAAGGTACACAGGATGTCCCTGTCACCTTTGGCCCCAAAGGAACCATCCAGAAAAGCATACATCACTCGATGTCAGCTCAAGAAGGAAGCAAGTTTTGCACTCATATTCTGTGTTAGTTCTCACAAAACATAGTGGAGAGAAGAAAAATTATGATTATTTTATTTTAAAAGTGTATGTTTTGATCAAATAACAAAATAAATACTATGTCAATGCACGACACAAAGGGGGAAATAAGTAACGCTCCCCGAAGAGCCGACACTTTTTGACTAAGGTGCTGGAGATGAAGACGACATTTGAGAACTTCAAATGTTTGCGCCTGAAGTTTCTGCACAACCTCTATTATGGTAACGCTGGTCTTGAAAAATCTAGATACATCCTAGCATTATATTTCTCACAGAGTAAATACTAGTAAAAAGATTTGTGAAGTTTCTGCACAAACTGACAAGCTAAAGTACCCTATTTTCCGCACTATCGTCTAGGGACTGTATATGTATAAAAGGTGAAATTTTACCCGATGCAGACTATCTGCAGGTAGGGACTATACAAGGATTTCTTTTTCAAAATCGTTCACTGTGACAAGACGTCAGATTTTATGGACAACAGAGTACATCAATGTTGATTTATGTATGATACAAGCTTCTTTGTGAGCTAATACAGCACGCATTTGTCAAGGTGTGCTGTGTATAATTTTTACGCGCGTGCAGACTACCTAAGCAAAAGCTTTTATTTTTTATCCTAAATTTGCTCCTGCGGACTATGCACCAGGTGCGGACTATAATCCGGAAAATATGGTACTCGTTTTTTTCCTTGAACTGTCCATGACTAGAATGTACTGCCCGATTCGTTGGTAGAGCTACCCTACGATTACTCTTTTTTCAATAAAATAATGTAGTGAAGTTGTCACTCAGCCCTCTGGGCAATGTAGGTATGAAATAAAAAAAATAGTGAAATCTGACACTCAATTTTGGAATGGCTTAGATAATTGCCTGGATTCTCTCTGGATTAGCTTTGCCTCACGATATAGCTGAGAGAAAATATAGCACTTGCAGACTTTCACTGAAATAATTTTTTTTTTTTTAAAAGTGACAACACTGCAAATTCGAGACCATCGAAGTTCCTTGCGGTGACGACCGAGAAAGGTAATTTCAAGAAAGCCTCTGTCGCAATGGTAGCACACTATTTTCGTGCACTACATAGTTTAGAGAAGTAGGTATGCAGGTAAGTCTCTAGCAGCACCTGTCATCTCCCAGAATATGAAGAAACATAGTAAAAACTGCAACTTGCATACTGTTCCCCCCACTGCAGTTTGAACTCCAAGCAACAGTAGCCAACTACTACCGTGCTGAAAGTACAGGTCCCCTATTTTGGTTTGGCATGTCCTCGGTGCGAGCATGTTGGCACCTACGGCAAGTTGACTCCACCTGGGCAGCGATAGTGCACACGACGCGGAGAAGCCAGCTTGCTCGTACCAGGGCACGCCAAACGAGGGAGAGCAGCCTCATCAGCGAACGTACGAAAAATATTGCACAATCACTAATGCCTAGTTTAGAGAGTTGCATTAGTTGCGTTCAAAGCGACAAAGACGACAGCAACAACAACTTCACCGGGACAAGTGTGTAGGGCTAAACGAGCAACGCAAGAAGTAATTTTGGTTATTTGGACCGAACTGCCAACCACGTACCCGCACCACGGGTGCCATCGAGTGGTGGTTCCGCTTGAGCCTTTCCAGGGTCGACGCGGAGTTGGCGAGCCGGTTGGTGGCCGGCGGCTTGGAAGAGGACATGGTGGAAGGAGGCCGGCTGGCAGGGTTGCGGGGGGCAGAAGACGCGGAGGACGAAGAGGACGACGAAGATGACGAAGACGAGGAAGAGGAGGAGGAAGAGCTGCTGCCGGACTTGCCGCCCCCCGCGGGGTGGAGCAGAGACGGGTCAGCCCGGTCGCTCCGCGAGAAGGCGTTGCTCCCGTGGCGTTGCTCTGCAACAACATGCACGGGCAGAGCTGAACGACCGGTCAATTAATGACAACGATAATTAGAAAGAATCAGCAAAAAAGGAAGTACTAGCATTGCTCATGCCTATGGATGACTTTTTGAATTTTGAGAGAATACCTACCTCGCTTTCAATTAAAAGGGTTAAAGCGACATGAAACCAATAAGTTATCATTTGTTTCCTTGTTTTCTTCAGTTCACCTCCTCCAAAGCAAACTTTAGAATGAACCTCCAAAATGCTACGACTCATGTTTTAAAAGTAGTTGTTTGTTTATACCGAGTGGAAAAAGGAGGTCAGTGAAACCGATAGATGTGACAACGATGTGAAAACTTTTTAGAAGTCTAATCTGAACATGTAGGAGCTCCGGTAGATTGGCTAGGGAAATTATACATAAACTAGGGCAAATAGGCTACCTTCGTACGTACAAACTTCTCTGAAAGAAGCGTATATTCATTTCCCAAAAGATTAGTTCTAGCTTGCGTAATAATTTTTCAGCACCAGATTCATAGACATGTTTCCTCACCTTTCCTTTTACTATAAACATTCTGCTAGGCTTTCTTTTAGTCCCTCACATGTAATTAATTGTATGTTTAATTATGAATTCTACTATTAATTTGATAAGCTTGATATATTAGCATCTCTTTGTTACTACAAGCTTGGTTTTCATTTGGCGTGTGAATTATGCAGTTTTCTGGGAATAGTACCCTCCTTACTTTTGAATAAGCAAATAGTTGCTGCTGGGTACGCTTATAGTAAAGTTATTAATAAAAAAATAAAGGGAGATATATGAAACCTACAACTTGTACACAAAATAAATTTTTCCTAGCATTATGAAGACCCTTCAGCACTGAAGAGAAACAAAACAACAAACAAACAAAGACGGTGCACAACATACCTAGATGATTTCGAAGTGCCTGTGGCTTTGTGACTTGGTTACATATTTCACACACTACTAGGTAGAACTCATCCCAGGCAGGGCAGAATCCAAAGAGCTCCATGTCTGCAGATAGAAACACAGATAAGCATTCAAACATTGCGAAAGTGTATTAGGATGTTCACTTGGGTAGGCACAAGACATACCATTAGTCAGTGGTTGTGCAATGACTGCACGACAGAACTGTCATCACGTCGGAGAAACTGGATATTTTTAAAAACATTCACTGGAGAGGTAAGGCGGCATGAGAAACACCTGAAAACACTACGTTTACAAGTAGTTTACGAAGCGGCAAGAACCCTCGCGAACGTGCACAATTTATTTGGGACTTTTTTTTCGAAGCGGGTTTCCTGAAGAAAGACGATGCGGTTCGGCGTGTCGCGAGCGAGATTCGTGAAGGTCACAGTTTTGTCGCGGAAATAAACAAGCGTTCAACAAACATTCACGGCACACACGGGGATCACTCGTGAGAATATTTTCTCGGTCCGAATCACACGAAGGAAAATACAGAGAGGAAAGGGTTCAAGGGGGGAAGGGCTTGTTTTGGAACGCAGGCAACGGCACGAGCGAGCATGGACGGCGCACTACACGGAGCGAGATTTGCGTTTGCAGTTTCCCGACGGCCCGCGCGACTCGCGAGACGTTCGGCAAGCTCGTGCACCTAGCCGACATTCCAATTTCCACGTCCGACATATTTTGCCAAACGCACGGCGAATGTCAGAAAAAGACTCAAGATACGTGGACGGAATTCTTACCCTCTTTTCTCAATTTCATGGCATCGCTTTCTCTTTTTGATGCTTCTGTCTCTGTTTCGGCTTCTTCGTTTGCTGAAATGCACGACAACCCGTCAGTCACCGTTCACACACCACAACATTAGGAGCCGATTCGAACGCGTACAACACGCTACACGCTAAAATAAGCAGCACGTATGTAACTGTGTCAGCGGTGCTGTTGTTGGTTCGTTTAGTCTTAGCTTGTGTCAGGGATCATTTCTAGCGCCGAGAGGAGCTACCACCGGCTGACCGTTTATTGCCAGACCCGCGACGCGAACAAAGAAGAAAATTAAGAGTGAGTTTTACTCACTTTCTGGGCTCCTGAAGCCCATAGTTTCGGCCCAAGAATTCCAAGACTGGCCCTCGTTCACCGACATATTATTTGGAGCCGCCATTTTGAACAGACCTACGAATTTGTTTCTCCGCTTTTTTTTCTCTCGCACGGATGAAAACACAATACTGACGTCACAAATTAGTTCGCTTTCCATTGGCTAACTGATTTAAACGTTTTACGCGCCATCTAATGCCTTTAGAACGCAATACGCGGTAGTGAAAAGCATAAAACTAGCTCAAAATTCTCGCTTAAAATGTTTAAACAATATTTTAACTTATAATTTTGTTTTTAAATAGGTTATAATGCTATATAAGTTTTGCTTTTAATTGTGCAAGTGCGAACTCGAGTAGTAATTTGAAGGAAAAAAAATTTGCGGATTTAATTGTTGCAATATTTGATAAAATAAATATTCATATACTCAGATAATAATCTGCTTATTTTAAAGAAGTGTCATGTTTCCTTTAAAGCGCTTTTGGTCACTATCTCTGGAGCGGCGCAACCATCGAACCGAAAATATTCGAGCTCATCAAAACATCAAGAGCAGTACGTGAGACGGTGGCGGGAGTCGTTGCAGTTCCAATATCGATTTTTTCACAGTTGATAAACTTGTAGGTCGTGCCGCTCGTGGCCCATTAAGTTCGAACGCGCTTTTAGTAAGCTCAGGTATTTCGGACTCGGAGCAGAGACCAGCAGTGCTGCGTAGTGCATGCTCTGTAGCGCTACAGTCCCAAGTTGCCATGGTTTTGGCGCACTGTTTGAGTGTTTGACAGCATCTTTTCGCGGGGCTTTCCCCACGACCTCCCGTTGCAATTAAGCTAATTGCTGCGAAGGCTTGGTACTAATTCCTCCGCTTCGTTATCTCCCAGACTTTCTGTTCGGCCCCCAAAGAATGTGCGCGTCCTGCGTCCGGGCGGACTGAAGAGGCATGATTCCTGGAGGCGGAGTTCCAAATGGAGCCCGAGGTGCGGAACCCCTCCAGTGGGGTCAGAAGGTGTCCTCCGGCTCGGAAGAAATGGTCACCCTCACCAAAGCCCAGCTCCAGAAATTGCTGAGAGCGCTTGGAGCCAATGGTAAGAGGCATCTTTCAAGCTGGGCTTACCGCCCAGTTTCACTTATTTGACGAACGCAGTCATTGGCGCAGGATTATTTTGCATGCATTACGTGCGCCCGCTCACGAGGAACATTCATCGCACGTGACCCACTTTCAAGCTGGGCAGCTGCATCATTCAGCAGTCACTAACTATGATGTATTATAGAACTAAGTATTGTGACGTAATGACTGGTTACAGCGACGTCGACATCATTCAGATACACTGAGCCCCATCTGCCTCCCCAGTCATGTTTATTCTCTGTACTGTGACCTTCGTTCCAAGTCCTGTACTTCTTGTAGTTTACCCAGAGTTCTCAATCTGAGAAGGAGGGGGGAAAGGGGGGAGGATATATATGGAGCAATGGTGAGGGGGTGCAGGCTAGCTGGATAAGTGACGAAAACAGAGAACAACATGGCCTTTCCGTGTCGTTCTGTGTTTTCGTCCCTTGTCTCTTCCCCAGTCTCGGGTTTACAACTATGCTCAATGCTTAGTTGGTTCATGTTCATTCATATGAAGGCGCGGTTTCTCTGGGCTCTTTCATCTGAATGTTCTGTGGTACTTTGCGTAGGAAATTGTAGCTCTTTTAGTGAGTCTTCTTAAACAAACGATGGTGCTTGATGAATAAATGATTAATACTATTGGGGCGAGCTGGTGGAAATCTAACATTGTAATCCCAATGATGTTTTGGTTTTCCGTTTTCATCCTGGTTTCTCGAGCTCTAGGTACAGCCTCCAGATTTTTTAACAGTATCGCACAAACGCTGACCGGACTTAGACTGGACGGTAGATCAGCACCTTATCGCGGTGTAAAACAGCAGGTCAGCGAGACTATGTGCGTGTGGCAGAGGGCAGACGCCTAGACTCGCTGACTTACTGTTTCACGCCGCAACAAGGCACTGATCTACTGGCCGGTCGGTGTTGTGGCACTAACTAAACACTCGCTTTGAGTGGTTTAACAACTTTTACGAGGATTTTCTCAATGTTTCACTGCTTTTTTCAGAGCCGGAGACCAACCCCAATGGAACGGTTGCAACGATTTCCTCTTCGAACAATGGTCTGCCAGTTTCTGGTGACGACTGGTAAGTATTTTTCTTCGTGGAGGGTTGTGGTAACTCATACAGTGCAACCCACTTAAAACAATACCACATATAACAATGTACTGCTTATAACAATCAGTTTCTATAGTTTCTTCTAGTTCAGATACAACGATAATTGGTTATAACGATTGAAATTTTGGGTTTTCTCATTATCGTTACAAGTGGGTTGCACTGTACTCTTACCCGACATACCGTGCGTGCACCAGCAGTTGAAGTAGAGTAGTAGATATTATTACTTACACAATTTGTTGTATGGAAGTTTACACGTTCGACTATGGCCCCACCCTTTAATCGTGCCACTCACAATCCTGTTGGTTGCCAGCGATGCATTAGCATTTTTGGCTCATGGAGCATCCTAAATGCACGCCCTTAGTTAACACTCTCCTGCCATCATGACCAGGATTTGCTTGAGTGGTTGTGTTCTGGCTACTTCAATCTCCTGTCAACGACAAGTTTGATGTGTATAAAAGGTATAGTGGAAGCATTGTAGTCATGGCAGGCTCTCAACAGCAACAACGTCGTAGTTGATGTTTTGACATTGTTTTTATTTCTAGCTATGAAAGCAGAATAAAGTTGTCACCGTGAGCTTTTAGCCTATCGTAGAAAGCCAACAGAGCAATACTTCGGTTGCGCACATCAGGCACGATTGTGGGCCACTTGTGATGATGCGCTGCCAGCGTAATGTGGTCATTTTTGGCTCGGGTGGATCCTGTCGTGCTGTAACTTGTCGGTACTTGTATAAGCAATCGGATACATTATCCAGTGCTCTAAGCCGAAGAAACACTCCACTGTTTCTTATGGGTGCCTCACCCCCAGTTTTTCCATTAGGTGACTCTGACCACAGTCCCAGGCAAAAATCAGCCCACTTCCAACTGGATTATGGAACTGGTCCAAGCTGGAAATGAGGCAGTCCAGCTGGATTGCAGCTGGAATCCAGCTAGACTGCCTCATTTCCAGCTGGGACCAGTTTCATAATCCAGCTAGAAGTGGGCTGATATTCACCTGGGGTGTCGACTTAACAGTAGGGAGCACTGTAAGTTCCAAACATACACTTCATTTGCAGAAACCATTGTCAAATTCCTATATTGTATCTACATGGACTGCATTCATTTCATAGCTTATGGAATCTTGTCGTTGGGAGACTGCACTAATGGATATTCCTTATGCCCAGACAGCTCCAATGCAACACAATCCCATGTGCTCTTTCTACAGGCCAACAAAGGGACATTTTTCCCTTGTGTACTTTTGAACTGATTGTATGGGTTCTATTTGTAGGTCCCTACTTTTGTACCTGTGGTGCAAACCACATACTCTGTTATCAAGTGCCATATATCTATCATTCACCAAAAATCTGAGTGCAGCGAAGGGCTAAGAGACACGCACACATATGCACACAAAATCTGTGGCATACTTTATTCACTTGAGTGGATTAGCCTGTGATACCACAGGACAAGCACTGTGGTACTGCCCTACTGGCTCTCTTGGCCTCATCGGTTCATACTGTTCGCCGTGCTCAGGCTTAAATGTAATGAAACAAAGTGCTACCATTATAAAGCGTGTCACTGAAAATTAGCTTGTCGTTGTAACCATTTTTTTATGTAAAGTTTCATATCTATGTGTTTTTTCATGAAATTAATTTTTGTGATCCATCTAAAGCTAGGCGTTGAGTTTTTATTGTTGTTTATTTCTTACTATGGAGCACGTTTGGAGTCCTGGCAGGATGGGCAGTAAAGGTTGCTCATGATGATTCACTTCCACAGCCCCCCGCAGGGGGCACCTGTGAAAGCAGCTGTTTGGAGAGTGGCGTCTCCACGGACCCCGAGCCATGCGGGTTCGCCCGCCCACGTCTGACTGTGCGTGGCTTTCCCGTGTGTGGGGAAAAGGGCATCCTGGTGGTTGAGCCAAGCCCGGGGTAGGTTTGGACCCTTCGGGGCCCCCCGGGCGAGGCAATACACCACTTCGGCCCCCGCTTCTCATAGACGGGAGTCCTGGTAAGGCCCGGCCAGGATGATTCAGTCTAGTCGCCACTTCTACTATCCCCTCTCTACTTTCACCCTTGTCTGCTCCTCCTTTTCACTCTTCTCATTCCTCTTCTTTCCTTTTTCAACTCCTTTGGTGGCAAGGGCTAACCTTGGGTGGCGAAAGACCTCTTGTCCAAAACCATACTTGGTTATAGAGACTGGGCAGCACTAATAGAGTAACGTCTTCAGCCAAGCCCATCTTGTTATGAAGCGTTACCTATTCCCTTGTTGGGCTCGGTGGTGGGCGGTGCACCACAGTTTCCGAACACCATTCCCCTCTTATGGGTTCCAAGCTGAAACAACCTGATCGGCCTCCGAAAAGAGGCCGGACCGAAGCACTTTCAACATTTCTAAAACAAGACAACTCAGAAGACCACTTTACAAGATTTTTCGTCTTACACTCCGACGACACTTCTAAGCCGCTGTCAAAACTATCTCCATTCCTTGTCGCCAAAACTCTCCAAAACACGCTCGGGGCAAAATATGAAGCAAAGAAGCTTTTTTCCGGTGACCTTCTTGTCGAGATTCACGAAAGATATCAGGCAACTGCTTTGCTTAATCTGAAAATGATCCATGACCTCAAAGTCACTGCATCTGCACACCGTACGTTGAACACCATTCGCGGTGTGATATCAGAGGATGATCTATTAACCAGTTCTGAAGAGGAAATCGTGGAGGGTCTAAGCACTCAAGGTGTCGTGGCCGCAAAACAAATTAAAATTCGTAAGGATGGTGAGGAACGACCCACTAAACACGTGATACTAACATTCGAGAAAAACTCGCTGCCCCCTACTGTAAAGGCGGGTTACATCAACTGCAAAGTGCGGCCATATGTCCCGAACCCGCTGCGCTGCTTTCGCTGCCAGCGGTACGGTCATGGTTCACGAGCGTGCCGTGGTCGTGAGACCTGTGTCAGGTGCAGCGGAACTGACCATACCGCTGATGACTGCAACGTTGACTATAAATGTGCAAACTGTAACGCAGACCATCCTGCCTACTCTCGATCATGTAACTACTTTAAAAAGGAAAAAGAAATACTTGCTCTCAAGGTGAAAGAAAACATTTCCTACCAGGATGCAAAGCGCCGCCTCTCTGCTTTTCAGAGAGGCTCTTTTGCCGAGGCGGTGTCCAGCAGAGGACCTGCACCGTCTAAGGTATCGGTGGCAACCCAGGTGTCTTTTTCAGACCACGGGAAGCCGCTGCAGTCCTCTACGCCCAGGCTGAAGCTTGCGCTTCCTGGGCATTCTATCTCAGCTGCGAAAGCAGCAGATCCAACTAGTCGCACCAAGGACATAGGTGCCGCAGCAGCAGCGGAGGTCACGCCTTCGTCCCTGCCTCCTGGTCCCTCCCCTCAGGCAACGGAGCGAGTGTCTCGCTCCTCCTCCCCGGGGAGAACTTCCCCGTCTAGGAGGCAGCACGTGCCACGTGCAACCGACGATACCGGCGGGACTGCGAGCCGACCTAGCACGTCGACCGCTGCCCCATCAGGTCAATGCAGGGGCCGTGGGTTGCCCTTACGATCCGTAGACAACTCCAAGGCCTCCGGTAAGCCTGCCAAGAAGTCCCTAGAAGCAGAAAAAACTGTAGAGGCAGGCGACCTTTCTGCCCCAGAGCCAGAACCAGAGGATATGGAGTGGCAGACCCAGAAACCAAAACATAAAGGGAAAACACCAGTTTTCCCTCCTAAATGAAACATCACATACATCACCCCTTTTTTCTATCACTCCTCTGATAGTTAAATTTCTATAAAGAATGACGGCGATCATCCAATGGAATTGCCGAGGTCTACTGAGGAACTTCGATGATATTGAGTTCCTCCTGGAGCAACACCGCCCACAGGCTTTATGTTTACAAGAAACACATCTCAGTTCAAAGCATACTAACTTTCTTAGACGCTACCATATTTTTAGAAAAGACCGAGAGGATGCGTGTATTTCTGCAGGAGGAGTTGCAGTGGTTGTCCCAAAGCACCTTCCCTGTTCCGAAATCGCTCTTAATACTGCGCTAGAGGCAGTAGCGGTGCGTCTCCTCCTTCACAAAGTAGTGACTGTTTGTTCCTTATACATTCCTCCTTCTTTTACTTTTTCGACAAACGATTTTAATGATCTTTTACTCCAACTCCCGGAGCCCTTTCTTTTACTTGGAGATTTTAATGCCCACAACTCTCTATGGGGTAGCGACCACGTTGACGCCCGTGGTCGAATGATTGAGTCAATTTTAATGTCGCATGCACTTTGCCTTTTTAACACTGGAGAACCGACCTATTTTAGCCCATCATCATTATCATCCTCATGTATTGATCTTTCCATCGGTAGTGCATCCATTTTTACTTCTTTTACGTGGGCAGCAGGCACTAACCCATATGGAAGCGATCACTTTCCTATTTTCTTAAAGAACACCGTTCCTCCAAAATGCATGCCAACGCGAACTGTCCGTTGGAAGTTTGAGAAAGCGAATTGGTCTCTTTTCACTGAAGCGACACAACTTGCATGCACGTCACTTGATGAACTTTCTGTCGACCAAGTTACAGAGTTGCTGAGTAATTTTATTCTTCAAGCTGCAGAGCTTGCTATTCCTAGGACTTCTACGCATCTCCCGCGGCGGCCCAAGCCGTGGTGGAATGAAGAGTGTACTGAGTCACGGAAAAAACAAAACAGAGCCTGGGGTATCTTTCGACGTTACCCCACGCAAAGCAACCTCCGCTGCTTTAAGCAAATGAAAGCTCGGGCAAGGTACATCCGACAACAATCAAAGCGTAAAAACTTCCAGGAGTATGCCTCTTCCATTAATAGTAGTGCAACAGTCAAAGAAGTCTGGGACAAAGTTCATCGCATTGAAGGGAGATATCATGCCTTCTCAGTCCCACTCCTCTCCTACAATGGCATCTGTCCGGAAAGTCTAAAGGAGCAAGCGGATCTTCTCGGTGAGCATTTTGCTCTTGTATCGAGCTCCGAACATTATTCATCTACATTTCTCGCATACAAAGCACGTACAGAATCACATGCTGTGAAGACTGCAGGTGCCGCCCATGAAGACTACAATCTACCTCTTACGATGCGTGAACTCGAAATGGTCCTTCACTTAACTAAGCCTTCGGCTGCAGGACCTGATGGCATACACTACCAGATGTTAACACACCTTCATCCTTCTACATTATTGCTTATTCTGTACCTTTTTAATCGCATATGGCACGAGGGCAAATTTCCTTCGGCATGGAAAGTAGCCACGGTTGTTCCTATTTTAAAACCTGGTAAGGATCCTTCCTCTGCATCAAGCTATCGCCCTATCGCCCTTACTAGTTGTTTGAGCAAGACTTTTGAGCGTATTGTGAACAAAAGACTTATGCACTATTTAGAAAAAAAGAACATATTGGATAGGAATCAATGTGGGTTTCGTTCCTATCGTTCTACAGTTGACCATTTGGTTCGTCTTGAGACCGTAATTCGTGAAGCTTACGTGAACAGACAGTTGTGCGTGTCAGTGTTTTTTGATATGGAGAAGGCATATGACACAGCATGGCGCCATGGAATCCTCCGTGATTTCCATGAAGTTGGGATACGAGGTAGGATGCTTGCTACCATCAATAGCTACCTTTCTAATCGAACCTTTTTGGTGAAGCTAGGAGCATCTTTCTCTAAAGAATTCGTCCAGGAGACTGGGGTCCCTCAAGGGGGAGTCCTCAGCGTCACTCTCTTTTTGGTAAAGATGAACTCAATAGCCCGTTCCCTACCTTCCTCTGTGCAATACTCACTCTATGTTGATGACCTTCAAATCTCTGTTTCATCGTGCAATCTTTCTATTTGTGAACGGAGGCTTCAAGTTGCCATCAACAATCTCCTAAAGTGGGCGGATGAAAACGGCTTTAGTTTCTCTCCGGAAAAGACGGTTACTGTCTGTTACTCCCGTATACGGGGAGTCCCTGCGGTTCCTTCTCTATATATGCGACAGACCCCTATCCCGGTGAAAGTAGATCACAAGTTTCTGGGCCTCACTTTCGACCATAAGCTTTCGTTTGTGCCTCATATAAAAAGTCTGAAGTTAAAATGCCAGAAATCACTGAACCTCCTTAAAGTCTTGTCCCACAAAACATGGGGCTCTGACCGTCTATGTCTTTTGCGAATCTATCGCTCGGTAATCCGCTCACGCCTGGATTATGGCAGCTTTGTGTACGGATCTGCTAGGCCATCAGCTCTTAAGGCACTTGATCCCATCCATCATCAGGGACTTCGCTTGGCAATAGGTGCCTTCAGAACGTCGCCTGTGCTCAGTCTCTACGCTGAGGGAAATGAGATGTCCCTTGACAGACGCCGATTCTTCTTAGGATTTATGTATTCATTAAGAATACGATCAGTCGCTCAGCATCCAGCCCGGGAGGCAGTGGAGGGCACGAAATATCAAAAGACATTCGAAAACAAGCCTAGCATTATCCCTCCATTCGCGATGAGAAATAGGAATGTGGCAGAGTCAGTTGGGATAGACAGTAAGCTTTCAGTTGCCGCAGTTCCAAAAACGGTGGCACCATGGGATTTCAGCTGCATACGTTGCGATTGGTCACTAACAAAGTTTAATAAAAAGGATACCCCATCCGAGGTCATGCGACAAGAATTTTACGAACTCCAGAAGCAGCATGATTCTCAATCACACTATTACACAGACGGCACAAAAACGGAATCATTTGTTGGCTGTGCCATGATCGGCCCATCAGTAAGAAGTGCTCGTAGGCTAAATTCGTTCGCGACAGTTTTCACTGCTGAACTGTGCGGCCTTCTGCTTGCAATAGATCACATCATCCAAACACGTAACTCCCGGTCAGTTGTATATACAGATTCGTTGAGTGCGTTACGGGCTCTGATTTCACTTGAAACCCCAAAGAATGCACTCATTGTTTTATTACAAAGCAAAATAGTAGCAGCTACCAGGAAGGGATGTGATGTTCTATTCTGCTGGGTCCCGAGCCATGTCGGAATCCCAGGGAATGAAGAGGTAGATTGTGCTGCGGGCACTTGTGGCACTCGTACTGTGGACATTAGTGATATCCCATTTAGAGATTACTGTGCCCTAGTCAAATGTCATCTTAAAGCTCAATGGCAAACAGAATGGAGCCTACAGGGGTCCAACAAGCTGCACATGGTTAAGCCTTTTCTTGGTGAATGGGAGAGTGCTAGGCACAGAGACAGGTTCTATGAGGTAGTCCTCTGTCGCCTACGCATTGGGCACACGCGGCTGACGCATGGACACCTTTTGCGTGGGGAGGACCCTCCGGAATGTGAGCATTGCCAACAACCTTTGAGTGTCTTGCATATCCTTCTCGAATGCCCTGCGCATGATGATAAACGCCGCCATTACTTCTCCCAGCTCTACAAAGAGCATATTCCTCTACACCTATGTGTGCTGCTTGGAAATGAGCCACTACTCCCACCCACCCAGGTTTTTAAGTTTTTAAAAAGTATTGATATTTTACACAAATTGTAGCATTATATATAATATAAGGTCCTAGTCCTATTTTATACATTTTTGAAATTACCAGCTACTAAAGCTCTTTTTTCTTCAAAACCCTCTTCTGCAATAGTATCATTTCTTGGCGCATCATAGCCTTAGTTGCTTTTGCGCCACAAAACCCCAATCTACTACTACTACTACTACTTCCACAGCATATAAAGAAAACATCGCTTTTTGGTACAAAGTAAGCAGACTGTACATTAAAATGTACATCATTATTAAATTGCTTTAAACCCTGTTCACAGTGGTTAGTATATGAAATGTTCTCAAACAAAAACTGTGTTTTCTTTCTTTTTCGCTTGGACAAATGAAACCACATCCCCAGCTTAGTTGAATCAACACTAACTCTTAATTTATTTAAAATTGCCGTTAGTTGTGCAGTAATCTGTCGCACATTTGTGGGCGTGTTTCCGATTTTCTGCTGTTATCCTGGTAGCTTTTGGGCTCTGAGATTGCAATAAATAAATTCTATAATTAGTAAGTCAATCTGTTGCTTCTTAGGAGAAGGTAGCAGTGCCCTGAATTTTTATCCAACTTCTATGTTTTGAAAGCTTCAGATGCTGCACAAAGTCTTAAAAAATATTAGGTCTATTATAAAATGCAGCACGGTTAACATGAATGAGTGATCGTCGGTTTTGTTCCTTTATTTCTGATAATTGAAAAGCTGTCTTCAAGACTAGTGGTGTGGCCGAAAGTGCTTGTCAATACTTCGGTCGAGAACAATGTGAAAAGTGCCAATGTCGTGATCACGGTAACTGTTGCTGGGTGTACTTTAACCCCTTAACCATTTTTAGTTTTGGAAAATGTTTGACCCTCAACTGCTTAATTGTTATCAAAATTATATTTGTTGCCTTCAAAATTAAGTTCCTAGCCACAAACAAAATGTATACCATATTTACTCGCATAGTTAAAACACTATTTTTTCCGAGAAATGGACACATATTTGGGGGGTGCATTCATTATGCAGGGTAAAATTTTTGCATTTACACACTTTGCACGAATGTCATTTTAGGTGCAAATATTACATGGCAGTGTACTGTGGCACGTCTCCACTGAAAGAGGCGCACCCATGGCTGGTCAGGGGTACACCACAGTAACCGTGCTCTATAAATTGCAAACCTTTTTTAGGGCGCTTTTTGGTGTGCCTTTTGCTGAAGAAAAAGCACCCTACAAAGCTCATTCGGCACGGAGAGCGATACGAGTGCTCTTAGGCCTGACCACTTTTACGATATCACTGTCCGAAAGCGGATCACAGACGACGGCATGTTTGCTGATGTCAATGCATCCGATGGACGAAGCACGTGCGGAGCTGGGCAATTTCTTGACCCCAGCTTCGCTAGGCGTGCGTGCCGTCTGCTTTCACGGTTGATCACTTCTGCAACCACGCAATTGCAGCCATTTTGAGAGCGGCTTGGCTTGGCTTGACTTGGCCTGGCCACTTGGCGGCAAAAGAAAATTGGCTTCAAGACACGCGGAGCCAAATATTAAAAGTGTGTTCATTATGCGAGAGAAAGAAAGAAGTCCAAATATTGGTGCCCGTGATTGGGGGTGCACTTATTTGCGAGTGAATACGGTATGAATATTGCCACGCGCATCACCGAGCGAGCGTGTGCATGGCTGAGTGGTTACCGTTCTTGGCTTTCGTGCGGAGGCCTCCGGTTTAATTTCTGGAAGCGACGCATCTTTCATGAATTCTTTCAATTTATCATTCTCGTAAGTATGAGAACCTTGTCGTCTGATCGAGCTATGAATGTTCTACGTTCTTGCGCGTGTACATAAGGGACTCCGCATGGCGAGACGCGGTCAGTCTCGCCCCAGCGCCCGACCCTTCTGTTTCGCCGACATCGACGCCTGCGACGCTAACCTTCTATTTTGTTTTGGGCACAAGGTCGCCCCATTAAAACATTCAATTTCTCCAGTTATTCGCCACCCCATCATTTGTCATTCGTGACAATATATATATATATATATATTTTTTTTTTATTTGGTGCTACCATTTGCTGGCAGAGCCTCAAACTAAGCCATGAGCGATCCTGGTTCGTTCAGAACGGTTGAGTTCGTGAGCCGGGGAAAGCAGACAAGCTATACTTGTCCTGAACTGTTTTGGGACTGCTCCATGTTGACGAGCTAGGCTCGTCCAAAATGGTTCAGGGGTTAGGCTTACTGTAACTTTTAGGAATGTGTTTCTTCCGTCCTCGCAGCTTGCCAAACTGGGCACGGCGCAACAGCACGACGACACCCCAAGCTCCGATGGGGCCAGCCGGTGCATCCCAGCCGCTGGCCACGTTTCCTCGGCGGCTGTCTTCCTCCCACCCTGAGCTGGGCTCCAGCAGGGGTGGCCGGCCCCTGTCCATGCTGGAGCAGAAGCAGCGGCAGTGGGAGAAGGAGCGAGGTGATTTCTTCAGGCAAACAATCCGGTGGTGTGCATTGCAGCTGGAAAATGCATGTCGAGGTTTCGTGACAGTTTTAGTCCTCATAACTCCATTTAGATTACCAGGGTTTTGAGCAAGAGTAATAAAAGTTCACTGTAGCACCCGATACTACATTTTTGGTTTGGAGGTGAATGGAAGCTACCATTTCACATATTGATTGACAAATTTTTGTTAGGCATGTGTGAACAGTACATAGTGGATGTTGAGTTTGAAGTGAGTTCTATATGGATAGTGGTTTTGGTCGAATATTTTCGAATATGAAGTAGTTTTTTCAGCCCCTTATCTACTGATAATGAATGTCACTCGTGCCACACCTTACGAACCATAAAGCCCGACCACGAGTGTGACTCGCGTGTTGGTTTCGGCGCTTGTTTAGCACACTCTCTGGCAGATGGCAAAACTACCCCTGTTGCTCCATTTACCTTGGGCAGTTTGCTCATTCGTTTTACTGTTTGACAGAGAGAATGCTCCATTTAGCCGAGGAAAAAAAAGAGCAGTCGCTTGCGAGCGTTCAAGCTAAAACAACGTGGCTTTAGCATGGTGGTCCACTTTAGCTGACAAAGAGATACAAAACCTTTTTTTTGAATGGGGTTAATGCTCATTCAAATGGGACGACGAATCCTTCAGCCTTTTCGATTTTCATTAATCGGACGATAGTTTGATGGGCAGTGACAGGAGCGACGAGAGCTATGTAAATCCTGCAAGCATTCAATCAACTTCGGCGTCTGCACGTCAGTGGGACTCGAACCAGAAGTTGTGATTCTGAGCAAGATATGACACCTGGAAATCGAGCAAATATTTTGGTCTTATTTTAATGCAAATCGCCTGTTTAAAATTAAATTTTGCTTTACGTTCCTTGAAGAAAAATATTAGTAGGCAAAAGGTTAAGCATTTCTCTACCATTGTACCATGCTTAAACGAAAATTCAACAGAACTCGTGAAGGTTTTTTTCAACCTTCCACTTGTCCACCTGTAAGCTCAGTTAATTTTAAAGGGGCACTCAAGTGGATTTTGAGATTGCCTATTTATTGTCAAAACTCAATCTACGGGCTCTAAGCATCCTAAAAATCCCGAAATCACATTCAAGAGCGGCCGATTTACCTATTGAAAGTCTAATCAAAGATTGTGCCGCATCCCTCTTTCTGCACTGTGGCGCAAAACACCAGGGAGTGCCACCAGACAGGAAGGCAGCAGTGGAGGGCATGCGACAGCCAATCATGATTGACGGCTTGCCGGCGGTCTGATTTTTCGAAGGCGCACATATTAGAAAATTGAGTCGACCGGGAAGCTGTCACCCGTGTTTGGCTGTCGCGTGCCTTTGTCCGGCTGCACCAAAGGCTCTGGCTGCATTCACTGGTGTTCTGTGCCGTGGCGCAGAAAGGGGGCGTGGCACAATCTCTGATTGGATTTTTAATAGGGAAATAGGCCGCCCTTGAATGTAATTTAGGGATTTTTAGGTTGCTTAGAGCCCATAGATTGAGTTATGATGGTAAATAGACAATCTCAGAATCCACTTCAGTGCTCCTTTGCTGCTACAGACAACGCCGGCTTCGCTCCATGGGACAGTTAATGCTTTCGCATTAATATTTATTAGTTAGTCTTCTGACACCATTTATTTAGCGAGAAATTTAGCAAATATTCCCCGCTTTTTCCCACTATATTTCACGTGACATCGCATCCATTCACGTGACGTCGCGAGGGTAAAATTTTCACGCTAAGTTTGGTGGGAAATTTTTCCGCTAAGCTTGGCGGGGAAATTTTCCCCCTAAATTTAGCGGAAAACGTTTCCCGGGTTGAGCAGCTTCACGTGACATCATGTATGACCTCATTATAGGAATCGTCTCAAAATGCAACGCGCTGTTACGACTACGGCGACACCGCTCAACCCGGAAACGGGCGCTTAAGAGCTGCGCTCTAAAACAAGCACGAATGATGAATGCGGGTTGTCAAGACATCGCTGCCTAACTGAGTATATTGTACTACTCTCGCATAATAGCAGCGAGTTAGCCCCGTTGAGTGCGCTTCTCGCCAAGCACCTTTGTACTGCGGGAAAGCAATTCCGCGGAGCCCGCGAGCTCTTCGGGTATTGCTTCCCCGCAGTGCACAGGTGCGTGATGACAAGCACACTCAATGGGGTCAACCTGCCGCGATCAACACTTCAAGAAGTATGAATATTGCAGTTCACCTCGAAACAAATATCGAATAGCATATTATTCAAAATTACTAATCGAAAATTCAAATATTTGCATATTCCCAGTTTTTGTAGATGTTACTGTTTTTCTCTTTCCTCTCTTTGAGCACTAATGATGAGTGGCTTATGAGAAAAGGCGCAGGGATCAGATTTGAGCAGGCAAAATGTTTGTGCCACCACTCATTTTTGGTGTTGATAGAATTTTTGGACTTGAAAGTTTAGTATCCTATTAGTATACCATAGAATACCACGCATCCACCCATTCCACAGTAAGCGCCCATTCCCAAATTTCTAAGGTATAAGAGAATATGGACAGTACTCAATTTAGAGTGGGTGCTTGCCCGTTATTTTACGGTAAGGTGGAAATACAGTCGAACCCGGTTATATCACACCCGCGTATTTCGAATTATTGCTTATATTGAACAGTCCAAACATCCCCTTGAAAATCACATGTAATAGTATAGGAGCGTTGTCTTTTTGTATCAAACTCCCATGGACTCCCATGGCGGGGACACTCGATATAGCGAATGAAGCACGGCTTTCCTTCGCTTCTGCCGCGGTCAGATTGCTCCCGCGGAGCAACATAGTTCGCGTTGCCATGCTGGCAGACCGCCAAGCCAGCATACGCGCATTAGGGACCTATACGCACGCAAGGGGATACTCAACAAAAAAGCAGTTAAAAAAAAAGTGGAGGATGACAAAAGCAAATAGAAGGGCACCCGCGCGCGCGCGCGCACGTAGAGAGGGCAGAGAGTGCTCCTTAGCCCCAAAATAAAACAAGCAAAAAAAAAAAAAGTCTTCGTCAAGTCGAGCGTGTCGACAACGGTTGAGCAATCGCACTTTGAACCCTTATTTTTGTTTACCTTTTTCTTTCACCGTTCTTGCTTTGCGCGTTTCTTTTTCTTCTTGCTGCCTGAATTTAGTGAGGTTTCTTTGTTGTCGCTTGCTTAACTTTATTCTATGGATCGAGCGTTTTTTGTTTGTTTTTATGCAACTCGCTTTTTCCGTTCTTTCATCTTTTTTTTTTTAATTCGTGTTTTGTCGCCGGTGCTGTACGGAGGTCGCGCGCGCGATCGCGCGATTGTGATCTTCACCAACTAAGCTCTACTGTATTTAGCAGCTCTTAGTTGCTCTATTTGGTAAGTTTCCGTTTGTCGCGGCCTTCGGCACTAGCGGAGACGCGCGGAAATTTCAACTGGAGCTTAAGTTAACATATTTTTGTATATCAAATTATCGATATATCGAACTATGTTACGATCCCCTTTTAATTCGATATATCTGGGTTCGACTGTATGCGCATTGGTCCTTCTATTGGTGACTCGTCAACTCTAGGTTTTTTTTACTTTAAGTAAGGAAAAACTACTTGTTGGCTGGAGTACCCTTGAGATAAAAGCTTCAAGGAGACAACTCTTAAGTTTTAACTTTGAGATTTTATGGAAGTTAGTCACTATAGATGGCCAGCTGGGAACGAGCTGGAAGACTTATAGGACTTGTAGCAGTTTCCAGTTGGCCGTTTGTAAAAAGGGTAAAGAATTTCATGTTTCTTTTTCTTCCTTGGCTTGCACTGAACGTCAGCTGAGATGCAAGACTGGGACCCCTGGGGGCGACCCGGGGCTGGAGCTCCACGTTGTCAGCTGGTGGCTACTGTGCCTCCCTCCCGCACTGATGTACAGGTGAGGACAGGCCGGGCAGTTGGTCTTTGGGAGCTCGTCAGAGTTTTTGTTTTCAGATTAACTTGACGGTCCTTAATGGTGAATATTAAAGAGGACAATCAACAAAGTTTCTGTGTACAGTCGCCAGCAAAAGTTTGCGGGGCATGGGAGCGCCAGCCGAAATGACTCGCTGCATCTTCTGATGGCACATTGCCGCTCTCAAGGCTCACACTTTGCACATGCGCTTCCTTTCGTGTTCGGAGTCCTGTTTTTTTTTTCTCGCTTGCGTCATTTTTTTTTTTCATGCCCACGAGATAACAGGTTCTGGTGCGAGGTGCCGCGAAATGTTATCTGTAGCATGCGAGCTCAGTCACCCATCACAGTGGCTGAGGCAGATGCGCGGCATGACGGCTGACAAAGTAGCACATTGCATCTGTCCCGGTTATCTTGTGTTTGCGAGTAAAAAAGACTTGACTGTGAGCACGAAAGGAAGCACATTCTCAAAGCGTGAGTCTAGAGAGCGGCCATGCGCCGTCGGAAGGCGCAACCAGTAATTTCGGCTGATGCTCCCGTACCATGCAAACTTCTGCTTCCAACTGTGCCTCGGAGCTTTTGTTTTGAAACTTTGATATAGACCAATGTTAACAATGAAGGCTTCTAGAATACAGTTTAAATTTGTGTATATTTTTATATAGCTGCCCTTATTGTATATTGTACAACGCACTGTCAACGAACATGGAGCGTTGGTGAACAGATTTTGGTGTCAAGAAGCACACTTCACCGGATCAGTAGTTGCAGTAACAATCAAAAAACCAGTGATATCTTGCTCGTGCTAACTGTGTCGTGCTCTCTACATTCCACCTATCCGGCCAACGGATGGAGAGGGAAATATTCCTTCTATAAGATCGTTCTGCAAAGGTATTCCAAAGAAATGTTTTGAAACATTGATATATAGGTACATTCCTTATAGCGGTCCGACTGAATGGCTTCAAATTGATGTTCCACAATAATGCTGGTTGCTGAGCAGTGAGAATTTACAAGAGTCTAGAAGCTAGTAAATTGATTTTTCTTCGAGTTCGCTGTGATTATTCGAGTGATGAGCGCATTTTGTCAGTACCAACTGAGCGAAGAAGTGCATATGTAGTGTGGTGCCTCATTAATATTGTTAGGATAAAAAAATGTTGTTTATAAATGAGTAGCGATGGCTGAACGAGGGTGAAGTTGTTGCTCCAAGCTTCAGTGATTGAGTCGTCCTCTTTTTCTGCTCTATACTTTTTAATTCTTTTCTGTCTATATAATAATATGAAAACCTCTGTTCTTCAAAGATTGTTCATAACGTGAGTCGTCCATAATAACTAGACAAAAATGCACATATTCTCTTGGTTTGTCCTAAAAAGTTTATCTTTACAGCGAGGTATCCGCATTAACGGGGTCCGTAATAATGATGCATGCGGCTGTAGTTGAAACGCAAGCTGGTTCAGGTGCTATCATCTCTTCCGCGGCTCCTAGTGCAACCGTTCACGCGCATGTCGTGCATTTGATGCCCAGGTGCTCAGAGTCCAAGGCACGGCGGCATCGTCCAACGGGCCCTACCAATCGAGGGCACCCTCGCCCCCAGTGTTGCCTCACCTGCTTCCACCGGGAAACGTCAGTCCCGCCTTTGTGCGCAGGGAACCACCCTATCTGAAGAGCAACCTGCCCCTGGGAGTGAGTTGGGACCCCTGCTCTTTGTTCTTTCATTTTATAGTTTGCTACGCAGTCATTGCTTTTTGACAGGATTTTCGTGGGATTCTGACGACAGTGGGAAGGGCGTAACTGCAGAGAATACGGAGAACGCAGGTGGATGCGGTAATCTTTCAGCATTATGAAAATTCTTGAATGAGTAAACTCGGACTTGGGGCAAAACAGTGCCACTTTTGCGTCTCATTGTCTTTTTTCTGCACTTCATAGATCTCCCATTATCATAATATAAAAGAAAAAGTATCGTTGAAACAACTAGTTCTTAAATGAAATGCAGGCATTTATGTATTAATCTACATATATTTAGTTGGTGCTTCTAGTTATTGCACATTCCCACAAGTGCTGTGAGCAGCTGCTTTCATGGAATTATGAATTTCGGTTTGTACCCTTTCATACTGAAACAAAAGTATTTTTTATGTACGCTTCTTTTCCCTCAATTTTATACCTAATATAAAAGGTTTTCAGGTCAAGGAAGCAGAACAGTCATTGTTGTAATGAGTGGAATAATTGCTTTCAAGAAATTACAATATTTTTCAGTGTTGCATCAGTCATTTCAACGAGCTTTGAATCAGACTTCTTTGTGAACTCCTCGTGTTTATTTATAGATCACTCTATTCACTGTGAAGACAGTTATGCAACCTAATGACTTTACATTGAACGTTTTGTGGGTATTCGCTGCTTCGCCTTATAATTATCCAGAGTAAATTATTCTAACTTGGGACAACAGATAAAATACTTCTGATATTTGCTTGTAATAAGCATAATGAAGAGAGATTATTCTGTTTGTGAGAAGGTGGTTGCTAGAAAAGCATTATTGGCTGCTTCGCCTTATAATTGTCCAGAGTAAATTATTCTAACTTGTGACAACAGATAAAATACTTCTGATATTTGCTTGTAATAAGCATAATGAAAAGAGATTATCCTGTTTGTGAGAAGGTGGTTGCTAGAAAAGCATAATGTGGAGCTGTTAAAAGAACAATTTCACTTGGGCTGTCCTCATATCTGACTCTTGCTTTCTTTCTTTTGCTCCTCAGCCATCATACGACTCCCACGGCGAGGAAAAGGATGACGTAAAACGGCGTTGGTTGCAGGAGCTGGGTACGGGGTGCTCGTTTTTTTACTTTTGCGCACCCTTGCGTTTGTTTTTGTGGCTTCAGTTTGATTGTCCTTTAATACTTGTTTTAATAAATAATTTCCGTTTTTTTCTGGTTTTTTTTTTTGACATTGCAGATAGTCAGAGGGATGAAAACCACAGGAGACGTGCGGTGGAAAACCAGCGATCTTCCATCAGCAATGGGTCCTGCTGGGCTGACAACGAGTCTGTTGGGTCGGAGAGAGCGCAGAGGGCTGAGGATTGCGGTGATAGGTAAGGGAGCCTGCTCTTTCTAAGATCCTACCAAATGCTTGCTGAAGATAAACAATAAGGCATCATGTCCATTTGGAAATCAACCAATTGCAGCCGATAAAAGAATGGAGAGTTGCTTCCAAATTTGGTCTGTGCAGTTCATGAAGTGCAGTAACTGCACCGCCTTGCAGGAAGTCCTGATGCACAGGGGTGGAGGCTGAGTGGAAACACTGATGCAAATGAACATAAATGAGGAAAATACTATGAGGAATGTAAAAATGACAAGTGTTGCGCAATATTGAGATTTGTGTAAAAATAGTAACCACTTAGTTAAAGATGAAATGGAGGAATAATTTGGGAGCACAAACGACGATAGGCTCGGGACGCCTTCCCTAAAAATGGCAAGCTAAGCTATAATTTAGTAATCTGCGAAAAAAAAAAAAAAAAAAAGTCCGTGCCACGCATTTTTTAAATATTTTGTCGGAAGTCTTTAAAAACTGGATTAAAAGACAGACGGAACTCGTGCGTATTGCAGACTGACACACTGTTTACAAATAAGTCCACATTTGCCCACACTAGGTATGGGCGCTGCGCTTGTGCACAAAAGGGATTCGTGTGAAGTGAAGCAACTCTGCATGTGCCATGCCGACAGCAGCGCCATTGTAGCGGCATGATTTCGGGATCCGCGTGTTGGTGCATACAATTTATTGTTACTATGTTCTTCTGTTTTGTTCTCGTCTCTACAGCGTGTGGTCCTATGCACGAGCCCAAGCTTCGCGCGGAACTCATGAAGCCAAGGGGCCTCGTGCTGATGAGCGCAAGCAGAGGGCAATGGAGTATCAGAGAGCCATCCAGGTGAGATAGACCTAGCAATGTTGTTAGGTGTCTAATTATTGTTGGCAGCTGACTCGGCACTACAGTGCTGACTGTATAACTAATACAGGGGTTGCCAGGTCATTGTTTGCTTGAACCTTTGAAGAGTTGTTGAACACATTGCTCTTTTAGACATTCTGCAACAAATCAAGCATGTTTGTGCTTCTAGATGAAAAAAATGAAATAGAGGGCATGCCGTTTTCTAGGGCACCGCTCGCGAAGCTAGTACCAGTGACGTGTTTTTTCTGTTGCAATGGACAGAAAATATTAGGAGAGCATAGCTAATGACTAATCGCTGTAGCCTTCTACTATGCATTACATGATTGTGGTCTTTGCCTGCTAGTTCAGGATTTCTTTTTGGTGGTATGCAATTGTTTGAACTTCAAGTGCATTATGAACAAAATAATGTCTAGTATTTTATTAAATTCACATTGCTAGTATTGCACACTCGTATATATTGCTAGTATCTGGTGGCGCGCTTGACTATATACCGCAACTACGCATATAAGAGCTCTCGTACAAAGTCCAACCGCCGAGGCCCTGCTGCACCGCTTGCACGTGTCAGGTTTCGTTCACGAAGAACGGCTGCTACCAGGGTCTATAGACTCTCTCAACCCACGACGCAGCATGCACCTCGCTGCGCCGTTTCGTTACATATTAAATTAACGCATTTATTTGGAGTATGTGAAACACACATTTGAACTCTTCTAATTGTGTCTCGAAATACTATTCCTAAAGAGCAGGGTAATAATTATATATGGTTGCTTACAGTTTGCCATGATATAATTTTGGAAACTTTTCTGCTGTGCTGTTTTGCCAGCATATTTTCTCGGACTGTTCACATAGTAACGAGTGTGCATTAGCATTAAGGCAATCCTACTATTTCGTTCAAAGCAAGATTTTGAAAAAAAAAATTTGCCTCACCGTCGTAGAAAGGTAACACAGAATGTGATGTGTTAGTGTGGGGCTTTCTCGGAGCCTGTTGGAGTGAGACGCAGTAGACGGAGCATACGCAAAATGAAACATTTGGAACGTGGCAGTGCCACTTCGTGGCAAAAGAAGAGCAAACCCTCCCAACTACCTAACCCATTTCAGCAAAGTGAGCATGTCAAACGTGGCGCCTGCTTCTTTTCTCCGCTTTCCTGTCGCTCTCTTTTGTGTACTTTCTCTGGGGAAGCCCGAGGTGTGCTCGTTTCATAGAGCAGAGCGCCGCTGTTCATCTGAACACATGACGTTTTCCCCTCTTTGGGAGTACTGTTTGTGTGCTTGTCGCCGTCGCTTACAGATGGCGGTAGCTGTCTAGGTAGGTTTGTGTCGACATACCGGGCACGATCCTGGGGTACCTAGCCCTAACAGCTCCGCTGTAAAAAAACATTATAGTAAGCAGGAGTTAAATGAGCTTTTGTGTGAAGCATGCAAGCTGTGCCACATTTGAAAAAAAAAAAAAAAGAGGTACAGGGTGACACAATATGAGCTGGCCCAGCGGCGTTCGGGCTGGGGTGGCACAAAATGCCATGCGGGGAGCCCTGGGTATATGTTAAGCTGCTGAAAAAGAGATGGATTGCCACACTTCTTTTTGTAACAATGTGGCAGCAGGTTTCAAGGCTTAGCTTGCCGGAGCCACCCCTGGCATCATTCTGCCCCTTTCAGCTAGCACGGATTGCCGCTGGCTATACTTACTGATTGGGGAATATGGCAGTACACTTCAACCACTAACTCAGTAGCTCAGTCGTTCTCAAATGGGAGTCCACGGACCCTCTGTGGTCCCTGAAGGCCTTCTTGGGGTCCCCGGAGCCCTCAACCATCAGTCAAACCGAGCAGTAAAACTTTTTTTTAAATATTGATGTTGGTTAATTTACAAAGCTAAATAGACCAACTATGTGCGCTAAGTGAGTAGGGTTAATTACCCTTTGTCTCAGAGCCTCAAAACTGGCTTTCACATACTGTGTTTTCTCACGTATAACCCCCATCAAAATTTATAGCAAATCAAAGGCAAAGTAGTGGTGCAGGTTATACACAAATTTCATAAGCAGTGCCAGTGCAGCTTCCTGGAATGCGCGCAAAGTTGTAAGGATAAGTTCCTCAGGGTCTCTCTTCTCCGGTCTCTCCTAGGAAGTTAATGCAAGCGTGTAGGCTAGCTGTTTAAGAACTTTCCAGCTTCTCTTTTTTTCATGTAGCCACCATTGCTTTGTTTTTGCGGCCATTGAGACGTGAATCGCCGCTCTGCGCTGTTGTCAAATCTGTTGCTGAAAGATCAGAAACTGAGTGGCAGGCCGCAACTACGACCGCTACGACACTGGCTAGTCATGCCTGTGAGAATCGAGTAAGAATGAGGACCTGCAAACTGCAAGTTGCGACCAGTGATCGTTCCGCTTTCAGGAGACTGGTGTATACCCCCAGCTTAAAAAAGGAGCTCACGAAGTTCATCAAGCAGAGAAAAGGTCGCAGTCACGCCGTACGTACAGAGATCTGGCATTACCGCAACTTTTCTAGACAAGATAGTGCCGAACCACTGCATTAGCAATCACCTTGACGGCTTGGATGACGGCGCTATTTGCGACAATGAAGGCGCCAGCGATGGGTGTATTGAAAATAAAGGTATGGTTTCTAGCGAGATCTGGACATTACTTTATTGGTTAGTGCAAGTAATATGCGAGAATTGTTTTTTGTTTCTGGGAGTAGTAAGTTGGGGTTGCCGGTTTATGCAGGGGCAGGTAATATGCAATAAAATATGGTACTTAGTTTTATTTAAGTTTTTGTCATTGTAATCATACAATATCCCCCTTGCTCTCTTGGTGGATGGGGTTCCTCATCATTTTCACTTATCTAGAAGGGGCCCCTAGAACGTCAGTGGTTGGGAACCACTGCAGTAGCTTCTAACTCTTCTTGTTTTTGATGGTTGCGGTGCTTTCCCCAAATGCTGGTGCAGGCGCAGATGGAGGAGAAGCAGAGGAAGCTGCAGGCAGAGAAGATTGCCCGTCTGCAGGAGGAGAGGGAGCAGGAGCGCCGCCTGGAGGAAGAGAGGCGAAGGCTCGAGGAGCAATACCAGGAGGAGCAGCAGAGGATTAGGGAGAAGAAGGCGAGTACTCTTCTGTTGTCGCATCAGGGCTCATGTGAACGGTGGGCACAGTCATTGTCCGATTCATTCACTAATCATAAAGTGCAAATGAATCAAACCATGGAATGCCAGTGTCGGGCACCAACGTTTTCTATTGTAGTTTCTGGCTATTTCAGAACTACTGTATACTTTTGTCCTGTGAACTCCAGAGGTACGAAGCAATTACGGCAGTTATGACTATTCTAGTGATCGCCCTATTTCCATCAAATTTTTATTTTTATTTTTTTTACAGTATGACAGTTTTATAAATTTAGTTCACTTAAGGACGTGGGGTTCATCACCGTTTGAAATCACTTTGTATTAGTTGGAAGATACTTTTTCACTAGACATTGTGTTTAGAAAATACTTTCATAAAACATTGTGTTTAGAAAATACTTTCATAAAACATTGTGTTTAGAAAATATATTTTTTTTTATTAGAAATCATGTTTTCAAAGGTGGTGCTAACTCTGGCACGTCCTCCCATTCTCAGGAACGGGAAGAGAGGACGCGCCTGGTGCTGATTGCCAAGATGCAGCAGGCGGAGGCCGAGGCGGAGGCCGTCCGCAAAGCCAAGAGGAACCTCAAGTTGCAGCGGACTGCATCTGTAGCACCGGCCGAGCCCCAAGTGCCTCAGTTTGGCAGCGACCCCAGTGGGCAAGGGCCTTCAGTGTCCACCGAGAGGGTTCCTTCCGGCATCGAGAACTTTGCCGCCGCTAGCGGTGAACACACGGAAATTGCCAAAGGTACCTACCTTTATGTCACACAGTCGAAGTAGTTAGAATTACTTTTTACACTGTGACAGTCTAGTCTTTTTTCTCCAAAAAATGCTTCCCAATGGTCAGGTTTTGTTTCAAAAGGAATTGTGTAAAGACCAGGTCAGTGCAGAGGTTTTTTTTCTGAATTACCTTGCACGTGTGGGCGCAGTGCTTAAAGGCTGTTCAGGTTTAGAAGCACCGAATGGAAATATTGGAAGTGAATAGTTGTCACCTTTCTTCCGTTTGGTTTTATTTTGGAGTGTCCGCTTCCGCAACATTCCGGCGGCTTCATGTTCTGAATCGGTGGTACATAACAGAGCTTCTGTACGGGATGGCAAGATCTCAACCTCCAGGTTTAATTTTGAGAAGCGTTGAAAGTCTGAATTAGAAGAGCTGGTACTCCAATTGCCACTGCCACCAGAGCAGCCGACATGCGAAGCGACCATCTCGTGCTCATCACGTGCGCGGAACATCTAATTTCAAAACTATAAATAGCCCCTGCAATGCGAAACACTGTGCGAATATAATGTTTATAGTTTGCCAGAGGCATAGCTAATAGCAGCACATCCAGCAGTATGCACAGTTTTGCGGTAAGGCTGGCACTTTCAAATCTGTGATCTCCGCCATTTGTGTGCAGCGACGACCATCAAAGGGTCGAGCATACTTCAAATTTAGAAAACTAAGATAACGCCTTTTTGATTCATGTTACTAGTACTTGCCTACAAGAAGAAAGTGATTCGCGTTTTTGCTGTGTCACACGTGCCATGTTATAAAGTTTTCTCCAAACATTGACATTCTCATCACCAAAGAAAGTGCGCCGACTCAGCTTCCGCGTCGGTAGGATTTCTCTCTTTTCTATTTTCTTTGCGAGATTGAGGTCTCCACATCTTCGACAACGGGTCATTTCGACATCTGCACGGTGGGCACAACTCTCGATTGGTTTTGTTTGTTGTCAAGCTCTTTCTCTAGCTCAGCTATATTTTAAAATGAATCGAAGACTTGGAGTAATTACTTAAAAAAAGTTTTATCATAAATTACCATAGCCTACAAACATGTACACAAATGGCATCAAAGTGGAATGGAAAGACCTCGTAAAGGCAGCACACGGCGAACAAAATTGCCGTTTCAGTAGGAGAACACAAACTAAGAACTGCTAAGAACAAAAATGGAATAGAAAAAAAAAAAAGTTCTTTTTTAGCACAGTGCAGCATCCCAACAAAATTGCAAGATTAGGTCTTAGATAAATTCCTATTGACGTTTGCCAGGCGACCCGAGAGTGCAGCCAAAGCAGCAGCAAGAACTTGCATCCCCGACAGCCATGGTTCGGCCCACGCGCAATGACGACAAGTCGGAGGCTAGGTCGCAGCCGCAGCGCGAGATCTCGAGCCAGACCGAAGGCAGCATTCCTGTGTCTGCTGCCTCGAGCCGGACTTCCCCGTTTCCATCGTACCGTGGGCCGAGTCCTTACGTCGAAGACCGCGTGCTGACTCCGACCAAGGTTCGGATCGCTCACAGGGCACGTTGGCCCCTGACGGTCCCGAGCAGGGAGTTTGGGATACAGACGGACATCTCACTTCCCTGTGGCTGGAGTGGCTGCGGACCTTCCCGGGAACTCGTTGCCAGGTGGGTGGCATTGTTTGTCACGTCTTTGAGCGACTTCGCTTTCCTCTTTGAAACATAGTTTTTTTACGGCGGAGCTGTTAAGGGCTAGTTTCCCCAGTTTCGTGTCCATCACCAAATAAATGTTGACACAAAACTGTGGATAGCTACTGTCATCTATGAGCGACAATGGCAACCAGACAATTGGCTTGCCGGTCATCTGGTTGCCGCCGTTGCTCATAGAAGGCGGCAACCATTCCAGCCTTTTCACTCTGGTTTTCACCAGAGTGGAAATGCTTTAGACGTCGTCCTAGAGGTCATCCTTGAGGTCATCCTTGAGGTCGTCCTAGAAGTCGTCCTCGAGGTCGTCCTAGACGTCGTCTCTGAGGTCGTCCTAGACGTCGTCTCTGAGGTCGTCCTAGGCGTCGTCTCTGAGGTCGTCCTAGGCGTCGTCCTTAAGGTCGTCCTAGGCGTCGTCCTTAAGGTCATCCTAGAGGTCGTCCTATGGGCGTCGTCCTTGAGGTCGTCCTACCATAGTACAGCTTCGCTGGTCTTCCTTCACCAGAGTGGAAAGGCTGGAAGTTTTCCACTCTGAAAGAAAAAAAGAGTGGCGTGATGTTGCGAGAAACCGTCACGAAATAACTGTCATGTGCTTGGCAAATTTAGTGAACATACCCGCGTCCTGTTGAGTTTGGCGAGAGTGTGTCCCGCTGATGGCCTCGGCGTGATGGGCATTGCATGGCTCCATGGTGCGACACTGTGAAGTGCTGTGACATCACATGGCGTCATAACTTCGCGCAACTTCATTACGTCAATAGACTACTTCCATAAAGCCCTGCATGCAACACGGCGCATGTTGCACTCTGGGAACTAGTTGGCCAGGGAGGAGAGTGCCATGCTTTCGGTTTCGATCGACACGTCGACAAGAGGTTATACACAAAGCGTGGATTATAAACGGCCGTTATTTTATGTTTTCTGGTCCCGAGAGCGTCGTTTGTTGTCTCTAAACTAACCTAAATGGCCAGACCTCAAAGCTTTAGCACAAGCCTGAGACGTATAGCTTGTCTTAGTGCATGCTTGTTGTATTTTTGTACTTAAGTTTTTCTGTTAGCGTTTTGAGGTATGTGGACGAGCCAGTGCTGGGAATCTCGACGCTGCAAAGCTCGGGGATCTTGCTTGTGTACGAATCAACGAGCTGTAGACACCAGTAAGTATGCATACATCGAGCTCGCGCCTTTACATTAGTGTTGTTGATCAGGAAGTTTGTTTCGTGCGTCCATAGACGAAATATAAATTTTTGCAATTACTGTTTTTCTTAATACGCCTGAGTATGCGAGGTAAAACTCGGAGGCGCCATTGAAAAGCTCCATTTGAACACACTTCTCATCGCTTATCTGTACTGCCCCGCAGCACTGCACGAATTCGTGATGTCCCCACCCGCTTGCATTTCACTAATATTCAACATTGCATATACGCATAAAGTTATCCTGCAGTCATATAGGCACATTCGCACATACAAACCGTTTTAAGAAAGCAAAAGTCGAGCACTTGTGTGAAGAATGTCGCACCATTCGAAGGAAGTGCGCCGGACGGGCGTGTACGGCGGTGCGCCAAACGAGCGAAATTATTCAAAGCGCATTTGACGGTTGCTAATGGCCATAATATTTGTTATGCGTTTGCTTTCTTCCTGCCTGAGTGTGCCGATATAATTTCAGGCACACCGTTCAGGCACAGATTTTGGGCGTCGGTAAAAGGTCGTCCAAAAAGGTTTAGTGAGGAGTAGGGGACGCTTGTTAGGGCCTCCGTCGTAGCTAGCCGATCTCAGTGTTTGCGAAAACTTAATCTTATATCAGCATAAAATTTGAGTGTGAGATATGTGATGACATGAGGAAGACATCATAGTAACTTTTGTGCAGTAGTGAGGTCGAATTTATAGCGTTTCCCTAAAAGTTAATGCGCCAACGCTGGCTCAACTTTGATACTCCTGTGAGGATGCGGTTTGCTTTTCGCTTGATAAAGTGGCAAGAAGCGGACGTTTGGCAAACAAAATACGTGTAGGGCTCAAGGTGACCAAATTTCAGTTGTAGTTCACTGGTACTAGACGGGATTACTGACACGAGCTCAAAGATGCACTCGTGGGGTGAGGTGACTAAGCCACGTCTTACTACGTTTGCATACGCACGCACAATATCCGGTGTTTTGGGAACCAAGGAAAGTGCCCCTCCTTTCGTTTTTGCATCGCTCGAGAATGAGTGTATTGTACATTCGTGAAAGTCAGATAGTCAAAAACGCAAGCAGCGCGTTCGGTCGCGGCGTGATAGCATGAGATTAAGCTGCTCAGTCGAAACCGAAACTGAGGGGCCAACTAGTTCCCAGAGTGCACTGCATGGTATTTCGCCGCGATGGGGCGCGTCGGTTTTGGAAGAAGTCTATTGACACTATGTGTTACTCCGATCCAGTGCACGGGTCAGAAAGTTCAATGTCTACATTGTGATGGCAAGGAAATGACGGATTTGGCATAAAGTCAAACCTAAAGTCAAACCTAGCTATACCTAATTAAGTGGACTTATTAATCTTGCTATATGCAAATATCCTTTCTTGAATCTCGCAGTAAAAAAAAGAAGAATCTCAAATGATGAATATAGGTTTTCAGGGCATCTCTGCCTAACACATGCCCCTGCATAATAGCCACAGTTTACTTTTGAAAATTTTACTACAATGCTTCACAAAGTTTCCGTGTGCATGTGACTGCAATATTTGTACTTTTTGAAATGTTGATTGCAGTGGGTTAACCCCGCTAAGCACGCTTCTTGCCGAGGGCTGGTGCACTGCAGAGCTCGCTTCCGCATCTGTTGCTGTATTGCTTCCCCGCAGTGCACCGGTGCTCGATAATAAGCGCGCTGAACAGCACTAACCTACCACGATCAACACTTAAAAATGATAACTATCACAGTTCATCTCAAAGCGATTATCAGATAAGCAAGCCCCAGTTTCAGCCTTGGAAGGACCTATCTCGGTCTTCTTTATTTTACGGCTGCCACACATAAAATAACATGGCTAGAAAGAAATGTCCTTCCTTCAAGTAGAACTTGCGTCATCGCCCCTTCAGGTTTCTTTAGGCACCTTGTAACTGCACAAACTGCTTTCAATTCTTTCATCCGAAAAGCTTGCCAATGTGCCAACCTTTCTGTCCCAACCAGCATGCAGGACCCGGTCCAGGACTCTCCAGGGTGCCACGGAAGGCGGGTGCAGCACAGCCGACCAATGAAAGCCATCCACAAGGAACTGCTTGCCCCTTCAGGCTACGCACCTATGACCAACTTTCACGCAGACCGCAAGTTACCGCCTAGAATTCCGCTGACGAGGGCAGCCAACAGCAGAGGCAGCCCAGAGAGGGCGGGCGTTGGCCGCAACTTCGCCTCCCAGCAACTCGAGAAGCTGCAAGAGTTCCGCAGGCAGCAGTGGGAGAGGGATCCAGGCTCACGAAGGTCGAGGGTCACCCCACGTGCTGCCAGGGAAGGCAACACCGGAACCCTGCTGCGTGCTGGGAAAGGAGCCATGGCCACTCGTGGAGCAGAAAATGGCCGGTGGGTGAATGCTGTGGTTTCAATTCAGCATAGAGCTTATATAACAAATACGGTTGACTTGCGGTAATTCAAAGTCGCTTTATTCTAATTCTTGGTTAGTTTGAAGCAGGGGTATGGTCCCGGCAATTGCACATAATGTCCACGGAAAAAATCGCTTAATAATTCTAAGTTTAACCGCCGTGACTGGTTAATTCGAAGGATTTTGTATAGTGCTCGAGAAGTCCGGCAACCCTGGTGGCACAAAAAAGCTTCACAGTCGTGCTGATCAAATCTAATTTGCACCTGTACACACTTTAATGCTTTTATCTACCGTGTGTAAGATCAAGAGAATGAGCGCAGCGCACAACCAAGCCGCCAGGCGACCGAACCAGTTCAGCGGCCAAGCGAAGCCAGCATGGCTGCAGGCACTCTCATCGTGTGTCGTTTCCACGGGAGTTGCGGAAGTGAACGCGGCACGTACGGTCAACGAAGATTGGTTTGAGGCATCATCCAGCCCTACGAGATGTTTTGTCCATCGAATATATCGATGCCAACAAGCATGCCGTGGTCTGCAGTCCCCTTTCGGACCCCGAAATCGTGCGAGTGGTTAGGCTTAGGAACGGTCACATTGCTTTCCCTGCCCAATGGCAGAGTGCCGTTGACGCGAAAACCAGTTGTGGCACCACAGTGTCAATTTTGCATTTTCTAAGCCTAAAAATCTGCTGAAGGTGCTCGCACTCAAAGAAAGGTTTGCAATTTGCAGAGCATAGTTAATACTGTGCAACTTCATTAGCAGAATGTTGCGAGTTTTTGTTGGCAGAGACAAGCGAAAACAGATTTTAAGCAGCGAGTACTAAATAAAAAGCAAACAACTTTAAGCAGCGAGTACTAAATAAAAAGCAAATAATTTAAGAATATATATTTTTTTTTGAGGTATATGTTTAATTTGAAGTGTTTCGCTTTCCCCATGAGCTTCGAATTATTGAGTCGACCTCATAATAAACCTAGAGCATGGGAGTTCTCGGACTGTGTTTCCTATGAACCCAGGGTTCCACAAAGTACTCTTATGAGTTCCTCAGGTTTTCTCAACCATCCCTTCCAGGGCGAAGTATTGTTTCCCCATATAGAGTAGAAATTTAGCAGATCCAAGCCACCCGCCAGTGCATAGCTGTGTGCCCGGCTCTCCCTAGTATATGTGCATTATGGTCCAAGAGGTCCGTACGCTTCTGCACCATTTTACCGCATCAGTGCTGAGTCTGGGAGGGTTTCCCCGATCGTTGATCGAGAGCAATAGGGTTTTCTCAAGTTGGAAAGGTTTGAGGACCCCTTGACTTAAAGGAAAAAGAGGCCCGCCGTTTTCTCGCATATTTCGGCCGCCTCGGAACGGCCGGGCATAGAGACTGACATTAGCTGTCCTGGCGGGTCCGGATTTCCGGTGAGGCTTCAATACTTGCGAGGAAGCAGCAAAACATCACTTGTTAGGTCGGTGCTCAAGTCTTTTTTAGCTTCTTTTTGCGAGAAAACGCCTACATTGTGCGTGCTATAAAAAGAACAACTAAAGTTGACAAGCAGCTGAACAACTCAAACGTGTCACGGCATGACGAATGCGCCTAACCTTTCGTCCGCTTGCTTTTTCCGGTCTTCCGTCACACTCTTTGTCCTTCGTTCTCTTAGGACCACCGACGTTGGTACTTACGCTTTGCCCCTCTCTGCTCCTGCCCTTACCTCCCCACTTTTGACAGAACTTTTTACGGTGCAAAACATACCCCATCGCAGTTGTAGCTTGCGCTAATTTGTCTCGGATGGCTATCTTTGAAAAGGTTTAGGTTATTGAGATTGTCGAGGAAATTGTATGTGGAAGGCTGCTTCACGCGTATGCACTTGACTGTGACCGAGTGCTTCATGATCTCTTGCGACTGCTTACGACGAGAGACCTCACTGGCGCCGTCTGCCAGGTAGTCCTGGAACACTTCCTGTTTTCATTAATATCCTAATTTTTTATGTATCATTCTTTCATCTTGGGCTCGAAATACTTCTTGACAATGATATATAAGCAACCGATTCTCACAGATGTTCCGTAGGTTTGATCTTACAAATAGTGCAAAGGTTCCAGTCTAGTAATATGCAGTTCCATGGCTATCTGAAAAATGGCGCTAATGCGTTCCACCGACCCATGGCGTGTTCCTAGAGGTGTTCACTGGTCGCTTTTCTACCAACAATCGTGTTCGGTTGGCGGCACGGCATATATTCGTTGGCAGTGGCGTGCAGCCATTTTGGGTCGGCGACATCCGTTTGGCACAAAATTAGATTGAAGCGTCGTTTGAGACATACCCTTGAAAAAATGTTTATAAATAAGAATTTCCTTACTTTCGCACATTTTGAAAATATACAGGGAGACGAGCAACGGAATTCTCTTTCACAGTCGTATATCCTGTGGTAGGCTAGAAGGGGCAGGAGGTATGATTGCAGAGAATTTTGAGCCGCTTTAAAAGACCTCTCCGGTGCTTATTGAAGTTGTGAGGCAGGCTCATTGGGGTTTCCTCTTCACAATGCAGGTGCACTTTTACGGCAACAGCTGTTAGTAAGAGCAGTGTGTGGTTGTCCTTCCCAAATATTTGCAGTGCCTCGAGCGTGCACGCGCAGCCACGGCACGTGTCGAAAGGCAAGGAGCGCGTGCTGGTGACCGGGCATTGGGAAACGAAGCGAAGAGCGTGTGCTGGAGGGCACGCTTGAAAGATTCGCCGTTCTCACGTGGAGCTGTGACTGTAGCTGACACGCCATTGTGTCGGCGCATGCTTGCGACCACCCAAGCAAACAAACTTGCAAGCCGTACGGTTATAGACCTTGGAAATTTTTGTAGCAAGAACAAAGAATGCATTTTCTAGTTACTGCACGCCGAGGAGTCGTGTCGTAGATCGAGTACGGATCAGGCGCAGGAGTGGAATCTCGAGAGAGAGAAAGAAAACAGCGTGAAAATACTCTGAATCATACTCTGGAGGTGACTCAGAAACAACAATGAAGCTCGAATGATAGCAAATCACACAAGCACCGGGCTACTGTAGCCTTGACATACGTTACACGATGGCATAAAGGCACTCTGAATGTTTTTGCGTATACGAAGCAATACAGTCCTACAGTTACTCTCATTTATTTTTCTTCTTTTTCATTTTCTTTGATTTTTTTTTATTAATTTATGTTTTAGTGCAAGAGAACCCACCAAGGTGCCCTCTCGCGAGCCAAGCTGCTTTGACGAAGAGTCTCAACACGACCCGAACACGACGACTCAGAGCGATGACGAGGACAGCAACGACCCAACGCTCCTGGCTTCCCCAGCGTGCCACTCCCTGAGGTCTCCTCCCGTTCCGGCACTGCGCAAAAAGGTTGACTTCCCGTCGCCACAGGGTCGCGCAAACCTCGCATTGCTGGGGTCCCCTCCGCCCACGCGGAAGCGGTGGCGCAGCCAGGAGGTCTACATTCCCCGGCAGTCCTTCGGGGACTCCTCGACGTCTCAGGGGGAGGACTGGATGTCTTCACCGGGCCGGCGTGACGAAAGCAGAGTGCGGCCCGCTGCGGCAGAACGCCATCGCTCTGTGAGTGTGACCGGATGCGGAAGGGTCCGCAACACCTCCCCGTCTCCAGTCAGGCAGGGTCCGCGGAGCTCCTCCCAGGTGAGAGCAACAAGAACTGTGACTGTGTTAAGAGATGGCTGAGACTGAACACAACCTACGTAGCAATGTCATTACCTCATTCGTGTAATAGACTCTTTTCAGAAGTCTGTGCCAACGCCTACTCGTCATTGTTTGCTCACATACATTGAGCATGTATTGAACATGAGCGAGGGCTGCGTCAGCATTCAGTGTGAACTCGGTTCAGCTTGTGTTAAAAACGAGCGCTGCGTCAGCGTTTGGCAGACACTCTGATCTAATCACGCTCTTCGTGTCCAAGCAATGGCGAGTGCCAATGTTGCTTGATGAACTTGTGGAAAGGGCTCTTACCTGGCCCCTACCACAAATTTTGTAGCCACACTTTCCTTTCCAGTCTTAGGGGGTCACCCTGCTTATATGTATAGCCAAGAAAACTTTTCTCTTTTTTCAAAAATTGTTTAAGATTTTTTTAATTTTTTGCGTCCTTCAATTTTAGCCATCTGAATGCTGGCTAGACACCTAAAAGTCCGAGTTCTAATAACATTGTCGGAAAGTCTGCCACTGAAAAAATCCCTCAGTGGCCGAAGATGGTTAGTTTTAAAGAGATGGATTTGAGATCAAAAATAGTTAGAATGGGGAATATTTTTAAAACAAATTATTGCTCACTTTGTCTGACACTGCTTTAGAAGATTCACGCACAACTTTGTCGGTATTATAAAACAGTCAAGAGCTGTTCAGATATGCTGCTAGACTCGAAACATGGATCTAAATTTAGTAGAGGTCATAGTAGAGAAGCCCAGAGACGAGTAGTAGCTAAAAAGTATGAGAACTACACCGTCTCAGTTCAGCTCGCAACAGGGAACCATCTACAAGCCTAATGCCTCACTCTTGCTTTTCTCAAGGTTTCTAGAGCTCTTCGCTATACTCAGCTAATCAGTGAGTTTTTCTCAAATATCCAGGCTAAAAATGGAAAAGATGGGGAATTGAATTCTTCACTTGCGGTAGGCTACCTGATGCTACATGCATTCTTCTGTTTCTCTGACTTGACCTTTGCATCGTGCAATATACGTATTTCAGTGGGCCACAGGCATAAGTTGCTTGCTTATCTGTGGTGGACGGTCGAGGTTGGAATTAGTCTGATTCTGCCATCTCGGTCCAACGACCAGTGTGACCTCAGTGGTATGGCGCTGAAACAGGTCTCTCACGGATAAGTCTTTATTGCTGCAAGTGTCGTTGCTGTGCTGTTGTATGCCAGGAAACACATGTGAGCTTCTCGCTTCATGATCCAACATGTGCTTGTTCAGTATGCACCAACCAATCTCCGGAATCCAATGCGGAGCGCAGGTTTGTCTGCTTCTTGTACAGGTGTTGCACCGATGTCAGAACGCCGAGCTCTGATTGGCTTCGATTGAAAGGATGGGTAGACTTCAATGCTAGCTGCATTGAGATCTAGTACCCATTATTCTTCCAGTTGGAGCCATGGAATGCTCGGTGTTTTGACATCACCGCAAGCTCTGCTCAAGAAGCAGACGAACTTGCGCTCTACATTGCTTTGTAGCTAATGCCTTGAAGAGCTGTATGTTCAGTTTTTCATTCTAAAAGCGTTGCCTTACAATGAAGCTCTAATATGTAATGAAGAATTGATGTCAATGCATGATGGCATAATTGAGCATGTGTCAGCAATAAGTGATATTGTTTAGGAACAGCACACGGAAGTCATTGCCTTATCCAGATTGAAGTTGTTTGATATTGTGAACTAAACTGAGGAATGGAAATTAATGAGGCCAATCTTTGGAGACCCTACTATTCTTGTTTGAGTACCTACTTAAAAGCTAGGAAAGTTGAGTTTGTGTGAAAAAGAGGCAGTGGTGTGTCATGTGCAATGAAGTCAGTAGACTGGCATGAGGAAAATTGTCAGCGCAGAATTGCATTTGCCATGCCTACCAGGATCCCTTGGTGCACCCGGAGATTGTCACGGGCCGTCCAACTCCGAGACAAGACAAGATCTTGCAGCAGTTGTCTTCACTGAGGCAGGTGAGAGACTGGAATTGCTGTTTGACCCTTTGGCTTCAATACATTTCGCTTGAAGGTTGAGGCATGGACTTAATTGGCATCAATGCTACTGCCGACTTTAAGGCTGATTCACACTTGCATTTGACTACGACTGACTGTACCACGACCGGTTTTTAAGCCTTGCGAGTGCTTATGACTGGCTATGCTGCTGCACAATTTATGTTATATCAAACTGAGTACGATTCGGTGTGAAGCCACAACCATAAACAAGAAGATACCTGCACATTGATAGCCATTTTGATTATCACCATGCTATTGCTGCAGTACAGCATTACAGCAGTACCTTTGTAAACTGACTTGGTGCTGTACAGTCTTAAGCTTCTGGCTGTTGGTAGGCACTGTAAATAAATAAATACCTAAATAGCTGCACCATGCTATTGGTGCAATAATAACAATGGCTTTGCAGTGACCTTTCAGATCTTTAAACTTTAGGGGTTTCCATTCACTGGCTGATATTTTATTTTAAAGAAAGTTTGTGATGAATTCATTGTTTCTCGAAATAAAGTATGCTTGTTTTAGTACACTATGTATTAAACATAGAGTAAATGTCACATTCCCAACGTGCATCGATTCCGTTGGAGTTTTCATATTTTCAAAGGTCTACATTCAGATATCATTAATGTATGTAGTACCACTAATGTGACACTCTGATTTCAGGGTTTGCTCATCAAGCAACGCGAGATGGAGAACAACTTGCTGAAATCCAAGACCTAAGGGCTTTGCCATGCATTGTTGTTTATTAAGCGACTGACCAAGTGTTCTGTGTTGCTTTGTCTATTTATGTGCTCATTGTAGTTTCTCTTCAATGCATACCTGACACCTGAAGATACTCATACATTTCTGAGATCAGCACAGTTTTTATTCTGAGAATTGGGGATTCCAAAAAAAATATTGAGGCTTTTTCCCATGCTGGGGGCTTCTCACGCCTGCACTGTTTGTGCAGCATTGTTGCATGCACTCTTATATAATGATGCAGTTGCATGTGTTAAAGGGACCAACTTGTTGCAGTTTTTATAGAGGGTGTTTTTTTTATCAGTAGTAGGGGCAGCTGTTTCATAGATTTGCAGACGTTCAATGCGAGGTTAACTATCACCACCAGTTTAATAATTAACTCGAACTGATTCAATCAATTTTTTATTTACTGGTCTTGGGATTAATGTTTTATATATAATTTCTGGTTTGCAGGTAGCCATTACTAGAGGCTGAAGCAACTTTCTAAATTTGCAGAAAGGCAATGTGATTTGAGTCAATTTCCAAAGAAAGGCAGTGGGCTAAAAACAGTTAGTGTTTGTTTTTAGGCCGTTTAATTTTCAGTATGGGTGCAAAAAGTGTGCTGAAAGTCCCATCCATGATGGTGCATAGAACAATGACACTCAACACCAACTGAGGAAAACCTTTTTGCTAGTTTCATGTCTGTTACATGCTGCTGATTTAATCAAATGTGAAAAATTATCCACAGCATTGCACTTTTTAGTCACGATTGGTGTAATCTGAGCTAGTTGGTTACTCATTATGAAAAAACCAGCTGAACTAAGGAAAAGGTAGAGATAGAAAGAAAGACACCCGATCGCTGGCCAGCGATCGGGTGTCTTTCTTTCTATCTCTACCTTTTCCTTAGTTCAGCTGGTTTTTTCATAACTTTTTAGTCTAATGTCTCTTTGTGCATTTTTCTGAGAATAGTGCTTTTGATGGTGTGTTATGGGCATTCTCACTTTGCAAGATAGTGTCTTATACGTCCAACATATCATCCTAGTTTATCTCCCGTTGAACTCTCGATGGGCATGACTAGTTCACAGTGGAGATGGTATCCAGGTAATGGTCACCCCCTTGTGTAAAAGAATCTGCCAATTAAAACAAACACCCTGTATTGTGACAGATCAATAGAAATAGCAGTTGTGATCCATGTTATATTCTATGCATGCCATTTTGGATGCAGATTTGATTATTTGCAGACCAAGCATGCAATGCCTTCTTAATATACAATTGTACTGTTTGTAACCAGTGTTTTTTTGTACTATTGCAACTGTGTACAAGTGGCATAGCTCTTCCATCTATATCTGTGTTGTATTTAGTTTATTAGAAATTCTGATTACATAGAAAGTGCACACACTTTCAATATGCTGTAGTATGCCAAGCTTTAATGCATCAAATTTAAGCCGAAGCCACAATTTAGATCTCTGTACGTTCTGCCTTCATACGACATGTTTAGATGGAAGAACTACCTAAGTGTTGCAAATAGGCACCTGCCTATGTCTGGTCTCTTTACAGGATTTTAAACTGTTTGTTTACATGTTTTACAATTTTACATGATGTACAGGAATCTTGTTGTTTTACTATTTGAAGTTTTATTAGTTGACATCAATAAACACAGATATGTACAGATTATTAACAGTGTGCATTTTCTTTCCTTAACACTCGTAATTATTTGCTAGTTTTATATTAAAAATAATGTAAGGTAGCAAGTAAAAATTTGTTTTATTTCAAAGCCGGGCAGTTATTTTTCTTTTAAATATTTGTATTGACAGTGTGTCGATTGTGGCTGTACTTTATTTCGCCTTCAAGTGGTAGTGGAGCAACGGTTGCATCCTTTTGTACCTTGCATTTCATTGCTGGCCAACTAACAGTAATTAACTTACTGGCAGATGCCTTGATATGCAGTACCGTTTATTGCTCTTGTAATGCCGCAACCAAGTATACTTTAATCAATTCAAAGATTAGAGATTAGCACAGCTTCTGAAATTCCCGCACTGAAGTAAATCATGTAATACTCTATACTTGTTGTATACTGAAAAGGCTTTACTTCTTTTTTGACCTTGCTGTTCCTTTCTAAAGAAAATCAAGTCTCCAAAAACTATGTGTAGTAGAGGCTTCATGCCAGAAGACAGCTTTTATATAAAATATAATGTTACAATCGCACATTAGTATAGACAATGATGAATGACCTTGTGCCTGAGCAGTGGCAGTACGAACGCAACTTTTGTGTCACTTGCACATATTGTCTGGATCCTTTGGCACACATGCGATGGATGTCGGTGAAAGCACACCTTCCAGCAAGAAGAGCCTTGCACCGCAGTTCTTCACGCACACTGTCCTCTGTCTAGATCAAAACTTAGTGCACCAGTAAAGTGGGTCCCGCACCCCCATTTGTTGCTGCTGGGGCAGCCTTTGTGCTTGCTGGGAACGTGCCGGAGCTGAAGACCGCTGCTCAGAGACGTGCAGTGTGGCAAAACTGGGCTGATTGAACCTGTGGAAGACAAAGGGTGGGAGGGGAGTTACGTCTTCTGCGTAATGTGAGGGTTATTGGGGAAGTTGTCGACAGTAGTATGCAAAGCAGTATGGAGCAAGGTCACGCGAAGCAATAACTACAGTGCCGCTGCCTGCTATGTTGAGCTTTTGCTTATATTTGAAAGGTATAGTTTTATCGTCTAGCATATTGCCTGAAATTACAACTTGGAGCTCTCAGTGGCAGTTGGGAACACTCGGGTCTCTGCTTCATTCAAAGCATGACTGGGCAAAGTTGTCTTACACTGTGGACCACTGCTCAGCCATGATCCAACGGTTGTATCTATTTCATCAGTCCTTTTTGTGGTTTTATTTTAGCATGCTATGTTATAGAAACCATGAAATGTTTTCTTTTAGCTCTTTTAGCGTAAATGGGATACTTCAAAGAAATTTGAAATATTCCCGTCGAATTCAAAAATAGGTTGAATATGATTCACAATATCCATAAATGACAATCGCACGTTTCTATTTTGAGCCTGGTGGCTGTATTTTTCGTTATAAACGGCCCACTCTGGCAAGCGCTCGAAGAAGGCCCAGCGGAGACCACGTGACATCCAACGCAATCGTGACATAGGTCGTCTCAGGACGAGCAAAGCTACAGCAAGGCTGACGTCGAGAGGATGGCTTAGTCATTCCAGCCACCGAAGCGGCTGCTTTTGTACGAATTTTGAGTGACGGGTTAATCTTCTGTAATCTTGTAGGGGGACAATAGCGACTTCTGCGACACACAAAAGGCATTCTCGGGAAGAGGGGAGTTCCTCCTGCCCCTCTTCTCTTGCCGTGACCGGAGGCGAGACAACCTCCGTCACTAGCTGTCAAGGTTCCTAGATGGGCATAACAAGCGAGGCGTTAGCGACATCCACCAGGTGCTCTTTGCTAATCGTTTAATTCGTTTTAAAATTCCTTTTCGTGACCTTTTTGACAAGATATTGGTATGTTCGATGTGATGCTGCTCCTTTGAATGCACATAGAGCATAAAATAAGCACCGAAATTTCGTTGTAGTATCCCTTTAAAGGGCAACTCCGCTTAATTCCGAAGATTTCGGGATAATGAGTGATTTTGCATTAAAAAGCCCTTGTAAAAGACACCACGTCGTTTGCTTCGCGAAAAATGGGATATATATTTTTAAATTATTTTTAAACGAGCGGAAATCGAAACTGAAACTTCGGCTCCGTCCGGCAACAATGGCCTCGGGCCGCCAAGAACATGGCCATCACGTGGTACGAGATGTCACGTGATCATCTATGCAACGACGGGCGTGCGCAGAAAGTTTCGTCTGCACCCTTTGCCACGTTTTGGGGTCTACGACATTCGATGACGTCTGCACAACTGTGGCATATGTCTGCGCACGTAGTGTCCGTAGTGTGGACGACACTCCGAGCGACAATAATCACAAACGGTGAGTCGACAACGGTGGAACGGCCGACCCACTGTGGTTGAACCATGGTAGGTCGGCCGTTCGGCTCCCAAGAAGCGCGCTGCGCAGGCGCCAGTCACGTGGACACCGCTGAGCGCCGAGAGGAAACGTTGCTGACGTCATCCGCTACGCTCGTACAGAGAAGTAAAAACAAGCAAAAGGGGGCAATGGTGATGACGTTTAGCTCAATGTGGGCTACGCCCACGCCGCAGCCTTGACTGCGCTTTTGGTTGCGCCTTAATTCGCCTGAATTCACCCGCTCGAGTCAGCCGATTTCGGCAAGTTGCAAAGTTTGCCGGACCGTTTAAAGGCCCGTTCACACTCTTGCGACCGAGTACGACTGAGAGAGACGAGATCTCTTACAACTTCTTAAATGTTTCTAGAATGAGGGAACACACTGACAATGTGGCGCCATCTATGCGGTGACCCTAGAACTGCATTTCACAAAAGCGAAGGTTTTGCGGGATTTCCGAGGTCAAATGTGCGTAATACCCATAGAAAGGCTCGTTTATAACATTGACAAAAGCTTTTCGAGCCAAAAAAGAAAGGATATTGCGCGAGAAATAAAAAAAAATATGCCGGACCGCCGAGTTTACTATGCTTCCCAATAGATGGCGCCAGTGTGTTCTCTGGTTTAAGAAGTTTTAAAGAACCCAGGTTTAAGAGGTCGCAAGCAGTCGCAAGAGTGTGAACGGGCCTTAAGAAACATCTAGACAGAACTGCGTCGTAATATTTGGTGTGTGGTCTCCCTAGGCAATACTGAAGAGAACTGCATTGTTTTTTCACAACCAAAAATAAAGCGGAGTTGCCCTTCAATCAGGGGCGGATCCAGACCTCCATTTTGGGGCGGGGGGGGGGGGGGGGGCGGTTCCTCGGCGTAAAACGGGGGGGGGGGGGGGGGGGGGGAGTGTTTATATTTTTTGTGGAGTCATCGTTTTTACTAAACTCTGATAACATAATATAGATCTTGAGAGCTTTTGTATCGGTTTACCTGTAGGGGATGAACTCTTTGAACTTTCTGTGGCTATGCACACCAAGGCACACGCTCCCGTACTTTTGACTGCATAGCCTCAGAAAGCTGGGCATCTGGCCAACGCAATGTCTCTGCTCGTGCGGAAAATCACGTGCAATTGCAAGCCTACCAAAGCTATATTCACGTGCACGCCATACGTGCCTGCTCGTATGGGGCACCAGTCAGGACGCTACACTGTAGCGTCCTGACTGTAAATTTGACCGTAAAATTTACGGCCAAATACCAGGCAGCTGATGCTGCCAAACTTGTACAGTAAAAATAACGGTGCACTGTAAATCTGGTTTACGATAAATTTAAACGGGGACCGTAGAAATCTACGGTCGGCCTTCAAATTTGCGGTAAAAAAAATTTTACAGCGCGCCGTTATTTTTACGGTGCAATTTAAACGGCGAGAAAGGTGGTAGTATTCAGGTTCATAGCATCATTGTATAGTGATGTTATGAACTCAATGATGTTATGAACCTCGACCGAACCAAGCACGTTTTGAAGGCTTTCAGCAAGTTGGCCGAACATGTACTGTTTGTACAAGAAATGCCGACGTTGAAATTCATAAATGGTTTTTTGAACTGTTGATACCGGCATAAGAAGCGTTCCGTTGAACTTCAGGTACAAAAAAAAAACAAGGTCGTATTGTACGGCCTTCCTTTTTTCTCCTGCAGACAGAGACATTAACACGTCGTAGTTATCATTAGGGGATTGCATCACGTTAAGAGCACCGTCTTCATTAGAATCCGCACTAGTCGACCGAGTCGAAGAGTCCTCAACCTGAAGCGGGCCTGCAGGCGATGCGCCGTCGCCCAAGAAACCCGTCACTCGTAAATGCGCCCAGTTCAAATGTGCCGTGATCGAACTATGATTTTACACCTTCTGACAGTTGGAGCACGAACACGAAAACAAAATACTGTCGGTGATGTGGCCTTTTAGATGTTTTAGCAAAGCCTCCCTTGTGTGGCACTCCTCTAGGCATGGTGGCAAAGTGCACTGAAAGCTTTCCAAACTCCTCGAAACAACCAAACTTCCCTTAGGCGTACCAATGCCTATGTCTTCTCAAAATATGACACCTGAGAGCATCATACGTAACAAACTGGCGACAGCATCCTTCGTCCACACACTGAAGAATTCGAGAGCGTGCTTGAACAGAAACTACAAATTCTGCAAGTAAACATCTTTTAGAGTGTTGTATTTATGCCACCATTACACTATCCTTGCCAATCAAGCAGCAGATTGATAGTGAAATACCTGCCTCGAGTATCCAGTTGCCTTCCGCTCTAAATTTTCAGGTGCACAAAAATCCGGGAATGCCACAAACGAACGAGGACAAAACGGCGCGGAGACGGGTGGGAAGGCGGGAAAATGAACTGAACGTGAGCTTTTTCCACTTCTTTCCGCGTTGTCCCAACCAACGTTTCTTTCTTTTGTTTATGCTTCTAGCTATAGTCGCATTGTTGCTCTACTGTTTGCTCTTAGTTCTCTTTTTTTTTCCTTTTTCAGTTAAGGCAGTTACGCTGGTTACGCTCTGCGCTGGCGCGGCTGGCGCGGACAAAGAAAGGAGGTGAAGGGGCGAGAGGAGACTCTCTGGGTTCCCGCAGCTTCCGAAAGGTCAAGCGTGGTGACCAATTAGCGAAGTGCGTCTTTTCTTTCTGTTTTCTTGCTCCATGAAGTTTTGCGTTTCCCTCTCGGTTTTTTTTGCTCGTTTACGGCGCATTTCAGATGGGTCCATATCACATGAGCGAATGAAATTTTAGCGAACAGCGACATTTGAGCGAATGGACGTTTTAGCGAATAACCGGGGCGCGCGTTAACCCATCCGCCGCGCTGCGTTTTACGCCGCTTCGCGGCGACAGTCTGCGGCGGCTCATTACGAAAATGGGAATCCATTTGGCCCACCTGAAAACGCCGCTTCGCGGCGTCCGACTATTCGCTAAAGTGTCATTCGGTGAAACGTGGGCGTTCACTAAAACGTCATTCGATCGAGTGATCGAATGACAAGTACGCCGTGAAGAGGAATTATCGAAATGGGAGGCCCTCCCATTTCGATAATTCCTCTTCACGGCGTACTTGTAGTTTTTATTAGCGTATAGCGCCGTAAATTTGACGGTTACTTTTTACAGTGTATGCTTTCGAAGCTAAGCGCTTGTGAGCCCGAGCATGCTGGGCGCCGATAAAAGCTGCGCACAATGCCTGGTTACTACTACTGATATGTCAAAAAACACCTCGACCGCACGAACACTCGTGGGGGAAGCTTTAAAACTAATAGATTGCGTTTGTCCAAAGTGAAGTAGGGTAAGATGGGCCAAATGAGACGCGGGACAAAATGCGACAGTTGGAGTGAAGGCACCCAACGAAAGTTTTTGTTTAGTGCCAGCTATCACCTAGACACAAATTTCAAGCTTCACTGAGACGTGCCTTAGCCTGTTCACTTTGCGTGAGCCATAAATGACTGCCTTTGGCAAGTCCTTTCCGGAGAAAAAGAAATGCCGATTTGAGATTGCCGAGTTTACCGCCCGTCAAAGAGGTGCATAATTCCGCGCGAGATTTCGCTTCGAGAAGTACGCCCCGGTTGGCACAGACTTTCTACCAAGGTATAATTTAATTTCATTCCTAAGTTTTATTAGCTTCATGCAGACCAAATTTGAGTGCTCAGCGTGCTTTTTTTTTACGGAAATAATTATTCACGTAACGGGATACGCGCGAGACAAAACGCGACAATGTGGCATTGTATGACGCGTGTGTCCATAATGTACCAGTTTCCTGGTTGTTCCTGAGTCATATTTCCCTCTCGGTGTCTGGGAGGATCAAAACGTACAAAAGAAAGACAGCAGGGGCTTCATGGCGCATAAGTAACACTGCGAATGCTCTTGAAAGTGAAGCAACAGCGTCACTCCCTTCGCGTTGCCGCCCCTACCAAAAAATCCGGTATAACTTTTCGCTATCCGGATTATGGAACCGGAAATCTATCTGAATTCTATCTGGAATTTAGGTTTTCAGAAATTATTCCTTTGTCTGCAATCTGGATTTCGGGTTTCCAGTAACAAATTTCCGGTTCCATATTCCGGATAGGGAAAGTTATACCGGATTTTTCGGTAGGGGCCACACTTTTTGGCGTACCAAGGGATGTGCTTCAAAAGCGAGCAAAAAGAAAAAAAATGGAAAAAGCAATGGCTCCACAAAAAAAAAAAAAAAAAAAAATGGCGAGGCGTTTGGGGGGGGGGGGGGGGGGGCGATCGCCCCCACCGCCCCCCCCCCCCCCCCCTTGGATCCGCCACTGCCTTCAATGCTTCGGTCGGAAGCTGCATGCGCAAAACGCAATATTGCGTTCTACGCGTGTGCATTTCCGACCCGCAATTGTACTGCGTACGCAAGGCTCTTGCGTACGAGCCACTAAAACTCCTTACTGTTGTTATAAACCAGGAAGGAAAAGTAAATGTACATGCTAAGTAAGGAACTTCATGCAAATAATATTTTATTTTTAATAATCAATAAGTAAAAATAAAAAGACAGGAATTCGGCTCCAGAACAAAATGCTTGACTTCAGCCCCTCTTCATAAAATCAACTTCTGGAGTCCCTGACAATATTTGAAGAGCAAAATATTTTGATTGCACCAGAACGGCATATTCGATTTTGGGAGTTTTCGTTTATGCCATGTTTGGTGACACCTACTACGCAAACTACTAACACCAGAAATCTGAAATATTTTAAACTAACCATGTTCACACATACAAAGGCCAAACTACTACTTTGGCATTACCGAGAGGAATATTCACGACGACAATGGTTCACTGAAAAATCTCTAGACGCTCTTCTTCCGCATATTGACCCGGACCTTAAATTTCCACCACACACTGGAACGAAAAGGAAATGCGACATTCTCCTGCACCGATTAAGACTCGAAGTGGTTTTTACTGGAAGTTTCTTACATCGAATTAACATCCTCTTTGTATGTCAGTGGTACACCAGTGAAAGGCACCGAATGAAAAGTCTATATTAAGTGAAGATATATGCCATACGTTTATGGTTGTATATGTTTGTAGGTATGTGCACAAGTGAGTGAGCGTGACAGTATGTGGCGTGAGTGTAGGTGATGTGCTTTATCCCAACTGAAAATTAGACATGCAACAGACTGACAAGAAAAACATCAATTGCATCAACTGTTTTTGTGCTGTGTTTTGTAGCAAGTGTTCAGTGGCGCTATTTATTTTTTCTTTGTGTGCGTGTGTGTGTGTGTTTGTGTTGGTATGGTCGTGTCACGCCCGTGTTTTACTCCCTACTCATTTCTTTCCTTCTTTAATCATTATGTTTTAGGTCTTAGTTCATATCACTTTCAAGTTTTGAAGTAGCCGGCACCATTTCAAGGCTGCCACATTCTCCATAGCACCATCTATTTTCTTCTTCTGATTCAAATATTTTTCACTTATAATAGACCATGGGAACTATTTATATAAATATGGACAGCATTGTGGAGGTTAAATTGTTTGCCTCAAAAGCGCAAATAACATGGCTTCTTTGACGTTTTGTCACAGGTTTCTAAGCCGTCATTTAAAAATAAAAATTTAATATCTGCGTACAACAATAAAATGTATGGCATATATTCTTAAATAAACATTGTTTTTCGAATAATATATAAATCTGCTTTACCACATTAGGCGCCCACACCCAAACTTTTATGATCAGAAAAAATATGCACAGTACAATTATATGTAAAATTGATGACCGGACAAGCGCCCACCCCCCATTTTTAGTGGGCGCTTGCCCGGTATTTTACGGTAGAAAATTTTAATTTTTACGTTCCAGATTTGTTCTAAATTGAAACTTCAAGGGGCAGTTTAAAACAACAACAACATGACGAAAATATTTCCTGGAGAAGAGGAACAAAAGAGACAAAGGACAAAACGCAAATCTCCTAACGCAGCTATGGGTGACTGAAGCGCCAACAACGTCTCCGATTTTTTTAACATTTATAGTACAGTTCTCCATTATACTCTTGTGTTTATTCATTTACAAAAAAAATTTTCATCTTTTTTTTTTTTTTTTTTTATGTTACAGCGTTGCAAAGTGTATTTTTCACGCCGACATTTTTTCCCAATGCCACAGACGAGATATTCGTTTGGTCCCGTGTATTTAGGACTAGATACATTTTTAGTGCCGTATTCGAGTATGGGGCTTAGGTTCAGTTATTCTACCAATTAAAACAATACTCGTGTTGCGCCATGAACTTTCGTTCAGGGCGTGATTTGGCGCAAATGGCGCAACACTTCCATCACTGCAAGTAATGGAAGAGCTGCGCTGCAGTTGTTACGTTGCTTCATAGAAACACATTATTATTTCTTCTTCCTTTCTCCTGTCATGCCTTCGGGAAGTCGCGGGATATTTTGATCGTGAGACAACACTCGCGCTGCAGTCATAAGCGAACGAAGTGGTTGCCAGTCCCGTGTAGTTGTGTCTTGACAGAACGTCTTCATTCATGGCAGCGACTTGCGGCGTCTGTCATGGCTATCCTGTGCTATCTTAGTAAACACAAAAAGAAGATAACAAATCAGATATATTTTAACAGTGTGTAAGATCCGGATGTCAACTCTCCAAAGAGTATCGGGCAAAATCCTCCAGTTCGTGTATTCCCTATTTGGAGCCGCGATCGGGGTTGACCGACTTTCTCGCTCTCGTTAGAATTATTGCAGCAGAGCTGAGTGCTTCGCGGAATTCGTCAGTCTGGTTTGAAGAGGGACAAAAGACGGACTTTTCAAGACAATTTCTTGCCAACACGGGCAACTAGTATGCTGGATAACTTTACTCCTTATTATTTTTGTTTAATTTGATGTTTTTTTTTTAAATATGTTATTAAATTAAATATTTACACGTATTTTTAATCTTAACGTGTTACTGAAAGTCTGATGTGAAGTCGCAGGCTTACCTTGGTCAGCTGGACGCACAACCGTCATGAATAGCAGTGTAACAAGCTTGGGCTCAAACGTTCCTGCTTCATCATGCATATATGTATGAATGAATATTCGCATATAATTTGCACTGCTGTACCTACTTTTCTACTACTATCTATAAAGAAAAAAAATGTTGTAGTACTGATAGCGTTTGTTTTCGTCCCGCTTTTGTGGAAAACGTTGAGCTAAAGCTTCTAGAACTGTTAATATTAAAGAGCAAAACATGCTTATTGGCTAAATTAATAAAAAAAAAAAGGAAGCAACGCAGGTATTGTTTTAACTAGTAGAATACTTGAACTCCAGGCCAATACCCAAGTAAAACATTTTTTTTTCGACCCACCTTATTTCTTTTTTGTTTGTTTGTGTGTGTGTGTGTGGGGGGGTGTGCATGTGTGTTTGTTTGTTTTTGATTGGCTGTTGGTTATTTATATCCGATGAGTTCTGCTTTCCATCAGCTTTTTCTGCCGTGAGATGAATTCTGACCGCTGTTCACGGCGATTAGTGTGGTTCTTTTGATAGACCATATAGAGCGTCCACTATACTTCGTTCGCAGACCACTTGCGGTCGCATGTTGCAGTAAACGTCTCTCTCGACAGTAGCACGCGGTTGCAGATAAAGAAATGGTTTTGTATTACGCATTGTAATGTCTCTCACGTTTATAATAATTTCTAGGTAAGACGGTTCAGGCCCGGGAACACTTACTCAGAAGTGCCTGTTGGTATGGTCCCAAGGAGTAACGTGGAGTGAGGGCTTTCAACTTGGTAAGGAGGGGGAGGCTCCATGTGAGGCATTGGACCGTTGTAGTGGAGCCCACCAGCTGCGAGTAGGAACAAGAAACAAATGTAAGGGAACAATGGAGGTACATCTTTTAGCGCGTGGCGCTATGAATACCCAAAACAACGGATTTTGCCTCGGCGGCAGTTCTAAAAGCATCCCCCACTAGAACCTGATCCTACGAACGGCAACTGAATATGTTAATCGTTCTTACTGACGCATGGTACCAAATTTTATTCCTATTTTTCTTCCTGCTTACAGAAAAAAAAAAAAAAAGAGCTAAGTTTGATTACGATTTAAAAACCTCGAGACGGCAGGTAACGACACACACACTCAAAAGTCTCACTTTCGCATCGCCAGCCTTGTGCCTGCTGCACCCGCGAAAATGTTAGTGCACCCCCACGCTTCACGCGTGCTTCACGTCCTCCCAATTTTGACCGATGTAAGGGTTTTTGATGACGCTCAGTAAGCTTATATTTAAGCCCATCTGTTTATTTTCACTACATAAAAAGTTAATTACTATATCTTAGTTAATTATTTAGCTAATTAGTATGCATTTTGCAATCCCTAACGTGCGCCGTGGCTAGCAGTTTGTTCCTTAAAAGTGTTTCTCTGTTTCTCAACCACCCTATTGGTAGGATTTTTTTTTTTTTTAGGTCTTTATTGGAACATTTGGCATACGTGCACCGAGTCACGCGGCTTGATGTCCCGCAGCTGCGGTGGCGCTGCTGTCAGCACGGCGCATGCGCAGACGCTTCATTTCATTCGGATCTGGTTTCTGCGCATGCGCAGTGCCCACACCTGGTGCGGGTAAACTCTCTGACGTTACGGCACGCCGTGGCGCGGCTGTCGGCAATATACAATAGAGAGCCTAGATTTAACTGGGTGCCATATTTGAGGGTGTTGTTTAGAGCGCATGCTCAGAACGAGCTCACATTAATAGCCTGCTAACGATCAACAATCTTGGTGGTACGGAATGCACGTTGCAAAAGACTTGCGGAAGCTCGCCATCAGCACACGCTCAGCAGCCGGGCAAGCAGCTATGACCGCCAGTGAACGCCATTCCTATATTTACAAGTCCTCAGCCCAGCGTGCGAGCCCAGTACGTGTATGTTCGTCGCTTCGGCAAGCGAGCAAATCACGCGCCATAAGCACGAGCACTGAAAACGGAACCGGTGGAAAGGTCTGTACTAGAGAATCCGCGTGAATGAACGCTCCACCTGGACAAGGCGTGAGCAGGCCGTTGAAGCTGGACAGGTTCCTGGGCGGTGGCGGTGGGGGCTCGAGTTCGGAGAAGTGGCCCGGGAGAGCGCCGTGGTCTCCCGGGGTGCCCTGGGGGAGCCCGGGCGTGGTGGCGCCGCTCTCGTGTCCCGAGAACGAGTAGGTGTTGGCGCTGCTGCTGCCGCACTGCATCCTGTACAGGGGCCCTGCGAGCGGACGCACATCGGGCACCGCTGCCGTACCGTCAGGAGCCCGCCTCATGCTACCATCACACACTTCATTCTCTCGTTGAGGTTGTTGTTAGTGCGGTCGCTTTATACTCCGGGGTATTTCATTATAGACGCTTTACAGCAGCTGCGAGTGGGTGCAGCCCTAACCGACCTTCACTTTTTGTTACATCTTATTTCGTACTCTTCACTTCATCACTGACTGCACGACACCACCGCGTTCTTTTTTCACAGTGTAGGCACTATGTGAATTTGCCACTACTATTTCAGTGCCTAGGCATCTTGGTGAGGCAGCAGAAGCGCAGTTATGGCGGCTTGGATCTTGCGCGCGGGAGAAAGGTCTCTCCATCTCGCAAATGTCTCCAGTAAAGAGAAAAGCACAGGCGCGTGAGACTTTCGCTTGTACGAGAACTCGTGCATATGTGAGGCACTTTCTAAAGCCACCTGTCCGTGCTTTTGTCCGCACTGCCAGTGCAGATGTTTGTGAGATGGGGCATATACTGGTACGACTGTTCGTTCGTACGGGATGATTTACTCCAAGATCTGGAGCCTGTATTTCTCCGCGGGGCACTTGGGAGACGAAGTGCCAATCTCTGCAATCTACGAACTCGGCTTATGACCGAGCTCATAGTCTATATCCCAGGTGAAAATCAGCCCACTTCCAGCTGGATTATGGAACTGGTCCCAGCTGGAAATGAGATAGTCCAGCTGGGATCCAGCTGGAACTGTACTGATTTTCGCCTAGGAAATCGTAAGCCTAAAAACAGCTATCTGCTCTGTGGAACTGAGCATAACGCTTCACCACGCCCAAAACCACAGTGCAGTCCTTCTTTTCTTTGTTTTTTTCTTGTTTTTGTTTTTTTTTAAAGATATTAGTTTCGTGATTGGCCGTTCTCCCTTCCTCCGTAGACTGCAGCGATTGGCTCTCTCAAGTGCTTTGGGGGAAAGCAGAGGCTCCAGGTTTCTTAGAGCGTATATCTCTTCTTCCCAAAGCGTAACACGCATCGTTCCTCCTGTCTAAGGGCAAGTTGTAGTTGCAGGAGTCGCGGCGCCAGCGGCAAGAGTAATTCCGTACCCAAAGTTACACTCCGGTAATAAATTTCAATCAATTGACCCATGTCAGGTCGCTAATAGCGCACGCGAGAACTTTTACTCGTTCTTTTTCTTTATTACTCGTGTTTTTATTAGAAAATATTCTTGAAGAGACCGGTATACGTTCTGCGCGCTCAATCACCTACGGACCCCGTTTGCCCCTTGGTGCGTGGGAATTTCGCAAAAACGGTCCTGTAATATAAATCTAGCCTGTGTGTGACCGTCGGTCGACCCGCCTCATTACTTGACATGACGAGTGTCCGGCAACCAGTCAAGTAAGGCAGGCCGGGCAGGCCATGGTGACAGCTTTTAACGACAGCCATTAGCACGGGCCGGCAACGGGAGCCGTCTATCTGGCCGTATATATCGGTCGACGGCTTATACGAGCGATATGTGCTCCATTTGTCCAGCCATAGCCTCCTCTATACTGACAAAGCCTGGCATATCGCCATGAGACGCGGCCGCCGAAAGTGAAAAGGTAGAGCGCAGACAACGGATGAGAGGAGAGTCATGTAACGGGCGCCCCGCTGCGGCGAGACGCCAAAACACACCTCTCCCGAGCGATGGAATGTCCGCTCGTGCTCCTCGCGTTCCTCGCGCGTCCTCGCCGCTGCAAAAGCTGTGCGCTCACTACCAGCTTCCCCGAGAAATTTCCTGTGCTACCAGATCCTCGCGCTCCAAATCTGCGGCTAGGCGCTCTATGGCTCCATCGTCGAACTGCCAGGCTTTGTGAGTATAGAGGAGGCTATGGCCCAGCGCACTGAACGGCCTTCGCATATGTGATTATCGTGCCGCTAATTCGATTCTTGTTTTCTCCGAGCTTCACTCGAGTGCTATAATCATTGACAGCTTAACAAACGCAGAGCGTGGCGACTCCCTATCATCTTATCACCGCTTCGCAGCCGATGACATCGAGGCAGATAAGAACGGCCACGCAAAAAGAGCGATCGTGATAGGCTATGCCCCTCTTTTCTTAGGAGAGGAAAGAGAACCGCGTTTTTCGGCCCGCGTAAATAAACTACGTATCGCACAAAGCTGAGACTCCGTGGGAATGTGGCGCTGGCGGTTGGGGCAAAGAACGCGAAAGTTTGAGGACATGACGTTACCTTGATCAAAATATAACTGAGAAAGACAAAATTTCTCTACGAGCCGACGTCCACCTATAAGCCTAATATCGTCAAAACAAGAACTGACATTGTGGACGAAAGTGAGGTTTATGTCGGTGAAAAACTCTTGTCAGCAAGGAAGAATATTGTAGTTTTTTTTTCTTGCTGAAAAAAAAAAATATATACCGGGTGAAACAAGGAGACGGTAGGCTCTTTAAATCGACCGAAAAATTCGGTTTCTTAACCTATCGCGCTGCGACTTTGTGCAGCGTTGCCCACAGATGGTGCATTTTTTTCGTAAAATTTGCAAAGAGCGGACTTACCCGAGGAAAAAGTAAAGAAAGAAAAAGGCTTAGCTCCTATGGAAACGCAGCGACGCCACCGGTCTGCAATCAACACGGCGCCGTTTTGCAAGGTAGACAAGAGATGGCGCAAGCAGTCGCGACGCCAACTGCCGCCAACGAACGAGCAGACGACGCCGCGAGCCGGCGTAATTAGCAGACAAGGAACTGCAGTTCCTTCTTGTTACCGCGCCTGTCTTTTTTGTTTCTGCGACTGTCGCCGCCTGCGGAACGCGCGCCGCTTTTGAGTCGAAAAGATCGTCTGCTAAAGAGCCTTTGAGGAATACCTCGGCCGGCTCTCGGCGCCCGTATGCTCGTTCGTTGGCGGCGTTCGTTGCGCCATCTCTTGTCTACCGTGCAAAACGGCGCCGTGTTGATTGCAGACCGGTGGCGTCGCTGCGTTTCCATAGGAGCTAAGCCTTTTTCATTCTTTACGTTTTCCTCAGGTAAGTTCGCTCTTTGCAAATTTTACAAAAAAAATGCACCATCTGTGGGCAACGCTGCACAAAGTCGTAGCGCGATAGGTTAAGAAACCGAATTTTCCGGTCGATTTAAAGAGCCTACCGTCTCCTTGTTTCACCCGGTATATATATATATTTTTACTGAAATAAATGCTTGGTGTTTTCAATTTTACTGCTTGCTTTGACGATATTAGGTTTAGGTGACGTCGGCTCATAGATAAATTTTGTTTGTTTTTTCTCAATTATCTTTTGACGTAAGGAACGTCATGCTTTCAAATTTTCAGTGGTCTATATCCAAGCCTCTAGCGTCGCATTCTCACCGAGTAGCTTTCTGCGATGTATAGTTTATTTAGCCGGCCCCAAAAATCCGGTTCTTTTTTCTCGGGAACGCCCTGTACATTGTTTTCCTAGGTCCGAGCGCAACTGACGCTGCGGTCGATAGGAGCAATCGAACAGCATGAGAAGCACAACGTCATGGCGTTTCTCTTCGTTCTGTATGTGTTCTATTATCTGATACGCAAATCAAGCGCATTAAATACCTCGTGACTAGCGCTCTTAATATGTGTGCCCGTGACTTTGTGTGTTAGAGCCTTGAATTCTGCGCTCGGACCTCGAATGAAACGAAGTATTTGTAGTCACCGACAGTTGGAAAAACGCGGGACCTGACTCGCTAGCTTCACTCCTCGTGATTGGTTCTGCAGCGTTCTTATCAGCTAATGACGCAATCTCATTGGCTGCGGAGGGATGCTAAAGAGATGCTCCGGAACAAACATGTAAACGTTAATGAAAAAAAAAAGTAACTGAATACTTTTACTGGTTACTCGCTTAAAAAGTAACCAAGTACGTTACTCGTTACTTTTCTCAAAAAATAACTATACTCGTTTTCGCCTAAAAAAAAAACAAAACGTTTTTCGCATTGTTTATACGATGCGCGAAGTAGTTCTTACAAGATTGCGATGTCGGAGAAAGAAGCGATACCTTCGGCTTTTGAAACGTGTACGTCTTAATAAGATAACAGATTAACCAAAAGTGAACCTACATATATCGTGATTCTCCGGAAAAAAGAGGGACATTACATTAGTAATGCTCCGAGAGGAGGTGGACTGCTTTTTACCACTGTTCTTGAGGTGAAAACGTGTACAACTCGTTACGTCGTTACAGAAAAAAAGTAACTAGATAGAAGTAACGCGACGCGTTACTTGTAACGCGTTACACACAAGTCTGCTAGGGAGATCGCCACGCCTCGCTTTTTTTTTCAGTTGTAAGCCACTCTTAGCACGAGGCATGCGGTGCAGGGCGTCCATACCTCCGTTGATGGCCTGGTGCCTGTTCTTGCGGAGGAGTCTCCGGCGGCAGACCAGACAGGCCCCCAGCGCGAGGAGCACGACCACCAGCAACGTGCCCAGGGCCACGCCGAGCAGCAGAGTCTGGCTGGGAAGGGTACGGAGACTTTGAACCCTAAAGCCGCACCTCACACTACTCGTACATGGCACAAAAGGAACGGCGTTCGTTGCAGACACGATGTCAGAATTACCATCGGACAGGCCTCAAGCATGTTCGGAGCCTGTTTGATTTATAGATGCGCATGCTTCGAAACATGTCTACAGTCAGTTTATATAGAACCAGTGCAACCGCAAAGTGAGGAAGGGTTCAGGCAGTGTCTGCAGACTCTTTTGTAAGATGTATTAGCAGTGCGACCGCGGCTTAAAACCATACGGAGCGCAAGTTCGTCTGCTTCCTTTGCAGCGGTTGTGGTGACGTCAGAAGGCCGAGCTCTGATTGGCTCTGATGGAAGGATAGTGGGTAGACCTCAAAGCCCCTAGATATATCCACTATCCTTAAGTCAGAGCCAATCAGAGCTCGGCGTTATGACGTCACCAGAACCCCTGCGAAGAAGCAGACGAACTAGCTTTCCGCATTGGTATAAGGACAAAGGTTATTTGTAGCCTGAGAATAGAATCATAGAATGCTCCTATAGCCCTTGTAAGGACTAGTACGGAAAGACTCACGTACGCAGAAATGCACTCTAACTTCGCCGCCTTCTGTATACAGTTATCTCTCCTTGATTGTGTCAATAGCATTCCTTTTTATATAGGTTCATTAAGAAAGACAACGATCCCACGATTTGGCCTGCTTACCACGATTTGGCCTGCATGCCAGTCTATGGCCAAGTGTAATAATATTACTGTGACAGAACTATATAGAAAATCACAGTTCAGTCAAAGTGTTTTGAACAAACGTTTTTAAATGCCGATTTAGATTAGCCCTTTCTACTGGGAGAAGTTTCTTACTAAAGAATTAGGAACTCGAACGCGTTTTTGCGCTAAAATCAACAATTTTTTTTTTTGCGAGACATGTGGCTGTTTACCGTCAGCGTGGGCGACATGAGCGCGAACAGCACCCTCAATGAGGAGGAAAAGCGTCACGTACTCGTGCACGGGCATCGGCGGGTCATCGTCCTTCTTACGGCAGCAGTAGGGCTCGGTCGCGGTGCCGCAACAGTACACGGGCTCGCCACTGCTCTGAGGAGGACACGGGAACCCGTTGTTCCACTTGCCAAACTTGTCCGTGTACCCATAGCAGTACTCGCTGCTCAGCACTGCGGGAAGAGGAAGAATTTCACATGCGACAAACCACTAGGCGAAATTTGTGCGTGGAAAGCGGCAACCTCAGACTCGAAGTTCACCCGTGGCACAGAGACTCAAAAGTACGGATGGAACGGATGGAACCAACTTTAGATAAGTATGCTACAACGGTCGTAATTTACCGCAAAAGTACGAATATGGTTGGGGCATTTTTTTAAAGAAAATATAAGAGGAACTTGTTAAGCCTTATTGAGGCCGCGCTTGACAGGCAAGGGGAAAAGAGTAAAGTTTGATTTTTGTTTCATTCCCATTTTGTTTTCTTAAATTAAGCGATTCGACGGCCACGTTTTCTAAATTTGATGTAAAAGGAACTTCTTATCGGTTGCAGGAAACGTGTAATCTTAATTTGAAACTTTTGACTGAAAAATATTATATATATATATATATTACACAAATCAAATTGCCAATTTCACAACGGATTCAAATACAATTGCAAGCAGGATCTCTACTCTCACGGGTAAGCACATGGACTTTCAAACTTGCAACGTTCACGCTCACGTACGTTTAGACGTGCTAGCTTGCGTGAGGCACCAGTCGGGAAAACATGTTTGCAATGGTACATCAACAGGAAAAATCAGTGTACCGAAAATGCTTGCGCGTCTAGTTACCCGCAAACCACTCGAAAAGCCAATCTCTGTGATCTACGAAATCAGCTCAGCGAATGACGAGGCAAAACACCTGTTTAGACCTAAAAATAAACACTGCGCTGTGGCATTGCTCAATGCAAAGCGTCATGCTTGCATTGCGTCGTAATGCCACAGCGCAGACCTCATTTTTAGGTCTAAACGAATGTTCCGCCTCATCATTCGCTGAGCTGATTTCGTAGATCACAGAGATTGACTCTTTGAGTGGTTTGCGGCTAAGTAGACGCGCAGACATTTTTAGAGTGTGTGCAAATGCTCCGTTTATATCTCGACCACCAACCTGAAGAGTCGGACAACAGTTAAGGCCCGTTCACACTCTTGCAACCGGGCACGACCGAGAGAGACGAGCCTCCTAAAATTTCTTAGGACGAGAGAACACACTGGCACTCTGGCGCCATCTGTGCGGTGACCCTGGAACTGCATTTCACAAGAGCGAAGGTTTTTCCGTAATACCTATAAGAAAGGTTCGTTTATAAAGTTGACAAAAGTTTCTCGAGCCATGAAAAAAAGAATAATGCGCGAGAGAAATAGCAAATATGCCGGACCGCCAAGTTTACATTGCTATTCCCAATAGATGGCGTCAGTCCTCTGGTTGTAATAGATATTAAGAGGTTCCAAGGCACCAGGTTCTAAGAGAAAGACCAGTTGCGCTGCAGCGGAGCAGATCCTAAGACGTCGCAAGAGGCTCAAAAACTGGTCTGGTGTCTTCGGTCTTACTCGGTTACATATGGGTGAACGGCGCTTTACACTTATGACTCGAGTCAGTATGGCATGTGCATGTTAGGAAGGGCGAAAACATACGGAGACATGTCACATACTACAATCGCCTGATTTGGGTACGGCGCTATACAGACTCCGGGCAGTGGTGCGCACGCATTGCCATAGGATTGGGCATAAGACGGACATCTGCCCTAACGTGCAAGAGCAGAGATGCCGAGACTGTGGAAGAGAGCACGCGCACGAAGGGGGTGGCTGCATGGAAACCGCTCCACAATGTAACAACTCCGGGGGGAGGGCGGGAGGGGGTAGGGCACGCGTGGCCACCGATTCATCCTGCCCCAAATGGAGAGAAGCAAACATACAGCTCAGACGCGAGGCCAAGCCGAAAGGGTAAACGTACGAACAGCAGATATGACGCGTTTCTGGCAAGGCCGGAATCAGTCATTGCTTCAGGGTGGTAGAAAGCGAAACGGGACAATCCTGAACAAATAGCCAAGGGAGGAAAGACCGGGACAAGTCAACGAGCACAAAGAAATAGAGAAAATGGTGCAAGACGTGAAAGCAGCTCTCAAATGGGTCCAGGTCGCAAGTACCGACTAGATAAGTGGCGGAAGCAAGAAACGAACGACAAGCTGCTCAAGTGCGGCAAACCACATACTCGGTAGCAAAGCAGGCCGAAGAAAAAGCAGACGGAGACGAAGCTTGGTAACCCGGACACAATTCAGGGCATCTGTGAAGAAAGTGGTCGCCAGTATCAAGGCCAACGTAAAGACATCATCCAGAGCGTGCTTAGAGAGGTCTTGTAAAAGGAGCTTCAGGTCATGATACAGGGACATCATTCCTGATGCCATCCGCTCATTGATTCAAAATCAAGCAAACGGAGGTGGGTCAGACTCACCTGGCACCAACGCGATGATCGACGACAGCCAAGACTACCTCAACTAAGAACAAGATCCCAAATCGGGGCCACGCCCCACACCCACCATGGAACTATCGCCGGCTCGCGGGAAAAGTGAAGGAACTCAACAGGCATTTTCCAGTGGCCCATCTACTCCAGGAGGTAGGGGGAATAGACAGAAAAATAACAAGGTACAGCGCGTATATGACTCCGACCATACAGAATAAGAACCGGGGGTGACCGCACAATGAAGCTACTACACCAAACGTGCCGGTACCTAAAGGACAAGCAGCAGTGTTTGAGGACACTAATCTACCACAGCATCAGATCGACATCTCCAAATGGTGCACCGCAAATGACGAAATCGTGGCAGCACTGGTGAAAATCAGTACGTGACAGTTGATCGTGGTGCCGATATACAAACGGCCAGGGTACAATGTGCGCGGCAACACGGCAGCGTGGATTCCACACCTGAAACTGATGGCGGGAAACGTACCTATTGTTGGGGGGGGGGGGGGGGGGGGGGGAGGACTCTTGAGGCTCACAAAAAGGCGAGGAAATTGCTGAGGTAATGACTGTAGACGCCTTCAGACTGGCAAACGACGTAGATATGCCGACGCGTGTAGGTATGCCCACGAAACAGGACACCTCCCCTTAACTTTCGGGGTTAACTGGAAAAATCGAACTCGAGTGGTAACTCACGAGGGACTGTGTGAGCAGTGACAATCTACCAATTATTCTCGGACTGTCCCACTTCACGACCGGTGCTAAAAAGAGGGTCCACAAAATAGTGAAATGGGACAAATTCAGGGAAGCTTAAACTGAAGGTGCGACCGAAGGCGGGTGACCCGATACCGGACTCCTCTCTTCTGAACTTCTGTGCCTCCAGACCTGAAGCCCAGGAAAAGCACAAGATGGAGGGCAAAACAGCGGCACTGGCAAAACTCAATCTTTCGACGGCGAGTGCGAAGAGGTACGCAAGCCAACTCGCTAAGGAGCAATGGCGAGACCACTATGACTTGTTCGAAGGGACAGGCTTTGACAAGTTGTAGAGGACCTTCCAGGCGATGCAAGGCAGGAAGAAGGTCAGGACGGCAGCGCAGAACATCGCGCTGGCACTACGAGTGTCGAAAGACCAGGTGGCAACCGATGCCGGCCAACTCTTCTTTCCGCAACCCGCTACACCCACCACATCGTCTGGACTGCGCAGATTATGACTCTCCCAGTGCCCCCTTCACAATGGGGGAGCTGATCTCGACCCTAAGACGGTGCAAAACCAGGATCACACCAGGCTCTGACAGCTTTACGTACACCCTACTCAGGAACGTGCCAGACCAACTTTCAAAGGCGCTCCTGACGCGGATCAATCAAGTCTGAAGTACAATTCAGGTCCCGGCAGAGTAAAAAACGTCAATGGTCATACCCATCCCTAAACAAGGCAAGCCTACAACAATGCTAGCTCACGCGAGACGAATTTCACTGACCTCCAACTTATGAAAACTCTTGGAGAGAATGGCGCTGCATAGAATTCAACATATACTCGAAAACAACAGCACATTCCACTGCGATCAAATATGCTTCAGAAGAGTGTAGCTTCAGAAGAGTGTAGCAAACATGCTACACTCTTGGAAAATGGTTAATAAAAACATAGTAACTGCAGTAGTTACTATCTCTACGTCGTTACTACTTTTTTCCTAGCTGTTTACTACCTCAAATATGCCACAGGTAGCAAAATCTCTTGTTATTTGCCAAGAACGTCGGTATAGAAATGATTACTATATTTGTGGGGAGCTTTCTGTAACTATGCAGTCAAAGCTAGAGCCACTAAAGGCTTAGAGTATCGGCATTCCGTTGCCCGACATTGTTGTGGGCGCCGCCATTTTGGCTCGTATGCAGAGCAGACGCAATTGCCGATCGTCATGATTCAAAAGTACGACTTCCTCAGCATTAGGTTGGGTGTTGGAGAGTTAATGTAACTTTGCTTTGCTCTGTCGCGAACTGTTTAAACATTTGTGGAGGGCGGAAAAGCGCTTCCTGTGAATTCAGATAAAGCTTCAGATAACTGGCAACCATGATTTTAAGACACAATATGGCCAAGTGTCGTTACTCTGAAGCGTAGCTTATTTTGGTGGCACTAGTCAAAGCTATGGGCGCATGGACGCTCGAGCACTTTAAACGCCGATACGCGATCGAAGCTGTGCACGAGCACTCTTCACTTCCTCTGAAATGCCACAGAAATATATGTGCCAGTTGAACATGGAAGGAAGGTTAGATAGAGAGAGAGACACACAAAAGGCATACACACCAGCGGTATGTATGCCTCTTATTTCTCTCTCTGTAGGCAACTGTCTTTCATATGCAGCTGGCACTTATATAAAAATGAACCAACTATAGCTCATCTTCAACCCGCCACAGTAAGTTGACCACCCGTATAGTGTTAATTAGAATGTCATATATGACATTTTAATTAACAGTCTTCGAGCATTAACGAAACACTGCTCCAACAATGCAGCTATTCCCTTTCAGGACACATCTCAGCTGCGAGGAGAGAAATTTGGTGATACAAATATTCGCGAGAACATCGTTCTCGCAGATATTCGTATCACCAAGTGTTCGTCCTCAAAATATACAAAAATTAACACCCCACAATGACCCAACCATTAACCCGAGTTTGTGAGCTTCGTGTCACTTC